TTGCTTATCTGGTACTGTACTTAATAACTGTCCAATAGTTTTATGAACTCCAAAAGTGGAAGTCTATAGTGAATAATAATTGTTTAAAGTTAAAAATGTTTACTATATTTAAAATACAAAACATAAAAAACGATTTTTATTTAAAATATATAAAAAATACAAAATACAAAACCTTTAATCTATTAAAATATAGCGAACTCGCAGTTGTAATAACCAGTATATCACCTGCAAGTTGAGCATTGGCTAAGTTTTGTAAGGTATCTATAGGTTTGATTGACGTGGAAAATGCCATCAAATTGTACAGACAGTTACCGTATGCCTGAATCAACACAAGACAAGCTAATAGCCAACCGGATAATGATAACCGAAGGCACAGTAGATCAGGTATTTTCTTTAATGTGCTTTGTTTTAGCAGTAAAGCAATGACACACCATTTAAAACTAACTGTTTTTAGTTGTGCATAAAAGTTAGTTAATTGCCACACAATTATCACTAATATTATCAATGCAATGATCAAACTTAGCCATAGATAGGGCTGAAATGGTTTGAAAACGAGTCCCATTGATTGACCCATTTTTGGTACCGGTGTTATGAAAGTTACCGAAGTTATAACATGTGATTCGGTAAATTTGACCACTTTTGCCCGATCTTCCGTAACCGATAGGGCAGACATACCAAAGTCCACCAACTTATTATACAAAAAATATAAAATATTTATTTTAATAATTGTTTAAAATATTGTATTTAATTATAAATAAAAAAAAGTGTTAAACATTTTGTGAAACTTTGCCGACAATACCAGTCCAATTGCCGTTAACATTACTGCCCCAATCACTGCGACAATCAATTAATTCAAATTTAAAGTTGAAATAACGGCTCAATTCTTGAAGTAATTTAATTTCAAAACCACTATTCGGTAGATGAGAGTCATTGAAGATAACAAACGGCGGATTCTRGTATATAATACAGTATTTTTATGCAAAAGTAAAATATATTTATTAAAATAATTTTGTCAATCATTGTCTAATATGTTGTATTTAACAAATTAGAGTCTTATTAAAAAATTATATGTAATTTACCAAATTTATGGCAACTTTCATCAATTTCCCATAAAAATTTAATCTTGTTGAATTCATAATTAATTAGATTCAAAATTATAATACAGTATTATTAATTTCATTATTATGACATTAACTATTATAAATAGTATTAAGATATTAACAATAACCCTGTGTATTGTATAACGAGGTAATCTACTATAATATTTATTAATAAAAATCTTAATTAACAAAATAAGATGATACTAAATAATCAATAACAACAATTTTGTAGATCAAAAATCATATTTAATTATGTTGCTTACATAGATTACAAATATTGATTTTCAATAATTTATAATATATTTGACAAAAATAAATGTAATCTTCTAAAGAATTATTGACGATTCATATTTAAAATGTAACTAAAGTACAGTATTTATACGTAAATATTTATTATTATGTTAAATGTGAATATGAATGTTGCAATCAGATATTAATAAATTTATTTATGATAATAAATTTTTTTTGTCATAAAATATCTCTGAAATGTTACTATTTAACATAATAACATAGTTTATATTTATTGATAATCAATCACATTAATAATTAATGTTTTAATAATTTCAATATGTATTACTGGACTTATTGCTAAACATGTGAATATATTCTCATAGTATTTATCAAGTAGTTATGCACTTAAATAAGTAATATTATAGGTATTCACTTTAATAATAACTATCAAACATTTAGATAACATAATTACTAGTTTTACTAAAAATAATAATTACAATAAAAGGATTCACTGATAATTATTTCATAAATTATATATTTAAAAAAACAATTTACAAAATTATATTTTTATTAAAATGTATTAACTAATATGTATTATAATAATAAAATTTTTTAGTGTASAACTTTTTTTATATTAAATCTTTTAGTAAATATAATAATTATAAACTGTTTAAATATTAGCTTCTAATCCATATTTTAATGGCTGTATTGATCGGACGGTTTTCGCCTTCTGACTGATGAATATATAGATCTGACAATGCCTTTGCTAGCACTAAATTGGTGGTCCAACCGCCCTCATCAATCACATACCGATTCCCCACAATCTTAGTATAGGTTACGTCAACCAAACCGGTGGACATCACATTAGTAATGCGCGAATGGTTAGCATTCTGTATCTCACCAAATGGTGCGGCCTTTCCTCCCACASTCCTAAAGAACAAACCTGAATATTGGTCGCTAATGTCGGTCCAGATATAGATTGGCCACAAATCTTTCGGTGCCGTTTGGTTAGGCAATTGGAAGTATAAAAAACCTAAGGGAATGGTATTAGAAGCAACTGTCGATTCTTCAAAAATTTTAGTTTCGGTGATGTTCTCCAATATTAACAAATCTTTTTGTATTTTCAATAATCTTTTTTCAAACGTCTGATTCATTAACTCAATGGTACGGTTATGTTCATTGATGACTACAGTCTGTGTTTCGATAAATTTTTCGAGTCTTTCAACCAAATGGTTCTGTTGTTTGATAAGGTTTTCACAATCAGAAGTGGTATTTATGTTGTGATTCATGTTTTCCAATATATCTCTTAACGTTTTGATAGTCCATTCCTGTCGGCGCTGACATACAGTTAACCCTCGTCTACGGCACGGTTCATCTGACCACTTGCCCAGTGATGCTTTTGATAGTGACATCTGTACACAGCTATGATAGCCTATCAAATCGGCAGAACCGTCGGCCCAATTAGTGTACATACTTTCCCGGTTCCAAGGATTCAACACTAGCTTATGTATGTCAACTCCGAGCCAAACTTTGTCCGATTCATTACTATACTTATGTAAGACGTTATTCATAAACAACTGTTCCTCTTCAGACTCAATAGTCAACAGTGTTGATGATCTGTCCATTTGGTTGCATATGATTTTTGCTTCATCTTCAGTGGATAACTTGAGGACAACTTTGACACACTTTTCATTCTTGTAAGACAACCAATCGCCACATATATTCAGTTTTGATGGCATATTCATAAACCAACAATCATTGCAATCTATCATAACATATCATATCAATTAAATATTAATAAATTAATTATCTATATTTACCTATTAAAATAACTATGAATATAATCCATAGTTTTTTCATATTTAAATTATTTAATATTTCTATTATTTAATAATAGTTGACTCAATTTTTAAGATAAAATAAATTTATTGTTAAAAATTATTTAAAATTTATAGTTATAATATTTTAAATTAGTTTATGTAAATCTTATCACTCATAACTAGTGACTAATACGTGATATAATAAAAATTTTAAATCAAAATATTTAAATTTTATAATTAGTGAAAAAAATCATAATAATATAGTAATATCTAAATTGTTTATAAAGAATCAAATATTATGTTTAATAATCAAATTGTTGACAATACATAAAACATAATATTTCATTATATAATAAATTTGATGAATTAGTTTGATTTAAAATTATTATATTTTTATTATTAAAATTGCCTCAACTTATATCCAAAACATTTATTAAATGAATTTCGAGAAATAGTGTTTTCAATCCATTTTAAAAAGTATGACACCTCTGTGTATATGCCATTAGGATCGTATGCATTGGCGCAYTGATAGGGTCCGGTCGACACAATACCAATCTGTGTGTAACGTCCTCTCACACGGATGACCAACGGTCCGCCAGAATCACCAAAACAGGGAGAAGTCCTGTCGATTCCCTGACAAAGCATTGTTTCAACGATAGGAAAAGGAAATGAGTTTTTGTGACACTTTTTATCTTCAATGACACCGACATCTGTATACTTCAATATAGAAGACGATTTGCCTTTTTCTGTGACACCCCAACCAGATATCCGAGCTTTTCCTATATATTCAAAAGGTTTCTTCGACTTCGATGGTAAACAAATTCCATTAACAAAACCTCCCGACTTATGAGTCAAATTTAGCGGTCGATCTTCAAAGAGTCGGAGTAGTGCCAAATCATTAGCGAATCCTGCCTTCAAACCGACCCATTTCTCGTATATTATAACACATTCAACAGATTGCTTTTGGACAGTCGTATCGTTGTCAGCCCTGTGTACTATACCTGCATTAACTTCAATACTTAAAACTTGAGGATTTCCAGTCTTCTCGTTGGACACACAGTGAGCCGCTGTCATAATCCATCGTTCATTTAATATTGAACTGTTAATTAATAATTGAAAAATATTAATAAATCAAAAATACAAAGTCTATAAAAATTAATAAAACTGTTTTACAAACCCTCCGCAAACCATAACCCGATTATCTTTACGACGAATCCTCAGTAATACCTGGTATGGAAACTGACCCCTCTGTGCCTCATAACCCCCCACTATCTTGTTATCGACTGGCGCTTCATTAATATGACTCAAACCACACGTATCCACAATAATTGATTCATTTGTTAATTTGTTAATAAGTTTGCCATTAATTTGATCACTTGTTTTCAAATCAATTACATCAATTGAATTTGAATAAATGAAACAATTTAACTCATCAATTAATAAATTATATAAAATTAAAATAAAAGCTATCTTATAATAAAGCAAATAATTAAATTGTCTAAATATATAAAACATAATTAAAATTATTTATATTTATTTGATATTACAATAAAATATAAGTTAATGAAAACCAGAGTTTTGAATTTTGTTTTAATTTGTATTAACCCGTATATTAATTTTTAAAATTTAAATATCAAAATTTAGTTTCATTTTATTTATTAAAATCAAAATTTATTGATAGGGGTTTTCATAAACGATTACAATTTAGAACACAATTTTAACTTTATTTGAAGTAAATTAAACTTTTAATTTTTGAATACTTTAACCAATTGAATTTTAAAATATTATAAAAATATTAATAACTGGTAATTTAGTAAATTAAAAAAAAAATTAAATTAGAAAAAATACAGCCTAACTTTATACCCTTTTTTAAACATGAATTTAAAAATTATTGTAGTTTTTGTTAATATTTACTGTTAGTAAACAACACTGAAATACATAATGATTAAAATATCATTCTTTATAACGTTTTACTTCAATGTCTTCAAATATTAGATCGGTTTTGGACGGGTATTGGACATACAACTTGCCCTCAATGTCAACCACTTTGACCGGTTCAACAGTTAGTGTTTTAAGTGATACACAATCAGATATCGCAGTCAATGGTTGCGGTGGTTGATCACCGTTGGTCTTTTGATCGCCAGTAGAGATGTCAGTGGTTGGTGCGGTCGATGAGTTGCCTAAACCTAGTTTTAACATAGCATGCAATAATGCGTCCATCACTTTACGACAAGTGGGAACCGATTCTCCCGTTACCTCAAGAAGTAGATCTTTTGTATTCTCAGATATCTATATAAGTAATAAAAATATGTTCAATAAAATACAGTCAAAAACTTAATAAACGCATAAAAAATTAATACTTTAGTGGTCTCAGAGTTGGTCAATGGTGGCAAAGATATAACAGTTTTGTTATCATCCAAAACACAAGGAAATCGTTGTTTGCCTTTCAATAGATAAAGATATTTATGAATTCCTGAATACGTTTGTCTCTTCTTTTCCTTTCTATAGGCTTCCGCTTCTTCATTGAGTTGTTTATAAAACTCTTGTGCCGTCACATCTTTATGTCGATTCAATGGAACAAAACGTATTTTAGTCGGAGGTTTGACATCAAAATGAATTTGTTTGCCAGAAATCTTAGACAAATCATGTGTCGCTATAGTCGCGTGTTGTCTGTGTCCACAAATACCAGTGTGAAGACCTTTAATATAAATAAATCATATTTATTAGATATTTATTAGATATTTATTAGATCATATATATAGATATTTCTCTTAAAATAAATCACAATTATCTACCAGTTTGTAACTGAATAAACTTCTTCAAAATGCCTTCTCTATTAAGATCAACATTTCTGACCAAACAAACTACTATTTTGCGTAACTCGTGAACGGCAGGAGTTGTCGTTGTTTTAAACCACTCGTCGTTGTCGACTCCAATCAGTTGAATAGAGTCAAGCAATGGTTTGTCGTTACTCTCCGACTGTCTCGGCGAACGAGATGATGACCTTCGTCTACGTCGAGCATCTTTGGCTCGAAGTCGGCGATCCTGTGAAGCGTCACGATTACCACTTTCTTTTTCATCTAATTTTTCATCATTAACACTGTCTTTATTGTTACTTGATTTCTGTGAACGGGAACAGTTGGCACGTATATAGTCGAGTATCTGTTTGGTGTGACACTGGTCTATCAGTTTGACTAAACGTCTGTCTTTAATCTTATTGTTCTGCAAAATAACCCAACAATTTATAGCAATCAAAATAAATTATRTCATATAATAAATTAAACCTTAAGATTAATGTCTTTTAGTTTATTACAATCACCCAACTGTCCCGGTATTGTTTGTATCTGATTGGTGTGCAGATCCAGTGTCTTTAGTGCCGGTAATTTATTGATATTATGCGGTATTTCCTCTATTAGATTAGTATTGGCGTGTATTTCACTCAAATGTTGTAAAGGTTGGTCACCGCAACAAATACTAGTCGGAAATTGAGTCAATTGATTACCCGACAATTTAAGTGTCAACAGTCCAGTCAAAGCAGAAAAATCGGGAACAGCGGTCAGTTTGTTATACTCGATGTTTATCATTTGAAGTGCAGTCAAGTGGCCAATAGTGTCGGGCAATTCGGTCAACTGATTTCGGCTTACATCCAAAAATTTCAACTTTGTTAACGACCCGACTTCGGCTAAAATAAATACAAATCAGAGCAAAATATATAAGTAATCGTAAGATCAAGTGTCCGATCAGTTGCTTACGAGGCAATGATTGCAAGCCATTGCTGTGCAGTATTAGWGACGTCAAGTTAGTCAGATTAGACACTTGCGGTGATAATGTAACCAATTTGTCACACTTTATGCACTCAAAAAAGTTAAGTGATTCAAGTTTGAAGACAATTTGATCCAATTGTCCATTATCGGCAATTACAGATTTATTGATCTTCGGTCCGCTTAATAGCAGCTGTCGCTGAGCTGCCGACTGAGTGGTCATCGCTTTGGCCAACTCTCGCACGTGACGCTTGTAGTCATAGTTTTCATCGGATGTCGCGGTGGCCATAGTTTACAGTCGGGTTGTGTCTGTCGGCTGACAATCAAATTAACTAATGATTTGATGAACTGATGACACGTTTTTATATAGCATTCAATTTAATGCAATGTTTTTGTTATRTTTCGCAAAATAATCGAAACAAACGACACAAAYGTGTGTTTTGACTATAGATTGAAATACATTACACACTCTATTGAATGCAACGTTTCTATTGAATCAACACTTTATACATATTATAAAAGTACAGAAAAGTATAGAAACTCTAATAATTACATAACATTTGTAATATAAATAAATTATATACAGATGTATACCTAATGTATAATAAAATAATAATTACAACGAAATGTTAGTCTAAACTAATAAGTTGTACAATAGTTAACATAAAATTAAATGATTAAAATTGTTAATTTATTACCATGCTAATTTATACAAACAAAAATATCAAAGTTTTTTATAATACAAATTTCAATTCCTTTTCTAAATGTATAAATTCTTTAGTAAATTTGTATTGATTTTTATAAATTTTAGTATTTTTTAAAAATATACTTAAAATTTATTAAATATGAAAAATTTCTACATGTATAGTTTTCATGATTAACGTAAAATTAATATGAATAATGAGATATATTTCTAAAATTATACGTTATTATTGTATATATAATGCCATTTATAAGCCTAACCCACTTTTTCTCCAAATATAAAATTTTTATAGCAATGAGAAATATCAAACCGATTATTATTATTATTATTATTATTATTACAACAATATTGGCAAAGCTATTGTATTAATACTGTTTGTATAATACGCTTGTCAGACATGCATACCATATATGAGGGATTAATAATTATAATAAAAATCTAAAATAAAAAAACAATAAAAAATTTCCTATAATATATTAGTAGTGTTGTGAATGTTATTATTTTTGATGCAAACAAATATCTTGATGAATGCATCATAAAAATTAATCAATTTTTATTAATTAAATTAATTACGTTATGTATGTGTATATTATTAATAATATTTTCTAAAATTAAATTGTGTGTAGGTTTTCACAATACAAACAGTGTATATCAGTATATATAACAGTGTGGGTCATAAAAGTATTGCCAAAAATATTTATCTATCATATATGATATTAAACTCAAATAACTTATTTTGTATTAATAAATACTATTGTTTTTTAAAAGTGCCATGTTCAATTTGATATATTAATATAATATATAATGTATTATATAATTGTTTGACACATTTTGAATGCTTTCTAAATAAATATGATTAAAAATATTTAATAAATACTCCTAACATATGATATGTTACTATAATTTTGTTTTTATTTAAAGTGACATTTAAATAGTTATTATTATTTTATGATATATATTGAAAAATTAATTAATTAATTAATATATCATATCATATGTCATAACAATTATTAATTATATAACAATAATAGACATTGTGTTTGATATTAAATATATATCAAACACATATACATATCGTATTGACATTAAAAGATAGTGACAGTGGAGTGGGTGACCCCACCTGTGACCCCACACCAGTACTGTCAACCATCTGACCCAACGATGGCCACATTGACGGCCAACTCGACCACTATAGGTGGTCAACAACAGCAGTCATATTATTTGAGGTTCAGTTCACACTCGGCAGCCCTGAGCCGATCGTTGGTCGGCCTATTGAGTGAGTCCTACTGTACGGATGTTCACATCAGTACTGGACATCAGTCACAGACAATACGCGCCCATAAAATCATTTTAAGCGCTTTTTCGCCGTATTTTAAGTCATTGTTTAGCTCTTTACCGTCTAATCAGTTCCCAGTGATTATCATCCGTGACATCAGTTATGATATACTTCGCACAATCATTGAGTTCTGCTATCGCGGTAAGTCTGACACTGTTTGGTCACTATATAGATGTCTTATACTTAGTTAATGTTTACTTAATGTTGTTTTTATATTAATATAATTAATTGATTTAGTTTTGTTTGTTTTGTTGGATTTAATTTAATATATAATACAGTATTACTATTATTAGGTAATAAACTGTATTAATGTTATCATTGGTTTTAAGTTAACACTATTTACATAATTCTCAGTATTCAAAAAATTAATATAATTTAAGATTATAATAAAATAAAATAAATATAAATTTATATTATTTCATAATAATTAAGGAAACTTTGATATTTAATTAATAACTATTATATTATTATATTTTATTTTAAAATAAAATATAATAAGTTTGCTATAATTTTTCTTACCAATTCAAATTGTATTTTTTTCCTAAAAATTAAATTATATTTTTAGCAATGAATTTTTTATATAAAATTGTTTTAGTACAACTGTGCATTGTATCATAATTATAATCTAAAATTAGATATTATTATTATTTTTTGATTTATTATTTGGAAAATTTTTGATGGGGGAAATTTTATATTTATTATAAGGGGAACTTTTATAATTTGTTAGAACATTATTATTATTTAATAAAAATTATATAAAAATTAAAAAWATATATATTTTATGACACCATTGTGTTTTGTAATTGTGTTTTATTATTAATAATTATATCCAATATAATTACATAATTTTTTTTATTATATAGAAACTAAAATTTAATTAGAAAAAATTAATACCAATTCGCAGAAATTATCAAAATGATTTGAAAAAAATTAATTAAATAATTTAGTACAACTTTTTATTTGTTTTTATATTAGGGTTATGTATTTGAAATATATATACAGTATAATATATAAATATATCAGAATATTTGAAAATATTGTACATTAAAAATAGTAAAAAATATATTTTGTTTTATGCTTATTTATTTTTACAGTATATAAATATACAGTACATGAGATAAAATGAAAAATTGTTTTTACTGTTTTCCATTGTTGTGCAAATAATAAATACAATGTATGAAAACTGTTACTATAAGTGAGKACAACCCAGTTTTGTCCTCCATTTTCAAAAAAAAACTAATAAAAAATATCCTAATTTTTATAATTAATCAAATTTTTTTTGTTATATACTGTATATACAATATATATTTTTTTGTAAGTCATTTTTCTTTTGAAACCCCTGTTTTTATGGGGAGCTCTGGTATGTTAGATGTATAGCACTGGTTCAAATATATTGTAGAAACTATGATATGAAATTTGTTCAAAAATAATAAATAATTCAACCCAATAGTCTATATATAATTTTTATTTCTCTTCCATATATATACACATTATTAGATTTTATTAAATGTTTTTATTAGAAAATGGATTGCGTTGTGAGGGAAAGGGATTCATAAAAAATATACAATATATATATATATTTATATAATATTATATATCATAATACTGTATAGTACTATAACTGTTGTATAAAAGTTATTTGTAAAGATTTTTGTAGACTTTAGTCAACTAGACTACAAAAATATATTAAATAATTTTTTTACTGAACTCGTTTTTTTATCAAAATATATTCACTTTTTTTTATTCATTACTCTATCGGCTCTTTAATAAATATACTGTAATTGTGTAAACAGTTTAATACTTATATGAGCTTTGATTGAATCACACACACACTTATACTATAACTATGARTGACCTATAGTATGACTGATCCAATATTGAAATATCAATGTATTTATAAATCATGTATATTATGATACCCACTGACTGACTCACCCGTCATCCAAGTTTATCCTTTCATATAATATTTATGCTAACATTTAAAATAATTTTCCAAAATTATATACAACTAAATATTAAAAATAACAAACTTTGATAACCCTCTCCCCCTTTTCGATGTCAAAAATATACCTAACAATCATATATAGGAGTCTCTCCTTTACCAACGATTTCCCGCTCCTATTGGTACTAAAAGACAACTCACCCCCGCTTTCTCTCTACTCATTCATTACAGTATTAAAAGATATGATAAATGGATGGAAGAGTTGTTTGGGAGAGCAGTGGTAGTGTCTATGACTTCATGTGTTGTTGTAATACATCAATAAAGATGAGTGTAATGGGAGTGAGACTGTGAGAGTACATTATATACACTATATTTAATATAAAAAATCATACATTAAATATAAAATGTAATATATTTTTTAATATTAGAAAAAAATCAATAAAATATTTCGTCCAATGAATTTTGTTATTTTTATTATTATTCATAAATCTAATTAATTGTTGTAAAACCTAAAAGAAAATTTAATGGAAAAAATTATGACTTGAAAAATAATTGCTTTTATTTTCTATGTAATGATTTTCAATGAATTATATAAATAATATTTTGACTTTAAAAATAATAATTACTTAAAAATATATTTTTATATATGACATTTATCTAATAGTAAATAGAAATGTTTATAATTTGTTATAATTAAATTTTTATCATATTTAACTTTAAATATTTTGTATAATTTTCATGATGTATATTAAATGTTATAGTATATTGAAATCAATAAATTCAATTAATATTGAAAAATACAGAACTTTGTTGAACTTTAATACAAAATTATAATTTATTTTTTTATTTAAGGTTCACTGAGTTTAGTTTTTTTTATTTATTGAAAAAATTTAGACATTTTGATTATTATATTTTTAAAATAATAAATATAAGTAAAAAAATATTGCATTACTTATTATTTTGATGTAAATCTATTGAAACTAAAATATTGAATTAGAGTAAAACCAGACAATAATTTATATTAAGCACAAAACAGATTAAAGATTATAGTTTAAGACAATATGTTATTTTAATAAAAATTTATTTCAAGTATTAAATTTATGTTTAATTTTTAGGTGAAATTCTTGTTTCTCGCGATAAATTGGATGACATAGTGTCCGCCGCAAAGTTTCTTCAGATAGAAGGCGCCAAAGATTTCATACTTCCCAAGAGTGGTGCAAATCACACACAATCACAGCATTCAAATACAACCAATTCCGGTGATGTCGGCAGTGGTTATCATTACAACAACAATACCAACAATGGCACCACTAATGGTAGTACTAGTCGTATGCAAATTGATTTGCAACACATGAGAACTTTGTCACAACAACACCGACAAGCTCTGGCACAGGCATACCAGCGCAGTTATCAACAGTCCCTATTGTCCAAAGCTGTACACCAAAGGCCATCACAACAACAACAATTCACGACTTCTTCTACTAGTGATCAGCCATCGGTCACTATTATTAGTGGAACAGATCCTCAGATATCTAATGCGGACCAAATTAGTGACAGTGATTTGAGTGGAGATCAGAGAGGTATTAAACGAGAATTTATTGATGAAGAACTAGAAGATGAAGAGTTTGCCGATGAATTGGATGAGGAGATACAGACCACTGGACAAGTAGTAAATGACGTTTCATCGGGAGAAAAGTCGGGAATGTTTGCCGAGTTTGAAGATCAGTCACACGTCACCAGTAATAACAATAATAATATATCGGAGTCTAATCAACATTCGGATGATAGTAACGCTGCAGAAGATGAAGAGGAAGTTGAGGATGAAGAGCATATGGACACAACAACCGCATCCGCCATATTGGCTAAAGTACCGCAAGGGACTAGTGTTAGCACATCTATACTTAACGACAGTACCGGTGCCGCTGCTGCCGACAGTACAGCAACAACTAAGAGTGATAATAATAGTGGTAATTAAAACAATATTTTTTAGTCTATAATTTTTAATAAATAATATTATATAAACTGTATTATGATATTATCTTTTTAATATAAATTTTAATTAAAATTATTTTATTTTAGAAATACACTATGATTTAGTTTACTAAATATTTTATATTAGAGTTAATATACGGTAAGTTTATTTTAATTTACTAAAATGTAGTGTATTTTAAAATATTACAAAAATGTGTTAATTATATGTTATAAACTTATTATGGAATATTATTTATTATTTAAATTTTTACTCTAGTATTAATTGAAATTATTTATAATTTAAAAATAATATCTCATTAATTTTTTAAATTTAATCTTTTTAAATCAAAAGTATATTTTATTTTATGAGTATTATACATTATTTTTTAATATTATTGATTTTTTGGGATAAAAAATTACTTCAAAAATATAAAATATGCAGGTTTTTTACAGATTAATGAAATATTACAATAAATAATTAAGTTTTTAAATTATAATCAATCATTTGGTCGATATTTTCAAGGATTACTTTTTTATATCAAAAAAATCATTATGACTAAGCTTATTATTATATGTACGGTATTATTATTATTATTATTACATTTTATTGTCACTGGTATTAGTTGTAAAATTATTTTTAAAGTAATAATTTAATACATTTTTAAATACATTAATCTACTAAAAAACCTTCAAATAATAGTGATTTTTAWTTTATTTTTATATAATATATATATGTTCTAATTTTTTATATTATTTATTAATTTAAACAATTATATCACAAATAATAATATTATGTTAACCATAAATAGTGAACTATTTTTATTTTCATTAATTATATTTGAAGTGCATTTTCTTTATAGCCTTGTCTTAGACTTATAATAAATATATCACTAAATAATTATTATTATAGTATGTTTATATATAGTTAATTACTTTAACACATTTTTAGTAATATTTACTTTTTATTAGCTAAAAAACTTGATATTAAAATACTGTAGTTGTTTATAATTTATGGGAATTAAACTGAAAATAATAATTATGATTTTTTGTTGTATTTTATCACATATATTATTATTTTATTTTTTTTGTATTTATAACAATTAAATATAWAAAAATTACAAATAAAAATGCATATTTAGGCGAGCTTTTAAAATTGTTTACAAACATGATGTCTAAACAGATATTACAATAAAAATTAAAATGTTATTTTAATTTATTGTATATTTAATTTTTTCTATAAAGTTTATATAAATAATACAATATTTAAAATTTACATTAATTGGTAATTAGTATCATATACTTAAATTTTAATTTTTTGATAAATTAATTAAATTTTTCAATATTGAATACTGTATAATGAATTTCTGAAAAATATATTTTAGTGCCAAAACAAGACTCGGAAGAGGAGTTAATCATAGAAGAAGAAGAAGAATATGAAGACGAGTTTGATGAGGAAGAAGATGAAGATCTGGGAGATGTCAGTCAACAAAGAAACCCAATGACAATGGTTGGCGTTGGCTTACAAGAGTGCGAATCTCATCAAGCAATGGACACACCACTGGCCCGGGCTATCGCTGCTTCTACATTAGCCTCATTGAACTCGGCCCTCGAATTGGACAGTGAGGTATCTCAATCTTCGTCCTCATATAGTTCACCCCATCAATCGATGACCATAAGTAATGTTGCAACTGAACGTAGAGGTCGGGGAAGACCACCAAAATATGGTATACACTAAACGAATACATTAAAAAATGATTAAATTAATGATTTATCATTTATATGACAGATATGGGAAATGTATTCACGAGTCAATTGGGTGGTAACACATCAGCAAAAACACAGCAAATCAGTAGTAGCCCTTCCACATCAACAGCATCAGTCATTGACGCCCAATCCAGTGCCCAAACCCGTTCCCGAAGAGGTCGGCCACCATCAATGCCCGAAGATTTGTTGCGGTCATTAACCGGTCGTTTAGATAAAGCACATCATAAGTGTCCTCACTGTCCACAAATCTATTACGGATATCATGCAATGCGTGATCACATAACTAGTGTCCACTTGAACTCTGGGGAGAAATACATTTGCAATCTTTGTAACAAAGAGTATACGTGGAGAATAACACTGAGGAAACACCTAAAATTTCATCACGGAGTACATCCGGACCAAGTTAGCAATGCATAAACCATCTAAGATATCTGTCCATCAAAATGTGACATCTAAACCAAACACAAAACATTTGTGCATAAATTTTACCAAAAATTATTTTAGTTATTAAATAATAATTCATTATATATATAATTTATAACATATATACAGTATACCGTAATTGTGTATTTATATATTGATGTTTAGWATCTTTTTTAGACAAAAAGATGAATAATTTGGTTTAAAGATAATAATAAATAAATCGGACAATATTTTTGAGAGATTATTGTCCATTGATTGGCAACTTCTACTTGACTTTCAGTTAATTTCATCAATAATATCACAGTATATAATACACATAATATTTATATACCAATAAGTGTTAATATGATATTTAGTATTAATTTATAATTTATTGCAGTTAATTATTATTTGCTATTATATTATAGGTAAATAATACCATAATTATTTTTTTAGTGGTAAGATATTGAGATGAACAGGTAATTCATGTAAATTTTATATCAATTATTATATGCATTAAAGAGCCTTTTTATATCATACCCACCCTAAAAATAGATATATTAAATATATCACATATTTTACATTTACATTGTTTGTTAGTCTTATATTTGTATGGTTTATTAGATAATAACCTTTAATTATGTCATTTATTTCTATTAAATTTWAAAATTATAATTAAGTTTATTTGTTTGTGGTGTCAATACTTATAGATACTCTAAGTATAGTGTAATTGTGTCATTAGTTTTTGTAGTTTTATATTTTATAATAATATAATACAAAGAAAAGTGATTTATTATTATTATTTTTATTATATCCAAATATTGATATATCATAATTATTATTTAAAAAAATATTTATATTATAAGTAAAAATTTATATTAACATTCATATGTATAGGACATATATATTTTGTATTTACATAATCTATTGTAAAATTTTATTATTATAAAAATGTTACTTTTAACACAAAAATTAAAACATTAAATACCAAAAAAATAATTAGTCGTCAATTTATTTTATGTTTTACATTAAAAATAATAAAAATTTCAATGTTAAATGCAATTATTAAAATAAATATTAGTGTTAAGAATTTAATTTTACGTTATATCAATACAATTTTAAATTGCAATTATGCTTTTATATCAATTCACATAATTGTTTAAATTTTATTGACCTAAAAGTATAACCATTTTGAAAAAAGTCGTCAAAAAGTATAAATTTTATAAATACAGTATAAATTATTTATTTATCGTATTTATGATAAAAACTATTATAGAAAATATGCAATGTAAAATTGAAATATATAGTTAATTTTAAAATATAATTTAATATAATCAAGATTATTTTGTAGTTAATATATACAGTTTAACTACAGTATGTATATTATTTTACTGCATATGTTTATGGCATTTAATATTACCGGTTATCTTATATTTTATAGCATTTATTTACATTTATTGTACGGATAGAGAGTTAATAATTAACAAATATTTTAAATAAAAAATAATTTAATACTTATATTTTGATGATTCATGTAAAAATTAATTTAATAATAAAAAGATATGTCTATTGAATAACAATATTACCGTATAAAGTGATTATTACTTAACAATATAATAACTATTGATATTTATCCTTCATTTAAAACTAGTGTTTATTTATTAGTTTCTAAGTTTAGTATTTGACTAAAATATTGAGTTCACAACAAAACTGTATCTAAATATAACTTAAGTTGAGTTATAATTTAATAGTACTGTTTAGTTAGCGAAGGATAGGGCAAAGTGAGGGCTCAGTTAGACATAAGAATTTCCAGTAGAGATGTTGGTGTTTGTCGTTATTTTAGACATAAATACAATATAAATGTATAAAAATGTTGATCAAAATGATAATATATAAAAAATATTTAATATCCTATTTATGAATATTTATAATTTTTTCAAATATTAATTATTTACTTAATAATAATAATAATGTGTTTATTAAGAGTTTTTAAGGGAACAGTCAGTGACGAAGATTTACCGAAAGTGTTGATCGCCATCACAGCAATCAAACAGAGGGCCGATTTAGCACTTGAAGACATCTATAATATGTTGGAAATAATGAGAAAAACAAAATATATTTTATCAAATATTATTGTTATTCACCGCAATATTCTTCAAAATTCTGTGATTGCATTGAAACGGATTGAACGACTCAGCGATCATTTAGAGACCTATCGCAAGATTGTGGCTAATATTACATATGAAATGGATATTAAGACACATCTGAATGTCTTCTTGAAACAGATCCGTTTAATTAGGGAATTGAATGATACGTTTGGCGAGTTTTGGCATAAAAATGAGCAAAGAATCGGCGAAAGTATTGATATTTTTGATGAAAACTATCGACAAATTGGTGAACACAAGACAACCGCTGAAGAGCTGTTAGCAAAACGTGATTTCTTTAAAGTCGTTGATTTAAGTATATTATGTAAACACGACTATAAATATTGTAAAGACTTGGATCAGACATGCAATGAGTGGTGTCGTGAATCTGGAGACCAGTGCTCTGATATATGCACTAAAGTTAATCAATTAGAAAATACATTCAATGATATATTGAAACAATCGTTGGATTCAATGCAAATCAATAGACATAAAACATGTAGTCATAGTCAAAGTGATTGTGATCATCAAAATTGTAATTAAAACTAGTTATTAACTCTTTGTATAATTTACTAATAACGTTATTATTATAAATTTTTTGTAAATATTTAAAATAAAAATATATTACGGTAAGTTAATTTGTTGTTAAAAAAAATATTTTAAGTTTGTTATAATGTTTTAATTGAAAGTTTTGTCATGATTATTATAATTATATGTTAAATTTGATACAATGTAATGATAATAATAGTAATTTAACGAATCATCACTAAACTTTTGTTTTTTCAATTTAGACATTTATTATAATAAATTAATTAATAAATTAATTATATATTCAATACAATTAAGTTATTTAATAATAATTATCAAACTTTTTGGAGATTTCATTAAACATAGCAATAAATCCATATATTGTTTCTGTTATGATYTATATGTCTGATCTGACTCTTGGGTTATATGAATCCATAATTATATTCATCTCTGAGCTCAAGTGTGTGTCAATATTTGACCCATAATTTACTGTAAAACCAGTCTATTAATATAATTGTCTTTATTATTGTTGAATTTTATAATTACATTAAATTAATAAATATTTATAGTCTAATCACATGAATCACTAGATCAGTGATTAAAATTATAAATAAAACAAATATATATTTTTGTTATAATTTATGTAAAAAAATTTGACAAACTTATATTTTACAGTTATATTTGTATAATTATATAAATTCACAAACAATAATGTTTAACTTTTAAACAAAAAAGTTATCATGATTACACTTAATTTTAATGACTGCACTATATGCTACAACAATTAAATAAAATATAATAGTAGAAAAAATAATCAATATAATTGTTGTAAATTTACAAATATACATAAATATTTGTAAATATATATCAATTTATATACAGTATTAAATTTATACAGTATTTACAGATTACATTAGCTACTGAACCCAATGTCATTGTTTTATTATATTTCCTACTAAAATCACTTACACCTATGGATCCGATACTATGTTTATTTGTTGATTTGAATGTTTATAGTTTAGAAAATATAGAAATTATTTTTTTTAATAAGTTTCTTCAATTATATATAAATTATACTATAATTACCAATTATTTCTGATTTTTGGGTAGACTTCTAGAGTCAGTATTACAAAATGTTTCAAATATTTAATTAATATAAATTAAAAATATTAGTTATAGTGTCATACAAATAGATATACAAATAGACCACAACTGTCCTAACAATGTAGTCATAGGTAGGACTTAATCCGTTGGTCTAAACTCATCAAATAATTGGACTTATTTTGACTCCAGTTCTCAAAAAAGCATGTCTTCCTCTATAGATCTCTGAACCTATTATATAAAATTTAAATATTTAGTGGAAAATAATCAGAATATTATAAATGCATTATTTGATAGTCCCTGTCCTCACCAAATATAAACATAATTTCTATTGCATTAGTTTCTAAAATATTTTATATGTATAAGTATTTTTAAAATTTATATTAAATCATATGTAATATAAATGAATATTAAATTATATTTTACAATATACTGTATAATACTGTATGTAGAGTACAATAYTACTAAAAATGATGAAATATTTAAATTAAACTAAGATTACATCTTTTGATTATTTTTTATAATTAAATTATGATTTTTCAAAAAGTGAAATAACACTAGAATTACATGAATTAAATAAATTGAAATCTAATGTTATTTAAAAATCTATTTAATTATAGGAACTGAACCGATCTTTTTTTAACCGATTTTATTTTTTAGCGGTTCCCGAATCCAAACTATTTAGGTTCCGATCTCTAATATACACAATATATCATATATACATCAATTTATATTATTAGATATTACATTATATAATTTGTTAGTTAAATACTTGTTTTATTTAATTTTAAATTAATGTATTATGTATGTACTATGTATTACATATTAAATAGCAATATTTTATATTAACTTTTCAAATAAATTGCAATTATCGGTGTAAACATAATTTGTAAATGTGTTCAAACAATACAATTAACTTATAAAATGATGTCATGTTCTGTCGTTTAATAATTAGTCTACTTTATAATAATAAAATAATAACATTAAAATACAACTTTAAATAAAATTTTAAAATATGACAATAATCATAATTATTTTATTTGTTACATTTGCATCTATTTTTAATAAAGGTTTAATTTAAAAATGCAAATAAAAGATTTAATAATTTTTTAATAAAATAAATACTTGATTTTATTTACTGTAGTTTATGGAAACGTTTTATGTGATAATAACTGGATATCATATGAGAACAAAAAGTGCATAAAAGTGGTCAAAGTTATGACCAGCCATTCCAGTGCTGAAGAGGTGTGCAGTCGATTGGATAGGTCTTCAATGTTATTGACAATACATTCACAAAAGGAAAACGATTTTATACTCAATTTACTGAAACCCTATGAAAGTCAAACAACTATTAGTGTTTGGTTAGGAACGGTATTCAAGGATCAAATTTATCATTGGGTTGATAGCAGTCCATTGAACTTTCAGAATTGGTTTCAGGGATATCCCATTTCTGGAGACATTACTAAACACTGTTCGCTTCTCTTATTATCCAACACTAACGCACCGGGATATTGGATTAATGAAGACTGTAATACAAATAGTCTAATTGTTTGTCAGTACATACCAGAGCATCCGAGTTATGATACTGAAAGTGAGTTACTATTTATTAGCGATAAAATTAAAAAATTGGACAATGATTTGAGTGAAAGGATAAAAATATATGACTTAAAAATCAAAGAAATGTCACTAACAATAAAAGCCGAAATAGATGCCACTCGTGAACTGCTTAAGTATCCGGTGCCCATCGGTTATATCCATATACAATACCCAAACAATGAGGAACCGTCAAAATTGTCCGAACAGTGGTCTAAACTCAAATGGACTGACGTTACTGAAGACTATGGCGGTGTGTTTTTTCGGGTATTGGGTGGCAATTCAGCCGCATTTGAAGAGATACAGGAGTCAAACTCGAGTAGTGTTGACTGGATCCGCACCCGTACTATGAATGGTATTAAATACAGAAATAGTCACAATAGCAAAGACCATATTTTACGAGAAGAGAATTGGATGGCAAGCAATCAACTCGTGAAGGGAGCCTTTGTTACCAATTTTTATCGCACAGACGGTTCCGACCATCCTATCAATACTGCCATTAAATTATGGAAACATACGGCTTAACTATTATTACAATATATTTTTATGTATTATTTTATCAATTATAATAAATTAAAATTTTATTATTTAYATTTTTGTCATTATTTATTAGTTTCATATTATTTTTGTTTGTTTTGAATAATTGGTTATTTTATTTAAATTATTCGGCTATTTATACATCTATCGGTTTATGATTAATAACAATAATTTATTTTATAATCTCTTATATTTCAAGATTTATTTTTATAGTTAACTATGCATTATGTTAATATGATTTTGTAGTAAAGAAAACATTTAAATACTGTATTACATTAAATGCATAAATATTTTTATATAATGATAATAAAGTAAATTAATTCAAAAATTAAAAGAATTTAGAATAACATTTTSAATATGATTGCAATAATTATAGTAATTTTATTTTTATTTTAATTATAGTAAATTATTGCAGAATTGCATAATAATTTTTAACTGATATAACAAAAGCTTTTATTTTTTGTAAATTATTTTTAATGATAAAAATATAAATATATAATAAAAGTTATATTATAAACAACTGTTTAAATTTTGATTTCAATTTTAATAATTAATTTTATGATATTTTTACTAATTGCAATAACCTTTTATTTGTTTAAATGTCTATTAATTAATTGTTGATTTAAATTTACTAGGATATTGTGCAATATCTTTGTTGTTTAATCATATTGTGTATATACTGTACATATACTTTCYAATAAACTGTATTAACTATTTAATTGACTTATATAAATCACATAAAAATAAACTAACTAATAGTAATTAATAAATTWACAAAATATTTATACTAAAAGTTTTATATTAAAAGTTTTAAACTAGCAAAATAAYTATTATGAATTACTTTATATTATTGAGTATTATTATACTAATAGGTTAGTATTGAATAAAAATTAAACGATTAATCTTTTAATCTTTTAATAAAATTATCTTAATATTATGTTAGATCAAAGTCTTACAATTAATGGCGATTGTGGGGATTGGATATCATATCACAACCAAAAATGTTTTAAAGTCATCCCAAAGGTTGGCACATATCAGGAAGCGTTTGACACATGCAGTCATTACGATAGGAGTTCCACATTGATTACAATACACTCGCAAACAGAAAATGATTTTCTATATAATTTGGTCAAACCGTACGCAGCAAACGTGGGAGGGGTGTGGTTGGGCACCATATATAAAAACAATGTGTTTCAGTGGGTCGACCATAAATTAATACATTTCAGTAAGTGGGCCTACGGTAATCCACACGCCAGTACTGCACATCGAGACTGTGCCCAAATGTCATTGATTAACCCGATTGCCGGTAATTGGGTGGACGAGCCATGCAGTCTCAAAGCACTGATTGTCTGCCAACGCTATGTCCAACAGGACTGTCCTAATTATAAACCTGCGATTACGGGACTCCATAACCACTTGGATGTCACTTACGCTAAGATGGAGGCGAACAATAAAAAGTACGATGCTGAAATCAAAATTTTAGTCAATGCTATTAATGAGGAATATCAAGAACTTCAAAAACTTGTCAAACAGTCGGTTCCCATCGGATTCATATATATTCAGTTACCTAAACAGTTGGAACCGACCAAACTGTGGCCTAATGTCAAATGGACGGACATCAGTGCTGAATATGCCGGTCTTTTTTTTAGGGTAGAGGGCGGCAATTCAGCACCGTTTGGGGACATACAGAATGCTAACTACTCGCGCATTGAATATTATCGGACCAGACATTTCATAGGACTTAACTTCAAAAAATTAATTGGACCCATAAATCGTCGCACAGTTGAGGGCAAGTGGTTGACACCCAAAGATTTACCAGAAGCCACATATTTGAGTAATATATATACCAGTAAAGGGGAAAACAGACCCATCAATACTGCCGTTAAAATATGGAAATGTGTTGAATAAAAATTAATGAGGGTAATTTTTTATTTGTTGTAATTTATTATAAAAATAGGTCTATTTACTTAAAAAATAATATTTATATTTATAGAGTATATATATAATAATAATAATTTAGTATTAAAAAATACTTGTATTAATTTATTGCAGTATAAAATTCACGACTCATTTCTGTGAAATAAACATTTATGAAAAATAGAAATTATTTATTTTTTTTGTGTTAAATAAATTCATATTTATTTTTAAAGTATATTATTTATATACTCGTTAATCTCAAATAATAATAATACAATAAAAACAAATTAATATTATTAATGATCAAAATATCACTAAACTCTATCTACCAAAATAATTGAATAAATACTAATATATTACTAAAAATTATTAAWATTAGTTTATTAATTAAAAACTTTATATACTCATAATTTTAAAACAAATATTTAACATTTTATTAGATTAAATAACTAATTACTTAGATATTATTGTTATTCATTAATGATATGTACTATAATAACAAAATAATAGTTGAAATCCTTGACACTGGTCTAACTTAACGATACAAAATGAATGTCACTTTAATTGATAAAATCATTGTTACCGAGTGATAGAAAGTGTTATCTTTAATAAAAAAAATAACAGTAATATACAATAAAAATATATTTTATTTAACATATTATAAGTTATTAATAATAAATATAATCTAATAAATATAAATATATCTCACAACCTATTACTAAAAATAATGAATTGACTATTTATATACTTTTTATTACAAAATTTCACAATTTTTGATAAATTTAACAAAATTGGTCATCTAAAAATTAACTCGCGTGCCATTAATTTTGATATCAATTTTAATTACTGTTACTGTACTGACATTACATTTTTATTATACAATTTTTATAAGTGTTAATAAATTTTATTATATTTATATAAAACATTATAGAGTTTTATTGAGTCAATAATATAAATATAAAAAATTATAATTTTGTTATACAGTATATATGATATTATTAAAACTATAAATATTTTATAAGTGATTAATATGGTTTTGGCCGACTATTTTCGTTACATATGGTGCTACCGTTCCCGACAACCCCTAACCACTGACAGAGGATCTTGTGCTGTGATATCATTGAATCTATCGATATATTTCTTAACATTTGGTATCATTGCAGTCATCGCCGGTATTATAGTACGTGAGGTGTCGGCACCAATCAATGGCTCCGGTAGTGATGATTCATCTGAAAATAGTCAATCGTATAATACGGGTACTATTATACTTATATTAGGCAGTGTCTGTGTTTGGCTTGGATTTATACTACTCGTCACTGCAATCATTAAATTTCAATGCAAACAGCGCTCAAATGCCAGAACCAATACTTTAGACACTGTTATCAGCAATCCTTATGCGGACAGTCAGCTAAATGACGGACAATATATTGATAACTTTGACTGGAATTTAGAAAGACCTCCACCTTATAGTCCAACTTAAATATTATTGATATTATATTAAATAATAATTAGTTTTTTAAAAATAGTTAAATTATATGTAYTTTATATCATTTTCTTAAAATTCATATTAATTAATTTGATGCAATTTTTATAGAAAAGCAAAATAATATTTTATTTCTTTGWTATATTTGTTTTTAATCTATTTAACAGTCAGTAATTTGTTATTTCTAATTAAGCAAAAGTCAATAAGGGTTTATCATATTGTAATGCAAATATTTCATTGAAAACAATATACTGTTACTTAGATAATTGAATTTATTTTTAGTACAAACTTCTAATTAATTAGAGAATATATTTTTAAATATAATAATTAGTAAAATAAATATAGATATATAAMAGCATGAATTTAGATATAACAATTATAATATTTTTTAATTAATAACACATTAATATACTCTATTTAATTTATAAATACMATATATAGAAATATTTATTATATTTGTTATAATATAGTGATTACAATACTTAATATAACAATTTAACTCAATTGATTAATTCAACCAAAGTATTTGACCTAAACTGTAAATATAATTAAATTATTGTAATTTTTTTTATTTATAAAATAATAAATTATTATTATTTATTATTAATATATCTTAATTAAATGATTTATGCATAATAAGCCAGARATAATTAGGTCAAATAATTTAGATAATATTAATTGAATCAAATGAGTAAAAATTTTAACTTAAAACCTTAAAAATTATTTAAACATCTTTTGAAATATGATTTTACAAAAAAAATATTACAAGTTTTATTTTTAAGTTTATAAATTATAATATTACATTTGTGCAAATAGTCTATAATTTATAACTAATTAATATTGTATTAATTAATATTATTAATACTATTTATACAATATTTTATTATTTAACATTAACATTTATTATACATATTTTAAAATAACGATTAACAGAGTAATTAAAATATTTGTGTTTTTATAAACATTAATCCAAAAAACAAATATCTATTATAATCATATATAAATATAATATATTTATAATAGAAATCAATTAAACAATAATACAGTATATTATAGTTTTTACAATATAAAAATATAATAGTATGATAATCAATAAATTTCTGTAAAATACTAATTGTTATTAATTTGATTGACCCATTTTATCATATGATCCAAAATTAATTTTTCAAATTTAGATTTATTTTTTAATTTATTTTCCATACAAACAAAAAATACTAACAAAAATGTTGCACTGATTGTCAATACAACAATTTCATTGACATTCATGTTTACATAACCTGCTATTATAACTAAAAATGATATTACAATTAGACATATAGTAAGACATAACATACAAACTCTAATCTTAAACAATATAATTTTGATTATATTATTGTCAAAATAATACAAACATTGTTTGATATCAAAAAGGTATTCTTTAACTGAAATTATATTAATTGACTTCAATTTGATTGCTTGTATTTCAATGATATTCAAGTATTTGCTGTATAATTCATAGTATGTAACGCTTAATAGTAGATACCAACCGCTGGTATAGAAATAAATGAGTTGTGAGTTATACATAAAGACCACATTTATGTATTGTATATCCAATATATTGTTAAGCAATTGACATCTCGATAATACATAACATCTTAATATATAAATTATAAAATGTATGAATAGATAGACAATCGACACTTTCTTATCAAACGGTTGGTTATATTTAACATAATATTCATTTAATTCATTATTTATATCGACAATTAATTTTGAATTACATTTTATGTAAAAATAAGATATCAGATAAATAATATAATATAATAAACTAATAGAAGTACAAAGGGATTCAATATATTTGTGATTAAAATTATTTAATGTGTTTATTAATTTGATAATCAATCCAATAAATACTGTCAATGATAAGCCAGTTGTCACTTGTTTTATTGTATTATATTTACAATTAATACCGTATATAATGAACAAGTATTCAAACATAATTTGAAATTTTTATTTACTATTAATATATAATTTAAAATATTTAATATAAGTATAATTTGTGTCATTTATTAATATGTTTAAACACTATATTCACATTTGTCTATTAAGTAAGTTAATAAAACTTTAAATAATAGAGTAATTAAATTTTCAATACTAAAATTGTCAAATTTAATAACTATATATAATTATTATTGTTATTTATAGATTATAATATTGATTTTTATTTATTATTTTCATTAAATAAAACTTTAATAAGAATATTAATCATATATTTGGTACACACAATAATTAAGTTTTGTTGATTTATTATACTTAATATAACACACAAACAAATTATAAAAATAATAATAAGTTATAATCTCTAAATCATGTTTAACGTCATATTTATTAAACTAATGTATAAAAATATACAGTTTGTATAAATTTTATAAATATAATTTTTAATTTAAATTTTAACAATTAAAAATTAATTTTATCATAAAAATAAGAGTATATGTATAAAAATATTTTCAATTAACAAAATATATTGAATAAAGAAAATATAACAAAAAGATTTTCTCTTGTGTTCATTGAATTTACTTTCTATAAACCGATTCTACAAAAATCATGTCTAGTACAGTGAACATTTTTGGAATCAACTCGGCATAAAAAATAATAATTCCTTTCAAATACAACGTTTTATAATATTTGTTGTTAAATAGAAATAAATATGATAACGTAGTTTAAGAGTGACCTAATAAGAATACACTATTAATGCTATGCACACACTTAGACCGTAAAGACCTATAATGAATGGAATGATTGTCTAATGCTATGCACACACTTAGACCGTAAAGACCTATAATGAATGAAATGATTGTCAAACTATTTGTATTTTGTTTAATAACATTTGTTGTCATAGTAACACAAAATATATATATAATTCATATTAAAAAGCCCCGAGTCTTCGCTAGATCATAAGGACTGTATTAAGCAATATAGAGGACATAGACTGACCAAATACTATGTCTGATAATATATGTTACAAACTTTAATTTAAACAATCAGACATATACTTTAAATTATATTTAATTAATAAAATTGATAATTTTTAAAAGTTTAAATATTAAATAATTATTAAGTTATATGTATTTATAATTTTATTTAATAAATATATACTTAAAGTTGTATATAGCAATTCTATTTTTGTTAAATAATGTAAATATATGTAACTTTTATACTCACACACACTCACTTGTACACACACACACACACACATATATATATATATATATATATATATATATATATATATATATATATATATATATATATATATATATACTTGTACAATTATTTTTTAAAATTTAAAACTTTTACAGTTTATTCTTTATCATGTTTTTTTATTTTGTAATATAATACTGGTCGGCATTATTATAATATTGTATATGTTATCGTAATTTAATTTTAAAAATCAATATTATTATATTAATATTATATGTATTAATATTATTTGTATTAATATTATTCAATATTAAACATTTTGACTTTAATTGTAATTATAATTTATTATATTTATAAATTTATAAATATTTTTTTTATTGATTTTAATTTTCTTAATATATTTTACAATAATAATGATATCAAATATTTACTGTATAATTAAAAAAATAAATCTACATGTTTTAACGCATAGTAAAACAATATTTATGCAATTACTTTATAAGATTATAAAATATACTAAATTATAAAATAATTAGTTAGTAATTTAAAACTTTATTTACGATATATAATATAATTATAGCAAATTATATATATCAGTATTACAAATGTGCTAAATTTTATTATATAATATCAAATATAACGGTGCTATTTATAAATAAAGTGCTTTTATATTCTATAATATAATATATTATAATATTCAAGATTACAAATATTTGCATTTTTAGTCAAAATTCTTACTTTTTATTTCAAATTATATTTTTTAATGATAAACAATATTATGAAATAGTAAACCAATAAAATATCTCTTATAAAACATTTTTAAATTATTAGTTTAATAGAGATAAGTGTATAGTAAAGATAGAGAGCAAATAAATATTTCTAAAAAAAATTTCATAAAAAATATCTTAAAAATAAATATCTATAGAAACTTTAATTTATTATAATTTTATGGGATTCCTATCGATAACTATTGTATTACTGATACATAATATAACTTACTTTACAAATACACTTTAAACTACTATACAAATGGTATAATTTCTTTAAAAATAAAATTGTTATAATTATGTAAAATTAAAAACACATTAAATAATAAAATTGATTAATTTAATTAATTTGAATATTAAAAAACTACTTAATTACTGTAGTTAATGTTAAAAATTATAATGTAATCTTACAATATAACAAATTTAGAAAAAATAATAATAATAATTGGATTTCCATAAACAACCAGTTGAGAATGCTTTAAAAGCATTTCCATACGAACTCCTTAACTTAAAAAAGAAAAAAAGAAAAAAAAATTTTTTTAGCAGAGCCTAGATTCGATCCAATGTCATCGTGGGACAGACAGACAGACAGACAGACAGACAGACAGACTTTTAGAATGCGTATACGTACTCCTTTCAGGAGTTCGTGAAAAGTTATTTTTGAAACTTTCAAGAGATTATTATTTTTTTGCCAACTCTGAGTAAAGTCATTGTCAAATAATTGCATTTTTAAAAAAGACAAAAAACATAACTTATATAATAAGTATCGATATCTAAAATCCTTATTAATAGTATTACAAGTTAAATAATATACTAAAAAGTGTAGTTAACATGTTTTTACTTTTTTATATAAATAATTATAAAATATAATAAATTATAAACCAGTTTATTTTATTTTAATACATTATTGCAATTTTTATTTCCGAAGTCTAGTTATTATTATAATATTAAAAAATTTGATATTCAATAAAATAACATATTATATAAACAAATTTTAATATCACAATTAAATATAATATAGACATCAAAAATATATGTTTTTTATATATCTCTTTCATTAGAAATATTATTATTGAATTTGATATTTACCGAAGCCATATAATTTTTTTAAAAATATTTTTTACAAAATATAATTTTACAAAAACACTTATTTTTATAAATAAACATATATTTCGACATAAAATCTTTTATTTTCATAAAACTATACTTCTATACAGTTTATACAAATAAATTTATAAAATTCTTTAAAAGCAGTCGAGAATAGTAAAGAAAATATATTTTATTAAATATTTACTAAAATGTCAAAAAAATACAAACTCTAAAAATTAAATTAAAACATTAAAATGTTTTTAAGTCTGAAGTGATTTTGTGTTGATTTAAAATATATTATATCAAACAAATCAAGTTAAACACATATTGTGTTTGTTTTTAGGGCAAATTTTTATTATTAAATTATTAAATATAAACATTTTAAAATAATATAATGATAAAATAAAAATAATGTTTAAAATACTTCATTAAATATCGATTTTGGTGTATAAAAATTATATGAATATTGCGTACAATATATTTTTTCAATATACATCATAAATGTATCATAAATTTATATACACTTTGAATCTATACTATCTCAGACTCTTTGAGGCTTAATATCTCTAAAACTATAATTTGCAAATTAAATGAAATTTGCCTAAAACATGGATAGACTCCCAAATATCATAAAATTTTCAATGCTTTATAATTATTAGTTTTTAAATAATATAAAAATATCAGAAAACTCACAATATATATAAATATATTGTCACTCAAATGGATTCCATTGGACTCGACATTAATTCAACTTAAATTATATTATAATTTCCTTGAATTAATGCCGATTTCAATGGAGTCCACTTGAGTGACAATATGTTGAACACAAAAGTTATTGCTTATAATTAAAATGTGAATTTCAAGTTATTTTTTTATATTATTTAAAAACTAATAATTATAAACAATTGAAAATTTTATGATAAATATTTGGGTAGTCTATTCATGTTTTAGGCAAATTTCATGTAATTTGCAAATTATAGTTTTTCATATATTAAACCTCAAAGAGTCTGATATACAGTAGAATAGATTCCGAGTGTATATATAATTATTTTCAAATATTTGTTAAATAAAATTTAATCAGTAATGTATGATTTTGATTCATATTTTTTTAGTTAATTTTATTAAAAACAAAATCATTTATTCATATAACTAATTTTAAGTTAAAATTTTTAACAAATATATTACTGTACAGTACTTTATATAATAGATAATTATATTAAAATAGACGTATTTTATGTTATATACGGTATATAAAAATAGACGTTTTATTACATGTAATATAATATTTAAATGTTTACGAAATGCTATTTGAATTTGTAGTCATATTTTGCATAATTATTGTTAAATTAATAATTAATAATTAGTTTTTAATAATTTTTAAGTTTAAAATAATTTTTGATTAAATAAATGATTGAAAAAAGTTTTATTCAAATATAAAAACATTTTGTATAAAAGTATATCAATTGTCAACAAAAATAAATATTTTTATTAAATAGTTTTGATTATGTTTTCAAAAATTTTGACAATTTGTTTGTTATTATTAATACTTATAATTAAATTTTAGATTTTATAAAATTAATTGAAAACATTAGTTAATAATAATAATAATGAAAACGTGTTATCATTTGTAACAAAATGGGTAAACAATGTGTTGATTGCCATCAATAATATCGGTGACCGAAATGTCCGTAAATATTGACGACTTTGACATCAGTAGCAAAATCAGCGACGACTTGAAGACACGGATCCAATTGTTTCATGTGTTTGACGACACTATTGGTACAAACATATTGTTTGTGACCTCCGAAGACTCGGTCTATGGGTTCGGGAGCAACGACTCGGGCACATGTGGTCAGGGATATGAAGAGCGACCGGTTTGGGAACCGTTGCCACTGCCAGAGCTCAGCCGACGTGGGATTCGCCAGTTTTTCTGTGGCCAAAACTTTGTGGTGGCGTTGAGTTACGCCGCAGACCATCAAGTGTACAGTTGGGGTCACAACTTTGACGGACAACTCGGTCGCGGATCAGTTGTTGAGGAGTGTCTGAAACCGGCGCGAATTGACTTCTTTACCGATGAAGGTGTCCGCGTAACTCAAATCAGTTGTGGTTTTGAGCACTGTATGGCACTGACCACTACTGGTCACGTGTATGCGTGGGGCGCCAATAGTGATGGACAAGTAGGCGCCGGTGACAGTGATGTACAGATATTTCCGACACCCATACGAATTCGTTTTAAAGATAATGAAACCAAAATCAAAGAGATTTACTCTTTTAAGAAGTCTTCATTTGCTCTGACCATTGATGGACAGGTATATAGTTGGGGAGAAAATGAAGATACTCTTCATTTGGGTCACAAGACTCTCGTTAATATTAATCGCCCGAAACTTATAAAACACTTGATAAACGTACGGTCTATCGGTACTTCCGGTGTCAACACATACTTCCTGACCAATGACGGCGAGCTATACTTTAGTGGTCGATTCAAGAAGGGATTTGTTAAACGGCCAAAACCGATGGAAAACTGTCCGCCGCATCGGTTTATAGCTCTACAGCACTGTTACTCTTATTGTAATCAAGAATCTCTTGTGATGGCACTGACCAGTGATGGTGTCTATAAGATAGTTGTTCCCAATGACATCACCAAAACCAATAGCACTAACCTAAGTTCATACTGTGCTCTCATTCATGATATAACTTATAAGACTGTTCTCATAAATCCTAATTTTAATGCTATTAGAGTAAGCATTGATAATGGTATCAACAATAACAGTGTTGTTAATCACTCATCACATCCACGTAAGACATGGTGTCTTTGGTTTATTTTGTATCTGATTTGGTGTCTCGCTATACATATTTGTTTATATTATTCTTTTGTTTAGATTAACTGCCATTTGTTGATAATAATAACAAAATAATTACCGCAAATATGTTTTCTGAGACAACAAATCAGATCGAAAGTAAACCGATATAATTGTTATGAGACTATTATATTATGTTTACTAAATCAAATATTATTATTATTTTTAATTATATTACAGTAGTGAACAACAATCAAAATGATAGTTACTATAGGAGTAATTTTAAAGAGTTGGTCCGATTAGGTTCGGGTGGTTTCGGCACTGTTTTCTTAGTAAAGAGATTGTTGGATAAAAAAGTATTTGCCATAAAACGGATTGACTTTCAAAGTAGAGTTTACTTTATTAGTTAAATATAATTTTATTGATAAATAATTAATTACAGTATTTTCATTAATTTTTATAATATTTAGACTCGAATAGTGAATCTGCGCCCGAATATCATAACTATACTAAAAATGTGTGCCAAGAGGTGTCTCAATTGTCCAAATTAAGATCACATTGTTTAGTCTATTATTTCAATCAATGGCAAGAAGAGAATTATCTATATATTCAGATGGAATTTGTGAGATATAATCTTCAGAATATTATACAGAAAAAAGGACAGGTATTTGATCGACAATTAGGCCAACCTCTGGAACCCATTGAATATTATATGTGTTGTGAACTGTTCAAAGAGATTGTTGAATGTGTTGAGTATTTGCATAAACTGAAACCCACACCTATTATTCATCGACATCTCAAACCGCAAAACGTATTGATCTCATTTCGACCAATAAACGACAGATTTGTCAAACTATGCGATTTTGGTATGTCATCCGTCCATAAGCTAATGCTATCGAATATGAACAAGGATTGTATGCCTACCGGTTGGGGTCCACTACAATATCAGGCACCGGAACTATTTCAGGACAGTGATTATAATCATAAAATCGATATTTTTAGTTTAGGACTCATTGGTCTCAAACTATTAAATATTGATCTCAATGTGACAATGTATGATATAATTAGTTGTAAATTAATTTTTTTAAATTTTTAATTAAATATATTCAATTATATTCAGAGAAAATATTTACCCCAAAAACAGTGGATATCTGGCCACTCCATTGCATCAATTATACCAATTATTAGCATCAATGACTTCCAGTCCTGTTTGGGATACACGACCCGAATGTAGTGATATATTGAATAAATATAACGAATGGTCACTCTCTAAGTCAACAATAGTTTCTCAAATATTTAGTGGTAATGATTTAAAAGCCAATATAACAAAATTACAATCAAACGACAACTCGTTTTTTTATGATTATTTAAATTATAAATTTATGCCTTATTTAACAACATAGTGATTGTATTATATATTTATACATAATATACTAATAACTTATTTGTTGATAATGTTATTTTGGTGTATATTTTTATTTATCTACAATTTCTCTATCTATTTGAGACTAACAATTATTGATCAAATAATCAATGAAATAAAATAATAATAAACATATCATAAATTTTATATTATTTATATTAATATTATATCAATAACTATATATTAAAATAAAATACTAAACATATCGATAAAGTTTTCCCTCCCATTCTTTGCCGTTGAGACAAACAGTTCGGACCAATGCTTCGGTCACTTGATAGGGATCACAGTTAGACGCGGGTCGCCGGTCCTCGAAATAGCCGCACCCGTCTTGAGCCACTTGTTTAGGTATTCGAGCACTGGCTGACCGATCGGCCACACCGTATCGGAACTCATCTAACTTTGGCGCAAAGTCGGCACCGATAAGTCGTCGCTGATTATCAGCGCCTCCGTGCGGGTCATACTTAGTCATATGTTTGGCGTGAGTTTTACTCAGTTTTTCTAACGCCCTCTCGATCTCTTTGATGCCACCTTCGGCCCGCATAGCGGCCGTACTAAAATTTGTATGAGCGCCGGCACCCAACCAACCGGGCACTGGTTTTGGATCAAACGTTACGCCAATGTGAAGATCTTCAGCCACTCTATACAGTATGAATCGAGACATCATTAAGTCATCACCGATACGTATGCCTTCACACGGACCGACCTATAATTATAAAGAGTTTTATTAATTGTAAAATCAAATGAAAATTTCATTTGTAAACCTGATATTCCCATTGAGAGGGCATTGCTTCGGCATTTTCACCGCTGATTTTAATACCCGCGTAAAGACATGCCCTGAAGTGAGCCTCAATGACATCGCGACCGTAGACATTGTTTGCACCGACTGCTGAATGATAAAGAACTTGATGGTCGTGAATATCTTTTGGATAACCAGTTTTAGGCCAACCCAATGGTCGACCATCTGTACCGTCCAATAGATAAAATTCTTGTTCGATTCCAAACCACGGATATTCATCTTTTGCTTCATTCATGGCTTCATTACAACTATACCTAAAATTGGTTATTAATGGTTTCATTTCATCCGTATATGTTTCACATAAAACAAGTTTATTGTTTCCACGTCTGAACGGGTCGTTATAGAGTCGGACGGGTTTTAAATAGATTTCAGTGGTCGACACGTCGGGTACACCGCTGTTCCAAATGGGCAGTTCAGACGCATCCCGGGGCACAAAGTCTACTACTTTTGTTTTGCCGCACCAATGGCTTTGATAGTTACCATTGCTGTCGGGAACACCCGGATGTTGGAAGACGTATGTTATCTGAACGGCATCTTTGGGCTGTTCGAGGGACAGGTATTTTGCCAAATATGTCTGATTTGACTTCAATGAAGTCGAAACACTTATATTCATACTTTTAAAATAATTAATGAATTTTAATAAAATTAGATTTATTTTTCAGGAAAATAAAAATTAAATTAATCGATAAAATGAACTGTTTTTAGTTCTTTAAGAATTTATATACTTTTTAAAACATATGTCTTATTAGACAGTGATTTATATATCAAATATAATTTATATTTATATTGAGACGGCGTTTAGGAATGAATGAGAGGACGTTAGGTAGTTATGATTGGAACACAAGGTTTAACAATCAAAACTAAATATTAATAATTTAATGAATTAGATATATGGGTACACGTGGTATAAGGTATGGTTTAATAGGTGTATAGTTTATGTGTAGTAGAAGTTCAACATTGATCAGGTAATAGGCAAAAGAGTGAGTGGACAGTAGTGCATGAGCTTATATAGGGATAGAGATAGGAGTGGTCTAATAGGTAATTAAGGTGATTAAGTATGCGGTGAGTAATGGTGTCATCTATGGATTGGTAAAATGTTTTATCACATCCCCGTCGTTGATGTCGACTGGAGGGGTGAAGAGCTTAAAATGAGTGGAATGTGCAGAATGTGTCGGATCGTGTGATCGCAGTCGAGTAGTCCTATTGAATATATCACGACTCAGACGTAAGATCTGCATTTGGAGTGATAGTGAGGACAAAGTATCGGTTAAGACCTTTGTGTTTGTGAAGAATGAATCTGTTATGGGATGACGTGATAGGCCGTCAACGACCTGATTTTGAACTCCATGTCTGTGATGTATTGTATAGCTGTAGATCTAGAGACACATTGACCATCAGAAAAGACAATTATTTGATGTACTATTAATGCTCAGAAGCCATTGTAGAGCCGAATGATATGATTGTATATATATACATATTAACCATCAACGTAAATATGCCATCGTTCCATAGATTCGATGACGGCTAAGCATTCAAGCTCCGAAGCTCTCATAGATGTTAAGTCGAAGGGAGTGGTATGAGACGACTTGCTTATGCCAATCAATGTCTTGTTGAATCAATATTCCGATATCGCCTTTATTCTAATTTTACAAACGTCTGTGTAGATAATGATTGGTCTGTTTTCGCGGTATATGGCTATAACTGGTGTGGATAATGCGTTTTTAGCTATTTAAAAGCGATGTCTAGAATTAAATCCCAAATAAATAGGTTATCTTTTCGGGTTAGTCTAGTGAGTGGTTAGGAACTATTATCGTCAACTTAATCCTCTTCTAGCCTTTTCTAAATTGATGTGTTGTGATGATTGATCGGATACGTGTATAACGATGTTGTCAATGTATGGTATGCCGCCATTGTTTATCATATCTCCAATTACTTGGCGTATAATTGATATGGTACACATGATATAATGTGTTTGAATATATGTATAGTTTATGTGTAGTTGAAGTGTACCATAGATCAGGTAATCGGTAAAAGAGTGGACAGCAGTGTATGAGATTATATTGGGATTGGGATACAAGTATTCAAACAGATAAACGTTTTTAAGTATGCGATGAGTAGTGTTAACATCTATGGATTGGTTATGGGTTTGTCTCAATATAAATTATAATATAATATATAATCTTATTATCAATAATACACAAAATTGAATAGATATTAATTTAGTAGAATATGATCAGTAATTTTATAAAATTTATTAATTATTTAAAAAATATTATTCATACCTTTAAATATTTATGTAATAAAATTATTATTTGTTATTAAACTAATTAATAATAAATATTAAGATATTTATAATTAATTTTCTTCTATTTTTCTTAATTATTAAACAATAAACTAAACTTGGTCATCTCAATGATCGTCATTAATATTTTTTAAATATTAATATTTACTTAAATTGACCTTCGTCATCAATGGTTGCAAAAAATAGGAAATATCAATTAAATGTAAATTTATCAATAAATATGTCAATTAAATAAATTAACATTTTATCTATAATTAAGTAATATATATATATATGTCATGTTTTAAGGACTTTATGTATATAAAAATTCATTTAAAATACTAATTATACACTAAATTTTAAAAATATTAATATAAGCATAAAATCATTTTCAAACAAATCATATAATAAATAGTATAAAAGCAATCGTATAATAAAATTTATTAATTTTTTATTTGTTTGTAAATGATTTTGTGCTTATTTTTATGATTTTGAAAAATATTTTTTATAGTTTTTATGCTCTCAAAGGTTTATTATTAATTGGTCCCTAAAACGTTAATTATACAAAAAATATTAATAATTAATAAATAAAACAAATATAACAACAAAATTTATTAGGGTAGAAAATTTTTTAATAAAAAATTGTCTCAGTACAAATAAAACCAAAACAATAGCAGACGCACCACAAACACATAGATTACACTTAATATATACATACAAAAATACATAATATGTTTTGTATAAACTCCGCCCCTAAGCATTATATCTAATAATATTACGCGAATATAAATAAACTACTGTATGATTGTGACGGCAATTATTGTTTTGGTTTTGCTTGTATTTAAATATAATGAGACAACAAATAATTTTGATAGTAATAGTTTATTTGTAAATGAGTAAGGTATATTATTAACATTAGCATAAAATACGTAATAAAGTTAAATTCAAAAATCTATCATGTAAGCAAAATTGATCATGCTGATCTATATAATCTATAAAATCTTTATAAGTTTGTCAAATTTATTACTTTTAATGTGTCGCGCGATTATTAATAATTTTAATTTATTAAATAAAAAATAAATCAATAAAATATACTGTTTATAAAACACATTAGTCTTTTAAACTAAGATTAACATTGATTTAGATTAAGAAAACTAAAAAATTAATATATTTTCTAAATTTTATAATATTTATAACTCATGTTTAGCTTAATTTCCAATAAGTTTTAAATGTTTATTGAATTTGTCTTTATGTTCATTAAAAGTGATAAGAATTATATATCTTTTAAAATATAAAGATTTATAAGTTATTCCACTTTTTCTATAATTTAATTTTAACACATGGCGCAGCCATTTTGTTTTTAAAAAATTAAACATTAAAATAATAAATGCCATTTTATACAGTATTATTATATTTTATTCAAACATTTTTCAAACAATTAGTAGTTTTTGAAATAATAGGGTATTTTGAATGGAGTAGGTGTTGGGCTAATATAATAATTATCTAATAATTAATTTTAATAAAAAAAAGTAATTACTTTAATTATTATTTAATAAAATAGTAATTACAGTATATACGGGTCGTTATATAAGTGGACTGGTTTTAAAAACAGTTCAATATTTGCTGAATATGGAACACCCTGTGTCCACACCGGTAGTTCTGAGGCATCGTTGGGTACAAAGTTGACAACTCTTGTTTTGCCGCTAAGTTGTGGGTGAAATTGACCACCTGTTCCCTTATTTCCCGGGCGTTCATAGACATAGGTCACCTGAATCTTGTCATTTGGTTGTTTTAATGATAAATATTTGTCAAAAAATGACTTATTTGATGTTAAAGGTGTTGAGTTTGAGAACATAACTAATTATTAATGATTTCAAACAGTTATTTCAAATATTTATTTTATAATATTAAATAATAATACTGTAGTAATTAAATAATTTAAAATAAAGATAACTATTACTGTATTTACACTTTTATATTGATAAATCAAATGTGATAAAACTAAATGTACTTTCTTTAAGGACAATAGTAGTAATTATTTAATCATATCTATAAATAAATTGACAGTTTTTATATCATAATTAGGCATTAAGTGATAAAAATATACTAAAATTGATAAATTATGGATTATATAAATTGATTGAATAGCAATTTTCAACTATAGTATACATGTTTTATTATGTTTGTTCTACAGTAGGATAATTGTATTTAAACAAAAAATAAAAATAAGTTATTTTGAACAATAGTAGTAAATTTAGTATTAATTAATTTGTTTACTTAAAGATAATATATTAAATTAAGACTTAATTTAAATATTATTACATTTTTAATTAATAAATAATATTTTGATTTTGTATATCAATAATATGCAATTGAAAAGTTATTTTAAATGTCAATAAAACCATTTTAATTTTGCATATAATTAGAAATTCAGATCTATCATATTGTAGTACAGTATATTATATTAATTAAATAAAAATATACAAATTATATTATTATTATTATATTAAAAAATTATTATTAAAATAATTGATTAAATAATCATTCATTTAGACAACACGTTCGCACCAACGCTTCTGACACTTGATAAGGATTACAGTTGGCTGCGGGACGTCTGTCCTCAAAATATCCATAACCATCAATGGCCACCTGTTTCGGTATGCGAATACTGGCCGATCTATCGCCAATACCATAAGTGAAACCATCAGATTTTGGCGCATAAAAAGCATCTCTTAGTCGGATCTCATTGTCCCGTCCATCGTAAGGAGCGTATTGTCTCATATGATAATCATGTCTTTTACCCAATCTTTCAATTGCCCGTTCAATATGTTTCAAACCGCCTTTACTTCTCATAGCATCTGTACTAAAGTTCATGTGTCCGCCCGAACCCAACCAACCGGCCACTGGCTTCGGATCAAAAGTTACGCCTACACGTAAATCTTCGGCCACTCTGTAAAGTATATATCGAGACATTATAATGTCATCAGCGATGGTAATACCTTCAGACGGGCCAATCTGATTCATAAATACAGTATTATAATTATTTGAATTTTAAAACAAGTAATAATTTATTAAAATGTCATATTCCTGACCTGATATTCCCATTGAGACAGAGCTCCCTCAGCGTTTTCACCACTAATATTAACGCCTGCATACAGACAGGCTCTGAAATGAGCTTCAACTATATCTCGACCACACACACGATACGGACCAATACCCGAATGATAATTCACTAATGGATCAAATGCTGGCGGAGGGTATCCTCTTACTGGCCAACCTAAAGGTTGACGGATATCCCAACCTTCCAATAAATAGTATTCCTGCTCAAAACCAAACCACGGTCTCTGATAGTTAGCCAACTTCATGGCCTCAACACAACTGTGCCTTTTATTAATGATATGTGGTTTCATATCATCGGATAATATCTCACACAATACAAGTTTATTGTTTCCCCCTCTAAACGGGTCGTTATATAAGTGGACTGGTTTTAAAAACAGTTCAATAGTTGCTGAATATGGAACACCCTGTGTCCACACCGGTAGCTCTGAGGCATCGTTGGGTACAAAGTTGACAACTCTTGTTTTGCCGCTAAGTTGTGGGTGAAATTGACCACCTGTTCCCTTATTTCCCGGGTGTTCATAGACATAGGTCACCTGAATCTTGTCATTTGGTTGTTTTAATGATAAATATTTGTCCAAAAATGACTTATTTGATGTTAAAGGTGTTGAGTTTGAGAACATAACTAATTATTAATGATTTCAAACAGTTATTTCAAATATTTATTTTATAATATTAAATAATAATACTGTAGTAATTAAATAATTTAAAAATAAAGGTAACAATTGTTGTATTTATACTTTTATATTGATAAATCAAATGTGATAAAACTAAATGTACTTTCTTTAAGGACAATATTAGTAATTATTTAATCATATCTATAAATAAATTGACAGTTTTTATAATTAGGCATTAAGTGATAAAAAAATATACTAAAATTGATAAATTATGGATTATATAAATTGATTGAATAGCAATTTTCAACTATATGTATACATGTTTTACAGTAGTATAATTGTATTTAAACAAAAAATAAAAATAAGTTATTTTGAACAATATTAGTAAATTTATTATTTATTAATTTGTTTACTTAAAGATAATATATTAAATTGAAACTTAATTTAAATATTATTACATTTTTAATTAATAAATGATAATTTGATTTTGAATATTAATGAATATTATCTGTCAATTTGCAAATAATTAAAAATTCAGATCTGATATATTGTATATCATATTATTTAAAAGTAAATCAATTTAAAATAAAAATAGTGAATAAAAATAACAACATTATATTATTAGAAATAACTAAAAAATTATTAGTTATATCATTAAATAATCATTCATTTAGACAACACGTTCGCACCAATGCTTCTGACACTTGATAAGGATCACAGTTGGCTGCGGGACGTCTGTCTTCAAAAAATCCGCATCCATTTCGGGCCACAAGTTTCGGTATGCGAACACTGGCAGTTCGGTTGCCCACACCATATGTGAACTCATTGCTTTTGGATGCATACAAACCACCCAAACGTCTATCATTATCCCGTCCCTCGTGTGGATCGTATACTTTAATATGATGTTCGTGTCTTTTACTTAGTTTTATCATCGCTTCTTCAATCTCTTGAATACCGCCCTTACCTCTCATGCCGACTGTACTGAAGTTCATGTGTCCACCCGATCCCAACCAACCGGGCACTGGTTTAGGGTCTAATGTGACTCCAATATATAAATCCTCTGCCACTCTAAACAATATATATCTAGACATCATTACATCATCACCAATACGTATGCCTTCACACGGACCTATCTAATGATATACACAATATAATTGAAATATAATTCATATTATTATTATTATTATTATTAAAGTATTAGAAATTTTATCAGAAATTATATAGTATTTACAATAAATTATATAATTTATAATATTTACCTGATATTCCCATTGACTGGGAACTGCTTCTGGATTTTGACCAGTAATCATAACTCCAGCATAAATACAGGCTCTGATATGAGCTTCATAGACATCTCGACCATAAACTCGGTTAGCGCCGACCCCATCATAATAGAGAACTTCTTTATCGGTAATTGGTTTCGGAAATCCTCCTTTAGGCCAACCCAAAGGTTGATTATCATTTGCATCTAATAACAAGTATTCCTGTTCAAAACCAAACCATGGTTTGTGATCGCGGGCCAACTCCATGGCTTTATTGCAACTGTATCTATGATTTATGACGTGTGGTTCCATCTCATCTGTATATGTCTCACATAATACTAACTTATTATTTCCTCCCTTAAACGGGTCCCGATATAATCGGACGGGTTTTAAATATATCTCTTTTTCCAATGAATCCAAACAACCACTGTTCCAATCGGGCAATTGATTGGCATCGGTGGGTATAAAATCTAGAACTCGGGTTTTGGCACACATTTGCGGCTTATATTTGCCATTACTGGTGTCCAAATGTGCCGGATGTTGATATACATATGTTACCAGTGTTTTATCGATAGGCTGTTCCAGAGACAGGTATTTGACTAAAAAATTTTGATTGGATACAAGTCCTACTTTGCTAATATTGTTTAATGCCATTATAATATTAATATACAAACAAATATTGTGTATTAATTTTTTTTAAAAAATAATCACTTTAACAAATAAAATTGAAATATAAAGTTTTTTAATCCACTTTTTATAGTTTAACAAATTTTCGTAATTTATTATGTATCACATAATTTGCATCACTTTGTTGTATATAAAATTTTATATCATAAATAATATTATAAGATAAAATAAAGCTAAAATTACTTTATTAATTTATATACTGTATATTATTTAAAAACATATGATAGTAATATCAAGGAACATAAGGAACAGTTTTTATCAGTTTAGTCAATATACCAATAGTTGTGCAGTAATTTATATTACAGGCTGGCTCATCAAGAGTTATTTTCAAAATACACCACTTATTTCAAAAACTACTAATTATATTTTATTTTAACAAAAAATATTATAAAATATGATAAATGGGATTACATATTTTTATAAAAAAATTTTTTAAAATGGCCGCCTTTAATTGCAATTAAATGGCAAAGTCAGGTGTAAAAATAGTCGAAATTGTCCTTATTTATTATATTTTGACTATCACGCGACCGCTACATCCAGAACCTGTCGCCATATGATGTGCTATTAGTGACAAAGAAATAATTGGGCCTATATTTTTAAGAGAAATTTGTGATATCAGAGATCTACAGGACTTAAATCATTGTGCAGGACATAGGGTCTGCTGAAGATAAAAAGATTGCTTGATTGTTACTGGTTTAAACAAGATGGTTCACGACCTTACAGAACACAAGATATCTTTGAACAACTTAGAGTGTTTTGGTGATCGGATTATAGGTTTGGATGCGCCGGGTTTTGGTTTCAAAGAAGACTGGCGGTGGAAATGATTTTATCCATATTTACCAGTGATTTCAACACCTGTGATTATTTTTTTGGGTTTATTTTAAGGATACAAGTTTACATATAATACCCTCAATCTATTAATAGAATTCACAAAAATGATTGAAAGTAAAAAATAATCACCATACAGCAATATATGAAATATAAAGTTTTTAACATCCACTTTTTTGTTTAACCGACTTTGCCATTTAATTGCAATAATGGCGGCCATTTTATAAAATTATATCTAATTAAAATATGTAATCCCATTTATCATATTTTATAATTTATTTTGTTAAAATAAAATATAATTAGTAGTTTTTGAAATAAGAACAGTTTGTATTTTGTCAAAATAACTCTTGATGAGCCATTTATGTAGTTAGATATTATCGATACAGTTATTATCAATACATATCATAATAAAACTAAAACAAACTTTTGCACAATTGAACTGACATTGAAAAGTATTTTTTGATAAATAAAAATTATTAATTACGATATATATTTTTAATTTGATAGTACATTATGAAGATATTGCAAACATGAAAGTATCAATTATTTAAAATATATTGTAGTTATAATTTATAAAATGTATAATAATTTTGAATATTCAATATAATTTATACTTTATGAATAATAATATTAAAGTAAGTACGATATTAATACATATTAATAAATACTAATTTTAAAAAACACTGGATGCCAAAATCTAATTTAAATATGACTTAAATATAAATTAATTATTAATAGTAAAAATATACTAAAATACAAAATCATACTATTAGTTTACAATATTAATCAAATAAATAAATTTATAATAAATATAATTTATCGCCCATATTATAGGTGTCAAGTTTTACATTTAGAGTTTATTTTTAAAACAAATTTGTTTTAATTTCTTATTTTATTTTACATTTAAAGTACTGTTATCATAACCATCTATTAGATGCAATCGCATCAATTACTTATTAAATTTTCTTTATTATAGTGATTATATGAATATAAAAATATATTTTTAAATATATAAATGTCTATCAATACAAATAATTCACAACACATTTTTAATATTTAATTACCATAAAGCAATTTTATTTTAATTTATTGTTTATACCGTATAAACTAAATTAAGTTATCTTTATGTATATTAAAAATAATTTATATATAATATTAAATACTATATACAGTAGAAGTTTATTAGAAAATTAAAATTAACTAAAAAATTATTAGTCATATCATTAAATAATCATTCATTTAGACAACACGTTCGGACCAACGCTTCGGTCACTTGATAGGGATCACAGTTAGAAGCGGGACGTCTGTCCTCAATGAATCCACAGCCTGCCTGAGCCACCTGTTTGGGGATTCGCACACTTGTTGATCTGTCGGCCACTCCTGAAGTAAAGTCATCTATTTTTGATGTGAAGGCTGCGCCCTGAAGTCGTCGTTGATTGTCAAGTCCTCCGCGGGGATCGTATACTTTAATATGATGTGCGTGTCTTTTGGACAGTTTATCAACGGCACTATCAATCTGAGTAATGCCACCCTTTGCCCGCATTCCAGCCGTACTGAAGTTCATGTGTCCGCCCGAACCAAACCAACCCGGAACCGGTTTCGGATCAAATGTTATGACAATATTTAACATTTCTGCCACTCTATGCAATATATATCGCGACATCATTACATCATCACCGAGAAGTATGCCTTCAGACGGACCGATCTGTTGATATTATTTTTATAATATAATTATAAAATACAATTAGTTATTATTATTACTAAACCTGATATTCCCATTGAGCCAGTAATCCCTCTGCATTCTCGCCTGTAATGTTAACGCCGGCGTAAAGACAGGCCCTGAAGTGAGCCTCGACTACATCTCGACCGACGACACGGTTGGCACCAATTCCTTGAAAATATATGACATCGAGTTCTGTGGGATGTTTAGGATAACCTCCTTTAGGCCAACCCAAAGGTCGGTTAGTGTTTCCATCCAATAATATGTATTCCTGTTCAAAGCCAAACCACGGTTTGTCATCGCTAGCCATCTTCATGGACTCATTACAACTGTGTCTATGGTTGACCGGGTGTGGTGTCATCTCATCAGTATAGGTCTCACACAACACTAGTTTATTATTACCACCTCTGAATGGATCGCTATATATGCGGACCGGTTTCATATATACTTCTTCTTTGAATGAATACATACTACCGCTGCACCAAACGGGTAAGTCATTGACATTATTGGGTACAAAATCAATAACTTTAGTTTTGGCACATAATTGTGGATAATAGTGACCATCGCTGTCTCGATTACCCGGATATTCATAGACATACGTCACTTGAATCTTGTCTTTTGGCTGATCCAGAGATAAAAATTTAGCTAAAAATGTCTGATTTGATATTAAAGATACACTTTTTGACGACATTTTTTTGGATAATTATTTAATTAATTTAGAGAATATTAAATTAATTTTATAATTAGTAAATTAACTTTTTTGATTTGATTATTAATTTTTGAGATTTATTTAAGTTTTTTTCATCTTTATTTATACATTTATTGTAATTGCAATAAATTTGTGGACTATTTTTAATTTTATATCATTCATTGCAATTATTGCTAAATAATTGTTATAAATGATAAAATTATAGCTCTTATCTATTATATGGTATATTTATATTTACCTAAATATTAATATAATTTAGTGATAATTTCTAAAATTTTTAGATTATAAATTGAGGCATTTTTTAAGTACATTACTGCCAAATACTAATTAGTATATTAATTAACTATAATTAAAAAACTATTATATATTATTATAATATTATTAAATATATATAATATTAATGTTTGTAATAATTATAACAATTCATATTATTAAATAGAATTATGATATTAATTTTTATAATACAAATATATAATGATATTATATTAAATAAAATACTCATAACTGTTAACAAAACTAAGTCAACATTGTTTTATCACTAATCGTAAAATGTTTACAATTTATAAAATTGTGTACAAATTTGGGTTAAATTAAAGCTGAGTTATCGGTGATAAAAATTTTGCTTTTTAACTGAAAACATTTCTTTAAGCCCTAAAATACGGAAACACATAAAACCTACTAAAATAAAATCTCTCATAACATTATATAATTAATTTTAATACAATTAACAAAAATCAATTGCTATAAGCGCGAAAATATTATTAATTTACAATTAAACATATTAATTATAAGTATATTATTGAATGAGATAAATAATCAAAATTATTATATAATTTTTAATCTAAATTTAAAAACTTATTTACAATACATTAATTAAATCAACTTTAAATTGTAATAATTTAATTGATTATTCTAAACTTTTAGTAATATTTTTTTTAATTTTATTATTTATTAGACATTTCAGTATTTTCTGTGTATTTGATAAGCATTTAAAACATTACTATCAGTGCATACAAATATAAAATATTACTTAACTTTTTTTGATAAATGAAAATTTATTGTATTGAAATAATTTTAAACTCAAAATAAATATAAATAAGATATTCTAAATAATTTAATAAATTACTTTAAAATTATATACTTGTTAAAAACCATTAGTAATTTAATACTATTAAATATTAAGATTTTTATAGAGTAAAGTACTGTAATTTATTAATATTTTATTTTAATCTAAAATTTAGATTCTAAACCAAATTTTTAACAATTATTACCTTAATTATAAATTTTACTAAATTTAATTAACTGGATATTTTTGAATAAAAGTAATAATAATAATTTTAATAATTAAAAAACATTAAAATTTTGTATAAAACTAAAAATTAATACTAAATTTTGATTTTATAAAAAAGTTGTTTAATGTGTAAAAATGTTATTATTGAGTATAATTCATATTGTATTTAGTCTTAGAGTTTGTTGTTTTGTAGAAAAAATATTATAGTTTTTTATTCCAAATTCACGGGTTTTTGATACACAAAAAACACATAATTTAAACGTTTAAAAAATAATTTAATTATAAGAATTTGTTTAATAGATTTAATTGCAAGTGATTTGCATTTAAAAAAAAACATATTTAATAATAAATTTACATTTTGTGTTTCTTTACTTTAGGTTCCATAGAGATATAGGATATAATATATGGCATATATTATATGCAAATAAGTTATAGCGAGACAACAATGTTGTACATAAAGTATATCCCATTTTCTAATAATAATTTAATATTCAAAACTTCACGCATCAAACAATTAACTTAAAATTAATTTAACACATTTGGCAAATATTTGAATTCAAATTTAATTTATCTCTCATTTAAATCAGTTCACAAAATTCAGTTAATTTTTTTTAAATCACTTTATTATCAATCATTAAATCAGATCCATTAGTTAGTTTTTAGACCATTGATTAAATCAAAGACATATCAGTAGTATTGATACAGTAGTGATGAATAGCGAGCCCACACAGTTTGTCAATCTTTGCGCTCAGTTATGCAAAGACCCGGTGTTTGCATCACTCGAAAGCCATGAGAAGCGAATCGCTCACATCTTTCAAACGATTAAATCGCTTCAAGAATTCCGCGAAGACATCACCCATAAAGTGGACAATTATGTCAAACTCTGTGACAAAAGTGAGACAAAGTCACAGATGTATCGCACAGAAGGTGACAATCATATGTCAGCCAAGAACTACTATATAGCTATTCAGTGCTATACCAATGCTTTACTATGGGCTCCCTTTCCCACTGAAGGCTCCGACTGTAAAGATTTGCAAAAGGCATACACTGCCAGAGCTCACGCTTTCTGTCGTATTGATGATTACTCCAATGCCCTCTTCGACGCCGAAATGTCTATGTTTTTGGGTTCATCTGTCGATATGACGTGTGTTAAAGGCATTAGTCTGAAGAGTTTGGGCCGTTATGGTGAGGCCATGCAATGCATCGATGGTATACTTGCCTGTAAGGAACAGTTCAAACTCAATGAAAAGCCACAACTCCTCAAAACACTAAAAGAAATGCATACATCTCTAACCAAAGAGCTGGTAGTGTACGGACCTAATTGGCCGCTTCCAGAACAGGAACACATCAGTGACTTTGATCTATGGATGGAACAAAAGATCGCATTGAAGGCAAACAAAGAAAAAGGTCGTCACTTTCTGGCTAAAGAAAAGATACCAAAGGGAGCGGTCGTCATATCAGAGAAGCCACAGAACGCTGTGATATCGGCCCAACACTTAAGATCTGTATGCAGTTGTTGCCAGAAAATGATTGGTTTCCAGTTCTGGCCGTGTGTTTGGTGTAATGAAGTTGTCTTTTGTGACCGAACCTGTCATGACAGAGGTATCAAAGATTCGCATCAATTTGAATGCAAAATGACAGGACTAGTGATCCAGAGTCCACTCTACCAGACATTCCGTGTGGTCACACGTATTGGAGCAGAATATGCCTTCAAAACGGCCACTGATTTCGATCTCCAGAAGTTTGATCTCCAGAAATGGTTGTGTCGTTTCTATGGTCGAGATTGTCATCTTATGTATCGACGTATTAGAGATGAGAAACGACATCACTTCGAGGCATTTCTGTCACTGACAGACAATGACAACAAATACACGACGGAAGACAATGCGAAGCACACACTTATGGCCATTGATTTGGCGCTTCTTATTGAATACAAGAAGGCTTTTGTGGCCGACAACGAACAGACGTTTGTTTCGTTTGTGGCATTTTTGGTAAAAACATTTCGCAGAACATTGACCAACAGTTTCGGGTGGACTGTTAAGGATCCGCAACAATCACAACAAAATCTAGCACTTGGCTCCTGTGTCTCCAATTATTCTTCGTATATCAACCATAGCTGCGACCCCACAATGTTTTGGCAGTTCTTCGGCGATAAGTTAATATTCAGAGCAATCAGAGACGTCGAGCCGGGAGAAGAAATGTCAATCAGTTACGGACCAAATCAATGGATGCCTTTAGAGAAGAGGCAACTCATTCTGAGAAACAATTATCACTTCAGTTGCGGTTGCAATCTATGTCTCAAACAAGTCAAAGGCTATCCGGCACTCAAATGTCTTGAATGTGAAGGACCAGTACTTTATGTGGCAAACATCCACAGACAAGACAGAGACTTATGTCTTCAGTGCGGAACTCTCTATCCCAACATCAGACAAGTACTTCAAAAAGTGGCTTTTGTTAGACTCGAGTTTGAAGAATCACTCAAAATTATAAATAGATTGCAACAAAATGATGGTAAAGAAGAAGCCAAAGATGAAGAGGAAAAAGAAGAAGAAGAAGAGTATGAAGACAATACATACGACAACTCTGTGGAAAATTCAAACAATGAAGACGTTATCGATGAGCACAAAGAAGAAGAATCAAATGAAAAGACTGATACTGAAAGCAATAGCATCTCTGAACTCGAGAGTGAACAACAAGAACAAGAAGTGAACAAAGATTCCAAAGAAAATGATGAAACCAAAGATCCGGAAGAAAAAGAAGCCGAAAGACAAACAATGATTGATTTGCACCTTAAGAGAGCCGAAGAAGCGGTGCAAACGATCATTGATTTGCATTACAATGAAGTTAGTGAACTGATTGGCCTTCAAGTGAGACTCACGAAGCAGTTCATTATTTGTGGTAAATATACCGAAGCCGGCAAACATGTCGACCGTTTCCTCAATGCAATTGATTGGTCCAAATGCGGTCAAAGTTGTCAACATTGGGAGGACTTATTGTTTGTCACAAATGCTTACTACGAATATCTCAAAGACCAGACTGTCGGCCAAAAGCAAGAGTGGAAACAATGCTTTCAGTCGTTTTCAGCACTCAAACAGTCGTACAAAAGTATTAAACAGGAAGACCAAGGATTCCGTTGTATTACCATTGATGGCAAACCTGTTCAGTCGGCTGATGAGGTCAAGCAAGTGATGCGCGAGAAAAAGTCCAACTTTTCGGCGCTCAAAGAGGTCTACAAGAATTTGTTCACTCATTGATACTACTGATTATGTCTTCAAAATTAGTCTCTATTTTCACTGATTTCTGTTAAAATTTTTTTTATTGTTTTTGAATTCATTAAAATTGTTTCATTCATTCATTTATTACTTTACTCACAATATTATATTATGCTTTCATTTGTTGTGTATTTCAAAAGTTTGTAATCAATTGTTTTACCACAAAAAAAATATCAGATAATGAAATATAAAAATGAAAATTATATCAAATGTTTTCAAACACATGTTATTGATTAACATGAACTTAAATTTGGACAAAATATCGACATATTTTACACAATTTAGGTTATATGAGCCCACATTTCATGTAAATAAATTATCAATATTTATATATAATATTTTAAATATAAATAAAAAATATATTTAGAGTTTAGATTTTCATTTTAAGGAAATTACCTGATAGGTAAAATATAAAATGTTATTAATATTGTTAATGATATTTGCAAACGCTTTAAACTTCATCTCAAGTAAATAATTGACTAATTTATAGAAATAAATTAAAAATATTTTAAATTGCTATTGTTTGATATCTATTTAGGTGACAAAAGTTTAAATCAATGTGAAATATCAACTGTCAATTTGGTACCAAAAATAATGGGCGGTCTAACTGTACGGCCACTTGAGTTCCCATGGATGGGCTCACTTCAGGTCAAATATTTTTCATCACATAATTGTGGCGCTACTCTAATCAATGGTATATATAATAAAAACTTTTTTATAGTTTAACACATTTTTTTCAATAAAATTATTACTAAATTTTACTAATAATTTATATATGAAGTGATAACTTACAAAAAAAAAATAGTTTTTAATACTTTATAAATTATTTATAGATGAGTGGGCACTGACTGCAGCACATTGTATGCGAAAATCTATATTTCCATTCACTTGGAAAATCAGATTTGGAGGACATATGCTTAATAAATACGGGGAAATGGACAGGGAGTTTGCCATTAGCAAAGTAATTACTAAAATACTTTGATAATAATATATTTATGATATATAAAATTTATACTCAAGTTATATTTAATATAAATTTTTTAAAGGTATTTATTCATAAGGACTACTCCAACATTACTAAAGTAAATGACATAACATTGTTAAAGTTGAGTACAAAAGTGGATTTTTCAAATAAAGATAAACATTTGAAACCTATTTGTTTGCCCCACAAAAATCTACAAATACCTGACGGCGCTGTATGTTTGGCTGTTGGTTGGGGTAAACGATATAAAAGTAATTTTCAATTAATTAATAACAAAGTATTTTTTATAATTAATATATTTAATGATATATCCCATAGACGAATCAATGTCACCGGTTCTCATGAAAGTATCCAAACAAATGGTTGACCGAAACACATGCATAAAGTCATGGCCAGGCATATCATTTCCTATAACTGACGGACATCTATGTTTTGATGGTATGACCGATGAAAGCGGTGTATGCAATGGTGATTCAGGTGGACCCATACAATGTCAAACAAGTGATGGTAAATGGATTCAATTAGGTGTGGCCTCGTGGACATCAAATCCCTGTGCGCTGAAAGGATATCCGGCTGTATTTACCAAACTATCTCATTATTTTGATTGGATTCAAGATATAATATCAAAAAACTAATGTTTACTACAAAATGTTTCAAATTTAATTCTAAAAAATGCTAAAAACACAAGTTTTACAAAATTATGATAAATAATAAAAACAATTACATTTATAATACTTGAATTACATTTCGAAAAATTTTTCTGCTAAATAATATGAATTATATTCAAACATTACAATCAACAGTATTTTAATATTTTTAAACAAATCTTAACTAATACTAACCTATACTATAAGTATATAAATAATAATAATTTTTAATTTTAATAATTACATTAGATATTAGCTATTTGTTTAATTAAAAAATATTTTGCCAAAGATTGAAATGGGATTCAATCAGTCACTAAAAGAAAAACATGATGTCATATATTAATACTTAATTAATTTTTTAATTTCTACAATATTTCTTAATATAATTCCATACTTTTATGAATTATACTGTATGTTATAAGTTTGGTTATATAGTTATTATAGAAAATCTAGATATTATTTTTATATCGAATTTTTGTGTGTAATAAATACTATTTTACTTTTACTATATAACGGATGTAATTTCAAAATAATATAATAGAGTGACCAAATTGTTTTTGACACAAAAAATGTAAACATTAGTATAACAAATTAGTAAATTATTTATGACAATTTAGCTTAAATATTAAACATATACTGCAGTTTATAAATTTGAGCAATCTTACTTTTTTTTTATTAAGTTATATATTTTTATAAAATATTCAATAAAAAATATATTTAAATTTAATTATTTAAAAATAAATAGATTAAGATATAAGTTTTTATGTATATAACAAACAAATTAGATTTTTGACAATTAAATTAGAATTAAAGTTTTAAAATAAATTTAGTCAACAAAATAGTTTAATAAACATTTTGTAATTAAAAAAATCTATAAATATTTAAACGTGAATTCAGATTTTAAAAGCAAAAAAAAATTATTCGTGTAATTTGTAAATTATATATACTTTAATTTATACAAATGTAGAAAACTTAAAAATAATAAAAAAAAATATTTTACATGATAATTGTAAGTATTTACATTGTACCATAATTTATACAATTTTTTTTTCTTAATTTAACTTACAAACAAATATTATCAATTAGTCATATTAGATATTTTAATAAAATAAATAATTAATTTTCCATTTTTAATTAATTTAATTAACCAAATATCACAATATGTTTTTATCAAGTTTTCATTTATTAGTTTAGTTTGATTGAGTGAACGAGTTATAAGCATAAAGAGTTAAATACTAAGATGTCGTTAAAATTACAATTTATCAGTTTTGGTATACTCTGTAAGTAATAATTGAGATTTAAAAACAAAAATTAAATCTATTTTTAATAATTAGATTTATGATAAGTTTTATTTAAATATAAAAAGTACCGATAATTAAGTTAGATATTAAAAAACAAATATATAAATATTATTTTAATATTAATTTTTTTATATTATAGTGTTGTCGTGTAGTTTGATTGACAAAAGTTTGTGCGATATTTATGACAATGAAGTGTTTGAAGACACTGAGGAAGACATCGACAATACTCTGGCAGATGTAGATCGTATGTCTTTACCGTATAGACGTTATCCGACATCATTTGAAACTTACGATTACGAAATATGCCGGTAATATAACATAAAGTTATGCATATATTATATGTAGGATTCAATCAACCTTTTAGTATTTAAAAGGTGTCTATTTTCCTGATCCCTAGGAATTCATAGGAAATTTATTTCTTTTTTCTATCACCTATTGATCCCTAAACAACACATTTTATTATAATATTTGAAAAACAAATGTTATAATAAATTGTATTTTAAGTGATATTGAGTAATAATATCACTAAATTTAATGAGATAAAATTTATTTTTAAATATATCAATGAAATTGTTTTTAGATATTTTAGTTTTATGCTATTTATTTTTATAATAAAAAATATTTTTCATTCTCCAACGATGAAGGAAGGTTAAAATAAAATATTTTCTTTAAAAACTGGAGGGAAAATTGGAGGGAATTTATTAGGGAACATTCTAAGGGAAGAAAACTGTCCGAACTCTAATTATATGTAACATTTCAATTAAATTAAATTCCTATATATTTACATCTATATTATAAATTCTATATTATATTCTAATCTATATTATATATTGCTATACAATATGTCTTATGTATGTATATATAGAGTGTATTTTTATAAAGAGCTAAAAATATCGAAATATTTTACACAAAAATACGAGAATAATATCCATATGAAAGTAATTGTGGCCAATATGTCAGTGACACGAATGCGAATGCAGGACGAGATCTGCAAAAACAATACACAGCTATACTTGGATTTTCTCAAGACTACCAACAGTTTGCTTCCACAGACAAGTCTTAGAGCCAGAAAAGGATCCGATTTGTTCACAATGATAGCACAGCCTAATTCAAGCTATACATTGGCGCAACTCATTTGGTATATGATATTAGTTTTGAAAAAAATGTTTTATTGTTTCTACAAATATATGAATACTAATAATTTAATAATTATTTCAAATTCAGTTTTTCTAATTATTATTATAAAGAGTTTATCAATTCATACACTGATCCGCGATTTAGAGCCATTGCAGAGCGTACTGTCAAACGAATGTCTGATTCTTGGATACCATATTTGAAGGAAGCCCTCAATGTTAACACCGATGACAACAGTTGTCAATCATTGAAAGTTTCCATCGATTACTCAATCAAACGGCGTCTCTCTAAAGCAATGGCATTGTTTGATGCTTTAGCAAGACTTCTTAATATGTAATTTCAATATAAATTGATTATAATTTATAAACTATTTTCAAATACGGTATATATTATTATAATAATTTTGTTTACTATTAATAGTGAAATCAAAAAGCGCCACTACATCAAACCTTCTTTAAAAGCACACATAAAATTACCCAACAAAACCACCCAAAAACCCACCCAACAGCCCACCCAACCACCCACACAACTACCCACACAACAACCTACACAACAACCTGAACAACAACCAGAACAACAACCAGAACAACAACCTGAACAACAAACTGAACAACAACAACAACAAAGCTCTTAATAACCCCTAATATAAGACACAAACATGAAGGGGACAAAATTTAAGGGGGGTTTAAATGATAATTCATTATTTATAATTAACTATTAATAAAATCTATGTAATGAAATTTAGTTATTAAATAAAACAGCAAATTAAGCAATTAAATGTACTGTAATACTATCTAATTAATTTGCTTATAATCTACTAAAATAAAATTTCAGGTAAATTATTGTTTTTTATATTTTATAGAATAGCATATTTGGTATAAAAATTAAAGTTTTTATTGCACTACCATAATGTCACTTTAAATTTATCGCTATTGTCGAGATTGAATATCATGAAAACTACTTGATAAATGTAGAATATATAATCTAGTTTATATATAATCAATAAATATTTTTTTAAATCAATAATTTAAAAGATATACAGTACTTAAATAAGTAAAAACGTAAAACGTTACCAGTATTAAGGATTGTTTGGTCGTGTGTTTAGTCATTGTTTACTTGAATTTATAAAATTACTTACGGTATATAATTTTTGAATAATTTTAGTAATTGTGTATAAACTAGAGTATATATATATATATATTGTACATTTACAAAAAAAAACGGTATCAAAATTAATTAAAAAAGTAGTTTTTAAGATATTGACTCTCAATCCTCTACCGTATACTTTTGACAATAGTTGTAAAACTATGAATAGCTATGAAAAACAATTTATTGTATAAATTTTGTTAAATTTATAGTAAATAACTATAATTTTTTTTAACTAAATAAGATATTTACCGTTAATTATACTTATAATTACCGTTTTTAACCACATAACTTGCCATATCAATTTTAAAAATTAATTAAAAGTGTCATAAAGGTATGGAACTAATTACCACTAAACCTGCCATACCCTGGCAGATAATGCGATAACTAAAATAACCGAATGGCAGTAAATGTGATAACTGGTATTTACACTACTATAAGTGTTTTAAATATCTAAATTTAGTTATAATTAATTAAATATATGATCAATCAATAAATAAATAAATAATTTAATATTCTAGGATCGATCTATAATTAATAAATGATCGATCAATACTATAAAATTAATAATCAAATATATAATAAATTTAATTCGCATTAATAATGCATAAATAATCGCATTAAATAATGATAAAAAATTATGAGTGGCATGAATTTGACACATAATAAAAACTTATAACATGGCTAGGATTTTGTGCCCCTAAATCTAGCAAATTCCAGGGGAACCAATTACCACGAAACCTGCCACTTATCGCATTACCTTCCATGCCAAATTATGTGCGCAACAACGGTAATACAATTTTACTACAGTATAAGCGACAAATCTGATATTAAAATGAGATAATTTAACTCTAATTTAAACAAATTTCATTATTTAATATATTGATTATTCATATAAATTATAAGTAAACTAACTGTTCAATTATTAATTTGAAAACAAACTTTAATTAAACATTTATTCTAATTTTTTGAATATTTAGTTAGTTTTAGTGCAGTAATTATTAATGATATGGCCATTATTAAAATACCATATATTAAAATGATTTACTAATTATTAATTGTATATTTAGGATAAATCTGAAACCATTTAGTAACTAAAATACTAATAATAAAATTTAGTTTAATTACAACAAAACAAATTAAATTTATTAATAATAATTCACTTAAATATTTAAACTACAGAAGCAATCCTCTAACAGTGATTTGTCTCTAAGCGGGAGCTTTAATGCCTAAAACTAATTTGTTTTCCTCTTCAACAATATGATGGTCGGGTACCTCAAGATTGAGAGGTGCGGGTCCTTTACGTATACGTCCAGATGCATCGTAGTGACTGCCATGACATGGACAGTAATAGCCGCCCCAATTGCCCTGATTGGCAATCGGTACGCATCCTAAATGAGTACAATTGGCCATAACTATTAACCATTTGCCTGATGTGTGAGCGTATGACCGGACTTCATCAGTCTGTGGATCTCTCAATTCTCCGATGTCTTGAGCTCTCTCTCGAGCTACTTCTTCGGCAGTCCTGTGTCTCACAAAAACAGGTTTATCTATGTATTTGATGAACAAATTTAATTACTTGATAACAATTAAGTCATAAATTTGCGTACTGTTCCACTTAATGGTAATATTAGTTCCTTCGGGTATCTTATTTAAATCAACTTCGATAACACCCATGGCTAGAGTGGACGCTGCGGGTGACAAATTGGCCACAATTGTGTGGACAATCTTCTTGGCAGCGATCAGACCGGTCACACCAACGCCAACCTTTACCACATCCAAAGGCAGTCGTCTCTCATCGCGCGACTCTTTGGCCAAACGACTTGGGTCTCGAGTACTGTCTTTGCGGACGTCATCGAAACTCGGGATTTTGATATCGTTGTGATAATAACGAAGTTGTGTCCCGACTTGGAAAAGACAAAAACAAAATCATATTAAGTCATGAAAAAACTGTCATTTATTTTGTATACCTCCGATACCGGTGCCTATTGATAACTGTCGCTTAAACATTGTTTGACTTAATCCATATGACGTATGTGGCCTCGGGAGGGGTTGAGTGGCCAAATCAATGGCTATGTCCTGATAATCGCAGGGTATCAACGATGGTAACGATTCTTCTCGTTCTTCCCATTGGCTCAACAATGGATGCGTTGGTGTCGGCGCTATTGTACGGCCACCGACCGCTTGAGTGACGGCACGCACGGCATTAGACAGACCAACACCACCTCTTGCACTGACCGATAGCATCACTGACCATACAATCGGGTAATTCAATGAACTAATGGTTTGTTTGTTTATAACCTTTAATTGAAATGCCTTTCAATGCTATAGATATTCAATGTATTAAAATTACTATTAGATTACAGTATGGACTCAATTAATAATTACTTAATTAATTACTTAAGATATATACAATTTTAAACCAATTTTCATTTGTGATAAATTTTTATTAATAATTTAACTAAATGTTTAATTTTATTATTTTATTTTCATTAATAATTTAAAAAATAACCAAAACGTTAATATAATTAAGTTTTAGTGAAAGTTATATATAAATGACATCACAATCACTAWTAGTGAAAATTATTGTAGACGTTCACAAATAATACATAACTGTTTTTTCCTACAAACTATAATCATATAACTGTACAGTACATCATATAAATTACTGTTACGTTTAATGCTATAAATTCGATACTTTCGATACTACAGTGCTATCGATGTATAGTTTGTTTTTGCAAAAACCAATTAACTGTATTCAATAAAAACGTTTGATTATAGCTATTAACATATGTTAACAATTATATACAGATAACAGGTATTATAAATACAATAATATTTAAACCAATAGTAATAGTGATAAAAGTTTTAGCGCTTATATTAAACACTATTTCAGTGATATTTTATTTAGTATTAATTAATTAAAAATAGTTGCAATTAATTTATTTACAATAAATAAATTATTATTCAATAATTTAGATTATTATTCAATAATTTAGATTATTATTCAATAATTTAGATTATTATTCAATAATTTAGATTATTATTCAATAATTTATATTTAATTATATTTAATAACTTTATTACCAATAAGTGTATGTAATATACATTTACATTGATATTAATTATTAGCGCCAATAATAACATATAGTTTTTAAATATAATGTACTTTAAGAGTGAATTCAAAACTATAGTATTGTTTATACGAATCAATTGTTTTGTAAACATATTGTCAGTAATTAAATGAATGATTGGATTCAATGATTTGATGATCACATCGATGGCTAACTACAAGAATTACAGCAACGACTCATTTGATCGTTTCGGTGATGACTTGTGTCAAGTATTGATCAATTATCTGCCATTCAGAGAGCGGTTCCGATTTGAATGTATTTGCAAACAATGGAAACGATTATTATTTACGACAATCACTGACATAGAGTTTGATAAACAACTCGATGAACGACTCGTACGGCTCAAGAGGTCACTAATTGTGGCCAAAGTAAAGACTATGATCGACAAGTGTAAGAATATGACCGGCGCTGTCATCACTCACACCAGTCCTGTCATGAATAAAGCCATTGAAGTGATGATTATAAATAGCAATCAATTGAATACATTGGTATTGAATGAATGGTCACAATCACCGATCAATGAAACACTTGTCAATCAATTACTTGAAAAGTTTGGCAAACAATTGACACGACTATCGATAAACACAACTCTGAAGAATAATGTTTGTGTGCTTAAGAATCTCAAACTGTGTCCAAATTTGATAACAATTTCATTACTCAGTTGTGATATTAATAATTGGTTTAAACAGAAGAAATTGTTGGACAATACTGTCAATGGTTTGGTAGTTAATAAACTCCAGTCACTGGTGTTTATGTTAAACAATCAAACAGACAATCGAGTATTACTGCAAATTATTGACAACTCTCGCAATAGTCTCAAGAAGATTACCATCAGATTTGACAGCTGGTACTTCTTCGAGTACTTCGGTAGTCACGGCAATACTTATGACAGTCTAATTGCATCGCTATCACAAATATCGGGACTAATTGATTTGGATTTAACGTATGAAATGATTAAAATAGTTATCGACCAACAAGTGGTAACCGAAAATCAAAGTCGACTCATTGAACCATTAAAACAAATTGGTCTCAATTGTCACCAATTGAAACATATTGGAATAAGTTATGATTCAATTGAAGATCAAAGAAACCTATTGAAAGTAATCAATGATTACTTTACACACATTAAACGTTTGACTATTCATACATATTATGCCGAAGAAGTTATTGTATTAAACATTGAATGTCTTAACAAATGTTTACAATTAACTCATTTAACTATCTTTTCCAATGGAAAACATAATTTCATTGCTATCACTACCGATGATATCAATCAAATGCATAAAGTGTTGCCTAATATACACACTTTGAATCTCATTTATGACTCCATCTATTCAGACAGTGTCCGCGATTTTCGTAATAATACAACTGTTTCTGTTATTAAAGTTAATGGCTATGAATTTTGGGCCAAAGATATTACCGGTGGACCAGACATTGATATTGATGACACAGATGACGATCAATGGGAGACAACAGATGATGAGGAGTACGATTGAAATAAGACATAAAAATTGATATTAATTTATCATTTATTGTTTATTTTTTGCAATTCATCTTTTAATTTATCAATGCTTATAAAATATGTCTCATTTTTTAAATGTTTTCATATCTACATCTATATGTATTACCAGTAATGTATAAATAATAAATAATTGTATTTAATTATCTATTTATGCAATTATATGAAAATTATTAAAATTTACAAGTTGTCTAATAATATATTTAAATATATTATTTTTTAATTATTTATTTAAGTTAACTGTTTTTACTTTATAATTAGTACATCATATTTACATAATATGATCTGTAAAAACAAAAGTTATTTATATATGAATAGTTAAATTTTTTGAATATTTTTCATAATTTAAACACACATTAGTTTCACTGTCAACCTGTTAGCTGTCCATCATTTGGATAATAAAACTTATTTAAACAATTTTTTGATTATAATAAAATATTAATTTTTAAAAAATATACAGTATATATACCAATTACTTTTGTATTTAAAAATAAGTAAAATATAAAGTTAGGAAAATTGGTATAAAATGTATAATTTTAAATATTCATATGACAAGTAAATACTGTATATAATAATGTAGTATAAATGACTATAAAACAACAGAAAACCAATGAAATTGATATAGCATTGCCAGAAACAAACTTTGATGGCATAAATTACCTCTTATACACTCATATTATAACCAAAATATTAATTTTATATAATCATTAGTCTATGAGTAATATTAAGCGCAAACTAATCATTGATAAAATAAGTTAGTATTCATGAGTTATATTTATTTTATATTATATATAATTATTTCTATTTTCATTCCTTTCAAAATTTTTAAAGATAACTGTCGGCCATTTTGACTGTATTAACGACAACATAAGATACCACTTCTTAAAACAATCCTATTTTAAATTTGAAATCTTTATATGAATTCGTTGACAAAATTTTTTAAGTTTGCACTTTTTTAATACTTTGGCCGCCATTTTGTTCATATTCCTGAAGAGATATTTGATTTTTGATGTCATCCTATAATTTACGTTATTTTCGATTTTCTAACCGAATCTGAAGTCAGAATTTCGAAATTTGCAAAAAAACACACGACAGACATATATATATATATATAAATACATTCCAGAAAACAAACTATTTTCAAAGTTTGTTTGAATATATACTGTACACTATATACACAATGTATATAATGATCAACTTTTGAATAGTTATTTTATCAACAAAAAAAATCTTATTATATTGTATTATATAATACATAACTACTGTGTACTTATAAAATCAATAATTTGATTAATTTTGAAAATAGCTTTACTTTTAGTTATACATTGTCCTCAATAGTGTTGATAACAGTTAACGAGTTAGTACTCGAAACTAATTATAACAATAGTCCTGTCAATAGTTATTCAATGAACTATTGCTGTTATGTTTAGTATAAGAACATCACATAAAATGTTAAATTTATTATTAAATTAATATTATTTTATGCAAACACTTTGAATTGTGATATTAATTGAAAAAAAAGTAAAATCTCATTTAAATATTACAAACATGTCATCAAATACATGCAAAAGTGAATCAAATTTAACGACAACTATTGATACAAATTTGTTGAATTGCATAAAAGTCGACACTAATGATGATAGTAATAGTAAAAATAAAAGCACAAAATTTTTTAAATGTTTTCACACATTTACCGGATCGGAGTATATAATTATAGGACTGTTATGTTTCGGAAATTTTTGTGTCGGCAGTGCTTTCTCATTGTTGGCTCCTTTCTTCCCGTCCCATGTATGCCATTATTTATGATTTATATTATATAAAATAAAATCAATGATTAGACTTTTATCTGATGTGTTTTGTTTTCAGGCCAAACAAATGGGAGCCAATGAGGCCTGGATTGGTATAATTATAGCAGAATATCAAATTTCATTGTTTTTGGGATCAATTATATTTGGAAAATTGGTAATATTATTTTATAATATAATTATTAATTATAATTTATAATAACTATTTTAAAAAAATAGATTCCTCCTTTAACTCCCAAATTTATGATAAGTTTAGGCTTATTAGTGGCCGGTATTTGCAGCACACTGTTTGGGTTTGTTTTGATAATTAAATTAAAAAATTTAAATTATATATATAATATTATTGATAAAAATAAAGTACTCTTCAATGGTCTCCGACGGGCACAACATTTGTGGCGTTGGCGATGACAAGTCGTACGATTGAGGGCTTAGGTGTGGCCTCTTTTTTCGTCAGTTGTTGGACTATAATTTGCTTACATTTTCCAAATCATATATCAAAACTGTTTGTAAGTATATTTATAAATCTTTATTTTTGAAAACAATATTTGATAACAAGTCTATTAAAAGGCTACAACTGAAATGTTTTACGGCATCGGTATGATATTTGGACCGGCAATCGGTGGACTACTCAATCAAGTATGTTGTCTATTAAATTGTTAATAATTAATATAATATTATTAAAACTAACTCCTTTATATACACTGGTATGTCATAAATAGTTTGGTAATAACTATAGCATTGGATTTTGTTTGCCATTCATTACCATCGGATCTCTAATAATCTTTTCCTCATTTCTTATGTTTTTACTTTTACCCTCAAAATGTAATTATTTAAAACAATTGTAAATTTTATAAATTATTTTTCTTATGAATTTTTCTCTTATAATTATTAATCCATAGCTCAATCCCAATCAATTGAGAGGACAAGTACTTTAGGAGTTTTGAGCAAATTTGATATTACATTGAATATAATAATAACTATTAACTGTTTTTTATCTATTGGTTTTAATGAGGCAACACTTGAATTGCATATTGAATCGGTATTTTGAAGTTTTACTTTAAATTGACTTTTCTTATAATTTTAATTAATCTTAAATTATTTTATCAATTTAAAAAATAATGAAAACTAATAATAGATCCAGAAGCTATCCCCATCACTAACAGGTGCCATATTTATCATAATGGGTTTAGTTTATGCTGTATTCAGTCAAGTTTGGGCCTATATTGTAGAGAAAGTGTCAAACTGTCATCCAATATGTATAATAGGCTGTCTGTTATCAATGACTGCATTCATAATTGCCGGTCCATTGCCTTTCTTTCCCATTGAATCGTTAGTAAAAAAATCAATTATTTAATTATTAGTTTGATTAAATAATTTGTCCTGGTATAATGCTTTAAAACTTTTATAGTTAATTTATTAATAATTTTTTATTGCAGTCAATTATGGATGCCTATTGTTGCACAAATATTTTTAGGACTGGGAACAGGAGCACAGTGTGTCGGCAGTTTTACTCAGGGAGTACGACAAACAATGTATGTATAAAATTATTACCGTAAGTAATAGACAAATGTCTTCTACTACTGTAATATATAATTGTATACATACTGTACTACTAATAATTTTATCTTATATTATGTATAATTTAATTTTTTAGGAAAAACGGTTATCCGGATAATGTATCGACATTTGCTGTGATTTCTTCAATTTATTCATCAGCAATAGCTTTAGGGTATATACAGTAAACATTTAAGTTTGAATTTATTTTAATTGTTATCTTATTTATTAAATATTTTAATAGATCTGCTATTGGACCTGAAATTGGTGGCAGTCTATTGGGTGCTATGGGTTATCGGTGGTCAACAGTACCGATTGTGGGCTTACAGATAGTTATCGTATGTTTTTACTACTCTAACAATTATAAAAACAAACTAATTTTTAAATTTTATTATTTTTTAGATCTTAATTATCATAGCATATGATTTGTATGTTTACATTAAAAAATAATTGTCTCTAATATGTATTATATGTGTAGTATATGTAAAATATTAATTATATATAACTTATTTATTTAGGATACAAATTGATTTTAAATGTTTATAATTAAGACTTTTTTTAATAGTTACAAATAAAATATATAGTTTAATTGTTATATCTTTTTTATTAAATTATATCATATTTTAATAATAGGATTAATTTTGTGATAATGATTGTTGGATAAATCAATAAAGTACCGGTATATTATCATTTACTGTATAGTCTATATTATAAGTGCAAATACTTTAGTTTAATAGCTATAATAATAATATAAACAATGTATACCATGAATACAATAACTTTTATATGTAATATTAAAATTATTTTTTATATACTTTTATAGAATTTACAATAAAAATATTCAATAGTATTGAGTGACTCATAGCGTACCTAATTAGAGGTATTAATACAAGACTATTATGCAAATATAAGTACAGTAATTGTATTAAACAATTAAAATATAATCAATTACAGCCATAATTTGTCCAAAAGTTTTCTTTAACTTTAGTTAAATATAAATTTCTAAACATATGGACAATTAAAAATAACATTGCAAAATTTTTACTATTAACTTAATACTTTTATTTTTTATTAATAATTATTATAAAAATAAACTGCATTAAAGTTTTACCGGTATTTAGTATTTAGATAACTTTTATTAAAAATAGAAAAATAAAAAATATGTTAAATAATAATATATCTATAAATTATAAATTATTAGATTTTTATGCATTAAGTTTTAGTTTAATTACAATAATAAAATTTAAAAAAGGAAACTATAATGATTAAGTTAAAAAATTAAATCGTGAAAATTATAATAATAAATGCATAAACTTTATAATAAAATTATGATTGTTTAATTGGAAGCTATTTTTATTTTATTAACTTCAAAAAGTTAGTAATACAACATTTCCACAAAAAAAGATACCAACCAATAAATATTTTACAAATTTTTATTAATTTAAGATATCATTTATACATTAATAGATATGATATAAATCAAGATTTCTTTCATTAACATTGTATTTACATATACTTTATTTAAGTCTCATTTGTGAATAATTAATTACTATTTTTTTAAATGAGACGATTTATATTCATTACAAGTTTTGCACAATTTCGACAAATAAATAAACATTATAATAAAATTAGCATATAAATTATCATGATAATTTTATTAACTTTACACTGAAATAAACTACAGGTATTGTTATTATATGCAAAAAGGATTCACATTTTAGTTTTTTAAAAAGATTTTATTTTTATCATTTATAAGACATGTGAAAATCAGTTAAATTTATGAAATCGTTGTAAACATTTACTTGATTATAGTACCGGTGCTCATCTCATGGTTGGTTTTTGACGTCGTTTGAGTGACATATTTAGTGGTTGTGCCCAATCACCACAACTTTGCGATGACATATCCAATATATTATTGTTATTGAAGTCCATTTGTTGTTTCATTGAATCTGTAATTTTTAATCTCATAAGTGAAATGTTGTTTTAAAAAAATCAATATATATTCAGATAGATATCCAATTTCTCTTTTTTCACTATAGTTTACTAATACATTTAGATATATGTATTACATTAATCATTAATGTAATAGTGTTTGTAATTAACTAATTTTAATGATTTTAAAGTGAATTAAGTAGACTAATGATTAAATAATAATTGTTGTGTTGTCTATAACATTAAGGTAAATGATTACATTGTTTGAGATTATGATCGTTGGTTTGCATGCGATCCGACATATAATAAGATCTGTGTTGAACCATAGGTGGTCTCTCAGGCAGTGTAATTGAGGGACGGGTGCTTTGAATGTTAGCCAGTGGTAAATGAGTGTTTAATTGTGAATCCGTCCAATTTTGAGACCCGTGTGAATCAGTATGAGATGATTGAACACCTGATATAAGAGTAGTCCCGGATTTCTTATAACTTTGCAATTGTTTTAATATCAATGACTTCAACTGCAAGACTTCCCGATGTCTTTCATTATTGTCTTTATTATCTATCAATTTTGGTGAGTCATTATAAAAATGTATTTAAATTTTAATATAGTTTTTAGTTGATTTATAATAATATTTATATTGTATTATATCTATAACTATACTAAATTATTACTTAATAAACTTAATACCTTTCAATTGGTGGACATTTAACTGATTTTCCTCAAGAGTACCGTTAGTTTGAAGATGTTGTCCATCAATGAGTTGATTGTGTTGACAGTTGATGTAACTCTTGAGTATAATATTTTGGTCTTTCATAAGTTTGATGTCGTTCTCCAGTTTGCGTATATAGTTAGCACTTGAATGTAGGACTGCGGCCTTACTTTGTTTTTCGTGTATAGATTGCGATCGCATTATTTGACGCAAACAATAAAATCCGTTATTAATTGATTGCATGCGTCGTCTTTCATTAGAGTTGGCCACTTCACGGCGGGCCCGCAACTCAATAGTTAACTGTTTCTTTGGTCGACCCATGCGTTTGGTGACCGATCTCTGTACTGTTGGATCACCGGTCTCATAGGCACTCATTGCGGGCTAAATATAAATGATTTTATTTATTATCTTTGAATTCAAACTTATAACTTATAAAATTGATATCATTTTTCTATTAGTAAACTTTAATACTGCATAACTGATATATTTTTTTTACTTAACATTTAGTTAATACAAACCTATTTTCTTTTTAAGAAAATTATCTTTAAAATTAAGTTTACTATAATTTTTATATGTTATGACTAATTCTGTGAAATAATATTTTGCACAAATAAAAGTTTATCCAATTAAGACATATAATTTAGATAATAATATAAGTATTATATATGCAAACAAATTATTTAAAATATTAGGTAAAAATAACAAATTAAATGTTAATTTTAATTTAAAAGCCACACAATTTATGCATAAAAAGCGTTAACTAAAATACAATTAGCATTGATATGTCAGCCAATTGTGTTTCAGTATTTGTCAAAATCATGTGTTTGTGTTTTTCAATTGTTTTAATTTTATACTTATATTTTCCTTATAAAAATTTCTGTAATTTATATGACAAAATTTAGATTCAATATTATAAGATTAATAATAAATCAAATATGCAATATTCGATATTTTAAATTTTATTATTTAATAATTTTACAAAAGTATTAATAGTTTTAAAAAATATCATACACACATCATTTAGCAAAATTTTATTTTATACCAATAAAATTAAAAAATATAATTATAAATATAATTAATAATTAACTGTATATTATATATTATGTATCTGTTATTTTTTTAAAATGTAGATGATTTTAGATGTAGATGTACTAATTAGATTAATAAATAAAAGAGAAATTGTAAAAAATGTATTTAAATACTGTATTAGTTTATACTATATAATTAAAAATGCTATTAACTGTATTTAATATAGTAAACATAGTAAACAAAATTATCTCATATATTTATAATTATTTTTTATAAAAAAAATTAATTTGATTATATGTTTATAATTATAATTTCTTGAAAATCCATTATCCACACAAAAATCTCACTCTCATATTATATCTTTTAAACTTTTAAAAAATAAAAATGATATTTTTATTATCTAATATGCGAAATATAGTTAACTTAGTTTTTTTGTGACTATTTTAAAAGCGCCGACGAAATTAAATGACAATAATAATAATAAAATAAAAATTAATAATCTAACTTAACGTGGGTTTAGTTATGCTTACAAAGATTAGTCATTAAATAAGGACAGGTAGCTTTTTGAAATAGTGTGTTTGCAGAAAAATTGTTGTGTATATTACTAAATAATATAATAAATTATGTTTAAAATGTGTAATAAAAATGAAGTCAATTGAGACAAATGTGTTGGTCTTCTGCTGAGGAAATGTTATTTATCAACAATTTCTCACACATTTTGCTCTCTCTCTCTCTCTCTCTCTCTCTCAAATCACTCACTTTTTTAGACACAATTACTCAGTGACTCCTATTATAAACTCATAAATATTATTTTGAAGGGAAAAAACAGCTCGTTTTTCTCTCTCTCTCTCTCTCTCTGCCTGAAAATCCACCTTTTATTTTCGCAAGCGACTCAAAATACTCTATTTTTCGAGTCATCTTCATCTTCAGACACAAATATCTTTGCTTCCCGTGACAGTATTGGCCCGTAATAATCATAGTCACTTCATCAACTTTTACTATCTTAGTGGTGGTATTATCTCTGAATTTCTCTTATTGACATTTTTCCAACCTATCCCCCTTTTGCTCTCCACTTAGAAGATGGGGTACAAAACCACAAAATTGCTTCTGTACCTTTAATTGGTCAGCACATATTCTTATATTTTGCCCCGAATGCCTGATTTGTACTTTTTACTTGGATCAGCTCTTATTATGTCTTCGACAATCGCTGCATTTTTATTCTCCGAAACAGGCCGTTCCTCAATAGGGTTGTTTTCAAGTGACTCACCTTTTGAATTCACGTATCAATTTGGTGATTGTACTAAAACTTAAATAATAATACTGTGTTGATGCGCTTCAATCACTTCCAACTCTTTAGTCTTCAATTGATAATAAATGATGGCCCGAATCTGGTTCGCTTTCAAATCATTTTGACTGTTAACTCTGACACCACTTATTTAAATGACTATAACTTCAAATGTATACAAATAAGAGATATTTTTATTCATATAATACCTTTATATGGCGCGAAGAGTATAATGCTTCTTAATGCTTAGTGATAATAATTAATAATATAATATAATATGCATATCTAATACAATTTGTACACTAAACCTATATTATATTGTATACAAGCAATGTTTAATATAATACTGTAATACATTATAATGCTGAATATAATAATTTTATTTAATTTCAAAATAATCAATTACAGCGTTTTCTCCTTTATCTGGACTTCCCTTAACAATAATATGATCTCCAGTTTTAATGTGAACATTAGATACCGTAATCCTAGTACTTGTATCACCAGATGGCTTATTAGCGGGCAGAGTGTCATTAGCTAACCATTGTTTTATAAGAGTGTCGCCGATATAAAGACTAAATTGAGATATACCATCACTTTCATCATAATATTGTACTGTTATCTCATAAGCACCGGTATGACCAGTCCATTTAGTTTGAGCACTACATTGTTTATTAGTTATTTTGCACTCAACCGCCAACCCTTGTGATGCTGTTTCCCAGGGATCAACTTTACGGTGTGTATAACCAATCAATTGCATACTTTCGGCTTCAATACGTCCGCTGTAATGACCGACTCTATTGTGTATATCATTAATATTTGAAGTGTTTTTAAACCACTGACATATAGAGTCTCTCCAAACAATTGAGTGTCCGCTTTGATAAAACAATTGGTGTTCAATATCTTGATATCTTTGTTCATCAATAAGTCCTTTAAGTTGTACCCAATTTTTATGAAACTGTTGTACTGTTTCGGCTCCGGCATAATGACTGTCATAAAAGTATTGTATAACTGTTTTGCCTAAGTATATACAAAATATTATATTATTATTATTAAACTTGTATTATAAGTGATATACAGTTAACTGATTTTAATTTCAGACACGTATACCTAAACATCAGTGCTATTATATTGTAAATTATAGTACTGTATAAACAAGCATACAGTATATTAAGTTAATTATGTAATAACTATAGGTTCAGTCTATTAACATTTTAGATAAGCATATATTACTGTAAGTAATAAAATATTATGATTTCTATATTTCAGATGTAAACTTAATTAATTAAAAAATTATTATAATTGACTCATTTGAAAGATATTAATGTATTTTTATAAGTTTCTAAAGAATTATAGGACAATCCTTGTAATGTTTATAACCTATTATTTTTATATTTACATCTTTTTGTTACATTAGATAAATAATCGACTTATTGTAAAATACAATATTTGAAAGTTAAAGAAACTTAATAAATAAATAACTTGGTACTTTTTTACAACCAATAATACACACAATTTTATATTTTAATACATGTATATTATTGAATTAAATTTTAAGTTATACTTTAACAATTGATTTATATATTAAATATTAATAGAATAGTATATAATATTCTGTTTTTAATTTATTAAATTAAAAATAATATAATTTATATTTACCTGAATGTAAAATATGTGTATAATTGATATGATGCATAAATAATACTAGATTATCGGGACAGGTGTTTAGATTTTCATACATTTTTGACACTTCATAGTTATACTGTCCAATAAAACCGGTGCCATATTTGCCTTTAAGTCCGGCAACAGTGCGGTCAATACCGATACCATACTGATCCGGTCTATGCCATTGTCCAAATCCATCGTTTTCCGAAGCCATTACATGGGGTCCATACTTACTAGTATGGATCTCAGTCATACTGCCGGCACCCAGAGGTCCGGAATAGTTTTCAAAAGCTTCGTGTGATTTCAATTGTATGTCCATAACAACATCCACTACTTTTTTGTTGTGTCCAAATGTAAGTCGTGTCCACTCGTCAGCAATTATCGCATCAGTCAAGTTTGAATCCCAACCTAACCGTCCTAAAGCATAAACATTGGCCATTGATAAATGATTGCCCATCCATGTAGTGGACAGGCCTACATTTACAACACCGACAAGTCCTCCATACGGTCTTTTAAAGAGATTTCCAGATGAGAGCTCTTTAACGGGTGATGTTTTATTATCCACACGAAGATCAAAGTCGAGCACCCATTTCCAAAGTGGTGCCAAATATACGGTATGTCTTTGTTGTCCTGTATATTCCTGTGTGACCTCCACTTCCAGCATAATATTGGTCTTTTTGAGTGCACCTAATAATGGACTTACGGCTTCACGTATCTGAAAATCTAACGGCCCAAATTTAATTTGAATGATAACATTGTCATCGAACTGTCCATCAAATTTAGCAAAGTTTTCATACGCTGCCTTAGCCCTGTCCACAGTTAGGTCAGTCCAATTCAATGGATACTTGTATACAAAACCTCTATAGCATAGTATACCGTTATGTGGTTTTAATGCATTTGCTAATGTATTTGCTGCCTGTGCTATAGTCCTACAGTAGAAGTTATAAAGTAGACAATAGTAAGTCTTATATTACTAAATCCTGAAATATATACTGTAGTAGTATTGTTAATATTGTTTTAAACATTATCAAACCTATTATATCTTGCAGGACCAGCCCGTCCCTCAGCATCGGCTTTTAATACATATCCGCCCAAATTAGGCACATGGCTGGCTATTTCACTGGTTTTAGTGGACCAAAATTTTTTAACACGACTATCCAATGGATCATAGGTGTCGAGGCCGCCGACGCTTTTGGGACTGGAAAAATCAATAGATATCAATACTTTAATTGCCCATCTATTGAATACTTGTGCCAAACGTTGCAATTGTGGCATAAATTCGCTTTTAATCATCCTTATGCTGGGATTAACATTATTAACGGCACACCCGTTTATCCCTACAGAAGCCAATAGTCTAGCGTAGGTCTCAGCTCGGCTTAAGTTGGCCACTACGTTATCGTTAGCAAAAAATATGGATTTACCGGCAAATCCCCTCTCAATAGTACCGTCCAAATTGTCCCATTCATTGGTGTATCTCAACCGGGAATCAGGGTTTTGGGTCTCATTTAAGCCATCTATAGGTCGGTGTAAAGATATCCTACGAAGCAAAGCAAACGTTCCGTACAGTACACCAGCATCTGATGGACTGGTAATCACTAAATGTCTTGTCTTATTAATTGTAAGCTCATGTAGATGATAACCATCCAATAGTAGACCACTGGAAACTGGTATTACATGTTTGTTAGTCTCATTAGTAGTCGTCAATATTATAGAGCTATCGCCGGTAATATTAGTCTTATGTTTCAATTGTACGGCTAATAAACCATTCAAACCACGAGTCAACTCTTCGACACTCGATGTGATCACTGGACTATCGGAAAGTGTGACCACTGTGTCGGGTAGGTTAGCGTAAAGATGCCGTTTACTTTGAGGCACTGATGGGTAACGAAGCCAAGCATCATATCCTGTTTCACACAACACACTTGTATAGGATATTAGAAAAACTAATATTATATATCTATTTACTTTATTATACATTTTTAAAAACAAAATACAATATATTTGAATAGCAATGATAATAATTATTATTATATGTCAAATTCTCTATTATTTAGTAAATTAATTATTACTAATCTAATAATTTTAAAAAACAAGCTATTTATATATTTTAGATTTGATACATTTATGATATTTTTTATATTGAATAGTTAAGTGGAAATTTATGTCCTATTTGTTAGACATATGTCATATATCTCATCAAACTTATTATTGATAAATACTTAATATAAAATCATTTTTGAGTACATTTAAATAATATGTTACTTATATCCCGTACATACGTATCGCAAAAATCAAGATATTACTATCTTTAATCTTAAATAATTTTTTAAATTGTTAATCAAAATAAAACATTTTAACAAACATTTAAGTCTTTTGATAATTACTGTTAATTACTCCAAATACTGTAGATTTTAGATAACATGAGATAATAGCAGTTATAATACTTGTACATCAAGAAAGTAAATGTGTTGAAAATTAATTAGTTAATTGTTTTTAATTACAGTAAATAAAATAAGTGAATTACTGTAGTTTTTAAATATTATTATTAATAAATTACTCTTAATCTTTATGAGCTAGCTCGTTTTTAATTCTTAAATTTTATAATAAATAATATAAAAACAAAAATAGATGTATTAATAACTTTTAGATGTAAGGTACTAGTATTAGTATTATATGTATTAGTATTATATGTATTAGTATTATATGTATTAGTATTATATGTATTAGTATTATATGTATTAGTATTATATGTATTAGTAACTTTAATTAATAAACTATAATAACATAAAATTAAAGCTTATAGTAGTTATTTATACTATTAAATTATTTAAAAATAACTAATTTTTAACAAAAAATATCAAAAATATAAATTAACATAAGTATGAAATCAAGTTTTCAATCACGGCAGTACTATTGTTTTTCTACAAATTTATTAATTAAAAAAATAAAAACGTGCTAGCTAATTTATCTTTACAGATAATAAATTTATATTGAGTAACAATAAATTAGATAAATTATTGTAAAAACTAATTATCTAATAATAAAAGATTTGACATATTTATTGATAAAAAAAATACCGGTAAGACATTTTTTATAGCTAGAAGTGTGAAATTATCAATATTTTTAGTTATCAATCGTATATTAATTAAATTATTATAAGTATTACATTATCTATAGAGTATATACTGTACATACTGTAATATATAACAAATTATTTATTAAAACTATATTATATACAGTGTATATAATATAGTTTTAATAAATAATTATATATATATATATATTTTAATCATATATTTACCGGTACTGTACAGTAAATTATATTGGGATACGAGAGTTAGTAAACAAATAATCTAATGTTTAAGTGTGAATAACTACAGTATTATCAAATGGTTTATAATTATATTAAATTTTAAAATACTGTAAATAACTTTATTTTTTTATCATTTGTTCATTTAATAAACAAATTACACATATATTTACAAAAACATTTATTTGTGTAATTAATTAATAACTATTTCTATTACAAACTATTAACAACTTTATATATAACTATATATTACTAAACCAATGGCAAGACTAATGTCACTACACTTTAGTCTTGTTTTGATCGGTTGTCGGGTCGGGTAGTCTCGGGTCAAACAGTCCCTCATCTCTGTAAGCAATATAAAGTATATACAGTCCGAGTGTTATCCAAAAGCCTCGCTATTATCGTAATAGTAATATAATAGTTAATAATAGTTAATAATAGTTATCATAAATTAATATAAAACTTTGAAACCTTCATCGCTTTATTGCCGGACGAATAGTCTGCCTGATAGTCGTCGGGCTTTCCCATCGGTACGAAACGTCGCGGATCATTGCTGGCCATAAATGTGGCCTAAAATATCACTCAATTAGCAAAATAATATATAAAATCATATTAACAACTAATATATGACTCACCCGTTGGCCAATGACCGGCCAAAACAATTTCGGTAAATTGCGGCCAACATTTGTACGGATTATCGACAACATGACCTCTCAGTTGACCACAAACTTGAAGTTTACYCACTGTTTTGAAAATAACTAAATATATGATTGTATTAAATATATGTTTAATACTTGTTATCAATAAATATATTATAAATTATAATACTTACGACTTTTATGACAATAGTAATCAAATTATATTAAAAAACAATAATTCAATTATTGATATTTTGGAGACAATGTTTGTAAACTGTATAATAAATAAATAAATTTTTACATTTAATCTAAAATGGACATGCTCAAATGTTATAAATGTCATGACAACCCATAATAGTTTTGTATAAAAGCGCAAAAATTAAAATATCTAAAAATCTATTGTATATTAAAATATAATATATTTAACTAAATAAATAAATTATAATAAATTTATAATTGACTATAATTCATAAGATTTTTTAAAAATTTGTTTAATTGTATAAATAATGTTTTATTAAAATTTTATCTATATTTTTTTGTAACTTTATATGTACATATATTAATTTATCTGTATAATAAATTATATAATATTTACAAAAATAATGTTATAAAATAATAAAAAAGACAATTTTTTATGATTTAATAAATCATTTATTTAATAATTTTAAAAAATTAATTATATTTAGTTATAATAACATTATAATTTTATATAATATAGATTTTATATTAAATATATTACATTTAATTAATAAAATTTTATAATTAGTAACAAATTTGATGATAAAATATATGAAACCAATGAGACAAATATGATATGTAATAAATAAATAACTGATTAAACAATAGTTTGATTTGATTGTAGATGTCATTGATTTCTATTATGTGATTTAGATTGATGATTGAACCAGGTCCATTTATGAGGAATGGGTCGATTAAATCCATATGCTTTAGCCCAATGCGGTGCACGTTTGCGACCAAAATGCGAGCCCCACTGACCATTGACTGACACAAACATTGACAGCACGGTTAGCAATGTTAGGATAATAACAGAAACTTTGAAAATTTTCATTATTTTAATGATAACTTAATTAATAAAAATATAACAATTTATAGAGCAGTTTGCTTTTCAAATGATAACTATTCGTATTATTGAATACTGTTTTGAAATAAATGGTCAGCACTTTCCTTATATAGGGCTTTCCTAGAGAGGGCTTCCTTATAAAGAAGGTTCTGATTATTTAAAGATAACCACTGTTTCAATACCTGACGAAATGTATGTCATGTGACTTCTCCAATGGTCAGTTCGTACTGGAAAATCCCAGTGCTCTCTACAATGAATACAATCTACTGTACAGTATCTATGTTTGTATGTCTGTCTAATAATAGATAAGCCCTTCGACATAGTTTTACCTGAAGGGTCACCTAATGTATACACTTTTCCGGTCAAAACTAACTCCAACTCAACAACACTTATTACATTTCATCATATATTTCAATATTGCCTGTTTATGTACCTTATATACAGTATACAGTACTACAAGTTATAAATAACACAATGACAGTATAGCTCCAGGTGTGTTATACAGTATAACTTATACTATTGTCTATGTCTATGTGGCTATATCTGGTTAAAACTGGACCCAACTGTCCCTTTTAGCAAAATTATGTGTTACACTATAAGTCTGGATCTTTAAACAAAACTGAAAGAAAGTGTTAACAAAATTGTTATTCACAGACAATATTGTAGTTATTTTTACAAATAATTATTTCATTTATTCAAATATTAACGTAAACTAATTTATTATTACACTATTAATTATTTTAAATTTTAATGTACAGTATATTAATAAAACTAATAATTTCTAACTTAATATATCAAAAGCTGAGTGTATTGTTTGTGACAAAACATAAATGTTAATGAATTATTTTATTAATCAAACAGTTATACCTGTATATCAATATATGAATTATTTGATAAAAATTTGTAACTTTATCTTAATACATGTATTATTATTTTGTTTAATTTACAGTATTATAATATTATAAAGTATATAATTTTCATTAAACTGTACTTATTTGTTATACAGTCGTTATAACAGTTATAACATGTATATAGTGATTGCAAATTTGGTTAATCCATTAACCATTAAAAATTGTTTTGTGTTAAAATTTATTTATAATTGTATAGAAAAGTGTGGGATTTGAAAGTACTATAATATTACATTCAATTTGTTTTATGTTTCACCATATTTTTCACATACCGTATAAAAAATAGATTAAATTTAGTAATAAATTTATTTTTTATATTTTATTCTTTAATATACAGTATAATAACATACATATATACATAACATTATAACACAATTTCTATAATAATTTAATTTTTGTTTTGTCATAAACCAGACGTTATATTATATTTTAACTCATTTTTATTGATTTCATATTAACGATTCATTTATTTTTTATATGAAATAAAATAATGAAACAAATTATGTTAATTGCTATTAGCAATAACTCTTAAATTTAATCATATTTGCCAATAATTTGCATTATTTATATTGAAATAAGTACTTAATATTTTGTAATTAACTAAATTAATACATTTTTATTATAATAAAGAATATTCTAACAAATATATAAAATTTATGTCAAGTGTTTATATGAGTAATAATGTAAATAAACTATTTTTAATAAGTATTTATTGCATTGAGCTATCAATTCAAATATTCTCTAATTTTTTTATATAGTTATTAAAACTATATTTATGTTACTTTTTATTTATATCTTTGATATATCTTTAAAATTATATTTCCGTTACATTCTATTCTTGAATTAATTTTAAAATATATTATATGTTTTTCAATAAGTTATAAGTATTTAACAGTATTTATAGAATAATATTTATTTGAATAACTTGTCACCACTGGCATTGACATGACAACCAATTTATATGACTCTCTCTCTCTCTCTCTCTCTCTCTCTCTCTCTCTCTCTCTCTCTCTCTCTCTCCTAATTATACCTGTATTTACAATTTTAATATATTGACTACAACAAATAGTTCATATTAAAATAAATAGTAAAAATAATTAAATGAAAATTATATTATTAATAGTTAAATTAGTAAATTTTATTAAATTAAATTTTAGTAAAGTTAAAAAAAATTATAAAAACAAATAAAAATGACCTAATTTGTTTAAAATCTTATTAAGTTTTAAATACTGTGTACACTATTTGCTATTAGTGCCATAAACAACAATATTGTATGTATTAAATTACAATTACTTTTGAAAATATAATGTGTAGAAAATAATTTATTTTTTTTCATTCAGTACTGTAAAGACTGTTAGTTATGTTGTTATGAATTTATATTTATGTTAATAATTATGTATTATGTTTATGATCTGTTGGTTTTTTGTGAGTGAAGACTAAAAAATTTTATCTCAAATTCATATCATATGGTTTAACATATAGTACTCTCTGTTTTTTCATACAAATGTGACGCCAACTACTTCTTTAACTCCGTTAGCCATAGCACAGGGAGTGAGTGCTGTTATGTCATACCAGATAAACGACTGTGCAATGGATTGAAGTACACACACATGCAAGTAATGATAATATGAATTTACAGTACGGATAGTGAGAGGGACTGTTAGATGTGTAGTTAGAGGAATGGGAGAAAGTTGATGTTGTCTTTGATGTTGTGGTTTACAATACATTAATACATTTAAACCAATGTTTTTTACACTAATAAAACACAACATAATGTCTATGTGTTATATACATTAGAATTGCAATAAAAATTATTTTTCTAATGTATGTCTATAATGTCATTGATGTTATATATAATTAATATAAATGAAATAGTGATAAGAGTTAAAAAAGTGAAAATTGAGGCCAAATATGTGTTCACTTGACTATTGACTTTCATCACTACTCTTAACAAAAATTATTACAAATAAGAGTAGAGACAACACATCACACAAATCGCTATTCACTATTCATTTCGTCAGTAATTTATTTGATCTTTTCATCCGATATATTATATATAAACAAAAGTAAAAATTAGTGATATTTAATATAAAAGAGTTTTTTATGTTTTAACTATTTTCTTGAAATTATTAATATTTATTAAACGATATTTTTACGGTGCCATATAATTTATATATACTGTATAATATAAACTACAGTATACTATTTAAACTATAACTTAAATATATATATATATATAATTGTCTGTCTCTTTTATGTATCGTATAAATCGATATAAATAAACATTCAAAGTGTGAGAACTTTTAATTTTTTATTTCAAATAAATATGTTGTTATTTTTTATCATTAAATATACATTTTCATGAATCAATGATAAAACTCTTTTCACTGATAAATGCAATTTATTAAACAAATAAAACTTTTTTATTATCATTATTTTGTGGACCAATGAATTAAAAATTAATAATAATAATATATGGTATGAAATAACAATAATAATAATGTATATTGTTTTCCAATCATATTGTCAATCAACAATAAAACAATTAATGTATTTAATAAAAATTATTACAACCAATTTATTTTAATAATTAATAAATTTTATTTATAAATTTTTAAACCGATATTCATACAGTGCTAAAAACTGCCAAATAATATTCAATTAAAATAATAGATAAGTATTTTAATTATAAAGAAGTGATAAATTTTGTTTTTTTATTAATGTATTTAAATGAACCATAAAGTTTAAAAAATTTTGTTGCAGTACTCAAACAAAAGTTATTTTTGTAAATAAAAAAAATCACATTAATTATTAAGTTAATTAAGATTTTTTCAATATTTTTGCCAAAAATATGCGATAGAAAAATTAGACAATTTATTCAACAATTTTTCGGTGAAATATTTTTGGGAAATGCGTGTAATTATAAAAACAAATAACTTATTTGATAAACAATTTCTATGGAAAAGAAGATATATAATGKTTGAGATGTTGGTGTTGTTGGCATTTATACTTATCCAACACCAGAGCACTGGTATGTTAATTCATATGAATGAAGTTCACCAGAAAGTGTTTAGCAACGCCAACATAACTGTGACGTGCAGTACGGAGGCGACCAACGCCACGGGTAATCTTACCCTTAGTGTGAGGGCCCGTATGTTTCTACTGCTATTGCAAATACCCCGCGGCGGACAAACCCATCAGATTCAGGGTGTACTTCATTGCGATCCCAAACGGACCAAATGTGAGAGTGAGTTCAACATTGCCGTCGACTGTATTACAGATCGCATCGAAATCAAACAACCAGTGGACACACTGGAGACGGCCTGTCAACTCAATGATGATGTCATATGTTCTAATCAATGGCTTAGTGAGCACCGGGAGGACTGTGTGGCACTCGGCAAAATCACTATCATTAAAGGTAATGCCCTTATTTGGCTTAAGTGCTTATAAATGTTAAGTTTTGTATATTGTATATGTATATGTTTTAAATTGGGTGTCTTGCATAAACATTACATAACTGTGCTGACATCAGCTGCTAGCCCTATGATTAGCCGGGTGTCCTAAAATAAGCATTTCAATTAGCTTTTATTTATACATTATTTGTTGAATATGCAAAATATTTATCAGATTAGCACAAGTATCAGATTATTGGATAAGTTTTTGTTTATTTGAAATATGTTTATTATATATCATAACATAACACAGTGTTTTGTACTGTATATACAATACTGTATGGTATTTCTATAAATTTCACTGTAATTTATAGATGTATAATTTATATATACAGCATCTTTAAATATATTATATATACAGTATGTATTTAAAACAATGAATTTTCATTGAATATTTAGGAAATTACTTCAATAATTCAATTGTAAACAAAAAAATAAAGTTAAGTTCAACGTATTATCAAACGACACTATTTTTTAAAACTTTAAAAAACAAATGAAATGTCTATATTTATCATAACATTTGAACAAATAGTCTGCATTTTAAAAAATATTTGTCTTTTTCTATAAAAGTGATTAATTGTTGAATAATTAAGTGGAGCTTAAAATTCCTCAAACACTTCACTATTTTAGTCTCTCTCTCTCTCTCTCTCTCTCTCTCTCTCTCTCTCTCTCTCTCTCTCTCCTTCTCTATCTGTTTGTCTGTCTGTCTCTCTCACTATAATCAATGAAAATATTTGTATTTCAAACTCTTTAATAAAAATAATAGACAAAATTTATATATTAATATTTATATATGTATTTTACTTTTTTGTTGTTAAAACAATAAATAAAATTTTATTAAACTTATATTATTTAGTATTAATAAATACTTAAATAAGTCTTAAAATTGAATACAAAACCATTGATTGTTGAATAAAGTAGTAATACTGTAGAAGTGTTTTAACTATTTTACATTATATTGAAAATGTCAGTTCATATGAATATAAAATCATAATTTATTTAAAAATACATAAATATTTTGAATGTATTTTCAAGTGATTTGGAAACTTAAGGACTCCGGAAATATAATGATTTATCAATATATGGACTTAGAGTTAATTGTGTTTATTATTTATTATTATCTTTATTATTAATTTAAATGTGATTTTGTAGCTATAAACATAAAAATTATAATTTTTATGTTTATATTTTTTTATAAATATTTAAACTATAATTTAATGTAAATGATGTTGATACAATAAATTTATCTATACATATACTGTATATATTTGATCAAAATTCAAATATTAATATAAAACATTTAATTGTTATTTTTAAAACTGTTATCTTAATAATCTAAATAAATTTTATTTAATGTTTACACAAACTGATATAGAATATATCAAATATAAAATTTATTAATCAGTATTACACATTTACAAACAATTTAAATATATAATAATTTATTTTAAAAAACAGTTTTTTAGTCTCTATATTATTAACAATAGTTACTACACTATTATTATCGTTATTTGATGTTTCAAATATGGAAATACAAAAAAAAATTATACAAAATAAAAATTCAATGTAAAACATTTCGTGAAATAAAATTTTATATGAATTGTAATGCAATACTCCCACAGATTTGGGACAGACATGTCAGTCAAATCAGAGTTTTTTTCTTACATAAGATGTTATCCTTAAAAATCCTATTGTTTTATAATAGAAGAGTTCAACAAAAAAAATTAGTTATCCTTTTAATAGATGTGTTATGTTTAGGGTTTTGCAAATAACAACAAAACAATCGCCCAAAAAAAACCTGATTTATAGCTTATTTTATTTTATTTATTTAGCATTACTTTCTATTATTGGCACTAAATTGGCATTTATTTACTATATTAAATAATGTATTTTAGTTGATTTTAATGATGATAATTATGCTCAATTAATAAAATATGCAAAAAACTGTTTTATTTTTTGTACTTTAAAATTATATTTAATTTTTTGTTTGTTTTTTTATAAATTTGTATTTTGACTACAATTTATGATCTGTTATTTTGAAAGTACAGTAAAAGCAATATTCATATTTGGTATAAAATAGTTATAAATTTGTTAATATAATAATTAAAATACATATTTGATAACTTAACCCAATTTTTAGTAAAACTAAATTTTATTTCAATGTTTCCTCAAATAAAGTTTAACCCAAAATAACATTCTTTGTAAATAACATTTGATATGATATTTAATATTTGATAAAAACATAATTTGTATTAAACTGATTAAAGTTTAGTATTTTAAAATTGCAATTTGTAATATATTTTTAAAAATATTATTTAGTTATTTGATATATTGAATAGAATGATATTATTAAAAAAACAATAATGTTTACCTTAATTAACCAAATAAAGTAATTTTGAAATTTAATTATTGTATAATGTTATCAACAAAATAACTTAGCTTGTTAAATTTAACACTTTTGTTGTACTGTATAATAGAGTGTATATAAATTTGTTTGCCAAATAACATAAACACTATTTATACAATATTATATTAATTGTACTGTATATTGTAATTAGTAAAAATGTGTTATATTTGTAGTAATGCCAGTTATTATCATAATATTAATACATACATACATACTGTATATACTGTAAATAAATCATAAATTGCTAACACATTTGTGTTATTGATTTAAGACTCAGATTAGACCAAAAATATATGGCAACCAAAATGTTTTTGTTATTTTTAAGTTATGTAACAAAATGTGTACAGTAATTATGCTAGATTTATTATTATAAGATTTATTAATTATATCTATAGATCTATAGATATTATAGATTATTAATTTTCTAGACTGATATATTTTACAAAAAAAATATTTATTATAATAGTAATAACTATTATGAATAGTTTAGTTATTATATTTTGAGTATTATATTTAAGTTGTTTAATTTTAACATAAACTTACATATATCTTATAAATAACAATAACAACAACAAAAACAATTAAATCTTCAATTAATATTCAATGTTAAATAAATTTAAAAAATTAATAAATAGTTTTGTTTTTTTTGTGTACAATATTGTCACAATATGTAATACTGTAAATTTATAGCATTACATTATGAAAAATATTGATATGGATGTCAAAAATTATTTATTTAATAAACTCATAAAATGGTAAATTAATTGTTAAAGTGATATTTTGTTTGACTTGACTTTTACATTAATATTGTATTAATACCGGTTTATATTTAGTAAAACTTTATAAAAACAGTCTAATATAAATAATTATAATAGGTATATAATGAAAATATGTTTTTCAGCAAAATAATTTAAATTTTATTACTGAAAGCTTTTATACATAATTGAAATTTTAACAAAAATTATACCTAATTTATAACAAATAAAAAAAAAATATTGTGTGACATAAAATTAGATTTGTTTGACTTTATTTTGAAGTCATTATTAGCTAAAACCTTATATTTTTGCAGATGAACTGAGAAAATGACATAAATTTCCTGAACGATGCCATAAATGCCATAAATGAGAGAATATTCTGTGTGTTTGTCTATACTTCCTGTTTGTGTGCTTTTAAAACACATATTAAATGTTTGTTTGAGTGCAATATATTCTTTGCTATTTATGTGCCATAAATTCCATATATTTTTGTTATTTGTTTGTATAATAATAAAATGGGTTAAACTTTTTTATTTTTATAGTAATAAATTTTATTTTAGATATTAGTTTTATTAGTTTTAAAACACATCATTTAAAATTTATTCAAATTAGGTCCAAAACTAGACGAGCCGTGCGTTCACCGCAACCAATCGGGTGACACACTGTTACCGTGCGGTGAGAATCAACAATGCAATACAATGTATGGTCGGTGTGAATGTCAACCGGAATTTGTGCCCCAAAAAGGAAAGTGTGAGCCCATGTATGTCGACGATGAAGATAAAAGAGCACAACAATTGGTCACTGATTTGTCGGGTCGGCCGGTGACCATCAGTTACGGTGCAGCACATAAACCCAATGCTATGAGACCAGTAACAACAACTGCCAGTGTTTTGAGACCATTACCAACTACTAGTGATGTGGACAGAGATGGTGCGGTTGAGCCAACACAGACCAAAACAGCCGACACTAAAAACACATCCAAAGCATTGGTTATATTTTTATTAGTTGTTGCTATACTTCTGTGTATTGCTTTAGCTGTTGTTGTCATCTGGAGGTATATTAATCATATACATCGATCATTTAGTTTATCAAGCTAAAATTATCAAATTATCAAATTAATTAATAATCATAATTAATTATTTACATAATTATTTAATACTCTTTCAATTTTCCAAATGAGAATAATAATAATACAATATTAATTATATTATATTTACTCATTTACTATACAATTCATATACAAAATAAAAATATATTTATTTGAATTTATTAATACAATTCTGATAATAAAGTTAATACATTTATTAAATGTATAAATAAAAAAGTGTGAATTTTGCATTTATAGATAATCCATAACAATGACTAGTTTGAAAAACAGGTATAGAATCAATAGTTGTTGTATCTTGGTGTTTTTTAATTAATTTTAACTAGATTACTATTAACAGTTAATTGATTTAGAGTAAATATAAATGTGTCACATTGAATTAATTAATCTAATGTCAATAAATTACAATTTTTATAGTATTTATGTTTATTATTAGCAATAATTGAAGTATTATACTATATATTATATGTGACACAAATTATATTTACTGAAATAGTTGTTATTTTACTAATAATGAATTTGAATGTTTCAAGATACAACTAACACATTTTAGTCACTAACACAAAAATAACTAAATAATTACTATTTTTTAATAATTTTGTTTTTAATTTTATTCATAATATTAAAAATTTATTAACAATTATACAGTTTATTAGTATATTTTTAATTATTATTTAAGAATTTGATATAAATTTTTATTTTTAAGTTACAGCCGTAATAGAAATCGTGAAGCGGTTCCGACAAACTCATCATAAGATATAATAACTGTGTCATCAATTATGAGTGTATTGTCACTAAAATATTATTGAGGTTAACAATGATGGACAGGGATGTCATTAAAAATGACAAACAAATATAATAACAACAAAAATGACAACAAAGATGACAACAACACTCTAACTAATAGATGCGATAAATGACTGAAAAGAGATGATGTGATGAATGAAGACATAATCCAATCAATAGTTTATATAAATAATACAAAACATAACTATAATATATAAGAGACACGAATAGCATACGATTATATAAATTAATTACTGACTCTAAATACATATATATTTTTAATTGAATTTATTGTTATTTATTTTATTAATATTTATTTTCACTGATTGTTACATTCAATTGAATTGAAATCTGTCTTTTGTTTTGTTTTTTGTGAACACAATTTACATTATTATATGTTTTGAAGTGAAGCCAAAAAAAATGATGCAGTTTTACGCTGACTTTAGATGCTATTTGTATTATTAGTGCTTATCTATCACTATATTATAAAGTTTATTATATATTTAAAAAATAATTATTAAAATATATGTCAATTATTTCTTTTATTTATATAAATTAATAAATATATTATATTTAATTAAATAAAAGCCTTAAAGTCAATAAGTAATTTTTTAATATTTATAAAATTGACTTGAATTTTTGAAGCCATAAATATAATAATTAATTAATTTATTAAAATGATTAAATATACTATTTTAGAAACTAATTATTTATTAAAATCATTTACAAGCTAATATATGTCAAATAAAAAAATATATCATATATTTTATAAATATAAATATTTATAAACAAATAAATTAACTTGGTTAATTATAAACTCTTTTAAATGTAATTAATATTATAAAAAATAAAGATTATATTTTGATTATTATCTTAAAAACTATATATATTTAGTACAGATAAGTTTTATAAAAGTATAAAACAAAATGTTTATCTATATAATAAAGATATTAGACTTAATATAAAGTATTTTTTTAGAAACAAAGTAAAAATTAATTATTATAATATTTATAATTGGATACAATTTACTTATTAAAATGACATGAAAATGTATTAAAATAAATTGGTTATAACAAGGTTTAATTAAAAATATTTCAAAATACATATATAATAGATATGATTTAATTATAAAAATACATATTTACATATTTATTATTAATAATAACTAAACACATAATTATCATTAATTCTCATCAACTCTAATATTATTTCACTTTTGACTCAACCATCTAAAGCTAGCAATGAGTTTGGGTTATAAATGTTTAGTCAATAAAATTAAACTATTTTTATTCATTTCTTATATAAGATTACATAAGAGTAATCTTAGTTTAAAAATATACAATTACCTAAAATTAGGTACATTTAATAATATTTTACAATCACTAATGTATTATATCATAATATTATTTTAATTGTACTTTATTTAGATTTTAAAATATCAATATAATAATTGCAATAATTATAAAGACATCAGTTTTGACTTTTTTTTAATGCTATGTATAGTATGATAACAATAAAGAATAATAACATTTAGATAATTAGTTCATATTTTGATATTTTAATCACAAGTTTTTATTAATAATAAACTAAATATAATTTGTTAAGTTTACTCTATATTGTTATACTTTAGATAATAAATGACTGTATTATAAATAACATAATTATCACTACATTTTTGGATTAATGTGAGCCAAACTAATAAACTTTATTATATTTAGTACTTTTTTTGTTGTATATTAATAAAAATAAGATAAATCTATTAAAATTATTTAAACACTTTTTCGGCTAACTTATAGCTCATCTCAGGTTTTCTGTCGGTGGCGTCGACTATATCTGACACCTGATAGGACTGAACCAAATTTGCATATTTTGTAATTAAAGTTTGTTTCATAGCATCGATTGTATTATTGTCTTTGCCTTTAATACAGTCTTCAATGAGAACCGTTCGGTAATTTTTTTCAAGTCCATCCAATGCTGTATAACCCACACAATAATCATACAATACTCCCGTTAAATAGATATCTGTGATATCTAAGTAAAACATTGATAAACATTAATATATAATATTATAATAAATAATTTTATGAATTTCTATTTATTAATATTATTTACTTCTATTTTGAAGATCATTATGTAGTGATGTTTGCTTTCTCGATGACTTATTGTGGCCATTATCGGCAAATGCTGAATAGCTATCGATATCAGGATCGGTACCTTTTGGTATAGTAAAGTTATTTTTAGTTTTAATAAGTTGACCATATAAGTCAGCACCGGTAGTATTTTGAACGCAGTGTTTGTACCACAAATGTTGCTTAATATCGGGATATTTTTCATAAACTACTTGATCGCCATACTTGAGCTCTTCTGGTGACTTACCGGGAGGAATGGTATACTTAATAGGTCTATGAATACTACGATTGTGTACACTCTCGACAAATGAGCAATGATTTGCCGGATGCCAGTCATAGGTATAGACTACGACATCAAACAAGACGTTTTGGATCAATTGGTTGATGACTTCCACCACTTGATATGCCTCCGGGTTATGCATTGTTCCGTTGATATCCACAAAATCATTTTGCATGTCTACTATAATTAATGCTGTTTTTGGTTTTAATATGACCTGTATCCATTTATCCCATATAAAATTAAATCTTGTTTTATCAACATAATCTTGTTTTGTTAACTTTAATAGTGAAGTAATTAATGATTCAATTTTATCATTTTTATAACTTGTTTTTGTTTTCACTGAATAAAACAATGATGGAAATAGTTGTCGAAATTCATCCAATGATAATTTACCATCATGGTCAATTGTGTCCAAATAGTCAAACAATCTATCACGTTGATTATTGTCAATATGATCTAGATCAAAATCAAATAATTCAAGTTTACATAATGTAGAATCTATTGAATAATTTATAATTATTGTAAATATGATCACACAAACAATGTATTTCATTTTTGTTGTTTTATTTTAATATTATTTAATYTCGAATTTATAATTAATTATAATTGAATTACAAATAAAAAACAATACTCTAATGACTTTAATATTAAAAATGCACTATTTTTTATAGCATTTGATTACTCCATTGGGTTTACAGTTATCTTTATTGTAAATGTTATAATATTATGATTATAATAGTTTATTTTAACAGTATTATAATCTAATTTACTAAAAAGATTTGTGTAACAAATATTACAAAAATAATACTGGAATTATTGATAAAGGATAAGTGTAAAAATTTATTAACTAATTAATTGATACGATATGTCGTAAAAGTATTTTCTCAAAACTATTGTCATATCATTAGTATTATAGTATTACAAATATCATGCTATAATAATATATCATATTTACTTATCATAATGTAAACAACTGTTAAAAAAATTTCTGTAAATATTGCATAGAATTTTTCGAATTGTACCAGTATAATTTATTATATATTGTTTATTTTAAACATTTTTGTATAAAATTATCAATCAATCAACTGGTTATATGTTTATATAATAATAGCAATTGAAAATAAATGGAGGAAAAAACAAATAGAAAAACAATTGAAACGTGTCTTAAATTAATATTATCTCTAAAATATTACAATATCTTCAATGAAATAAGCAAAATATAAGTTTACATTTTTGTACAATTTTTTGAAACTTTTCTACATTGTAGAGTCTACAATGTAGACCAATATACTGTATACTTATTTAGTAAAACTCAAAAATGACAAAATATACATAAAGTAGACTAACAAGTAGTCAATCTTATTAAAAATTGACTCATTATAGCAACAATAGTATCATTTATACAACATTTAACTGATCAGAAACTTTTTTCTAACGGATAAGTTTGAATCGGATATTTTTAATAAGTTTTTATTGTGTAATAAATTTAATAGACTCATTGATTAATAAATTAATTTTAATATTTTATAAAATATTTTCAATATTTATGTGAGTTATAAATATGCTAAAATAAACTACATAATACTGTTGTAAATAATATTTTTAAATAACACTTAAATTCAAAACATATTTAAAACGTTATATAATATATTTAGTTTATTTTTATTAATTAATGGGTTCATTATATAGATTGATGGAAAATAACTTAAAAGTTGCCTTCAAATAAATATTTATTACGTGAGATATTTATAAAATGATACATAAAAATAATCGCACACTAAATGTTTGTCATACAATATAAACGCTTTAATCAAGAAATTAATTTTGTAAATATTTCTATTAATTGCATAATAATTTAATGTCGAGTTATAACATATAACATAGAATTTATTGTTTTTATAACTTTCAATAATAAGTTATTAAATATTTTTATAACATTGTAATAATAATAATAATGTTAAATTCACAGCAGATATCATTGCCAATATTTGTGGGAATATCATTATTGACCACAACATCGTTATTATATTATTTATATGTAAAAAATCAGAAAAAATTTGTTAATGTCTGCAAAATAAACAAATTGTTTATATATCCGATTAAAGCAGCAAAAGGTGTTGAAGTCGATCACTTGGAGGTCACTAAATATGGTGTCAAATATAAAGAGCTTAGAGACAGGTCTGTCTGTTTTGAAATAGTTTTGAAAAATAAAAGCTAACATTATTATTGTAATTATTATTATTACAGATCGTGGATATTGTTAGACAAAAATAACTATTATCTTCAGCTAAAAGATGAGCCGAGATTAGCACTGACCCAATGCAGTATTGAGGGCCAAGAGTTATGGGTGAATGCACCCAATATGCCGACACTTAAACTTAGATATATTAAACATCTTAATAAAGATCATCAATTAGTAATGTTTAAGTAAGTTAATGATTATAAAGTTATTATTTTATTAATAAATATAATATCTTAAACATTATAAGAATGTATAACCAAGAGATGAAAGGTATTAATTGCGGTCCAGAAGTCAACCAATGGTTTGAATTATATTTTGGTAGACCCGGAGTACGTCTCATACAACATCACCCGGACTTAAACTATCGCACCAGTAATTCACATAAACGGAGTACAGAGGATCACAAATATCCGGTTATTTTTCAAAACAAATCAACATTACATTTGGTTAATGAGCGCTCAATTGACGATTTGAATACTTATATATCAACCGGTGCTGAGTCTCTTAAACAAGAAAATTTTAGACCAAATATTTTGATTAGTTATCCGGAGGCCTGGGCTGAGGATCAGTGGAAATGGATGCAAATTAACAGGGCTTTATTTAAGCGATATTTATTATGCAATCGATGCCCCAATATTACCGTCAATCAGGACACCGGAGTCAAAGATATGGAAAGTTTGATTGCTTTGAATAAGTCTGTATACAATTGATTAAAACAATTAAAACATTACTTAAAATGACTTTTAATAGGTTTAGACCTCCAACCGGTATCAACAAGAAGAAGGGTTGTGGACCTAATTTTGGTGTCATTTTTGGTTACATAAGCAGTGGTATCATTCATGTAGGAAACGATGTCGATGTGATGTATGGTAAGTATGAAATAGTTTAATAAAAAGTTAATAAAATACACAAATACTAAGATAAACGTTAATTTAATAAGTTTATAATGTATATGAAATAATTACATTATTATATCATTTTTGAAAATAAATAATTTTATTGTTAATGTTTTTAATATCAATATTAACATTAGATAAACCTTAATATGTACTTTACATCTATAATTAAGATAAAAAATAATTTTTAATAATTTTATTTGATTTTTATAACATAAATAGTTTAGTAGAAAATAATGTGAAATGAAAAAAAATTATGTAAACTAAGATTTTTAGAAGAAAAGACAAATGTTAATATATATATATATATATATATTATAATAATAAAAATAATTTAATAAATAAATTGTTTAAAAATACAAATTAATAATTTATTAATTTATATATGTAAAATAAATGATGGGTTGCAGTCGTTTTATAAGTTTTTTAAAAGTTATTTATTTAAAAAAACAAATTAATGTATAAGTTTTACACAAGTTTTATAAAAAGTAAGTTTAAAGTATTTATGTGCTGATCCAGTGATGATTTGACTTGAGTTGTATTATTGAAGGGCACACACTATCTTATTTAATGTCAATTTGTAACAATATTATTGCTGGATGTCTTGGGATCCGTTTGAGGTGATGTGGAGTTGGCTCCAGATGTGTGGCACATATGTGATGTGTTATGTTTGGCTCTCAGTCACTGAATGGCGGGTAAAGTGGAACACCAGCTTATATATGAACTAATGGTAATAAATGTTTTAATTGTGTTTAAGCGGTGTTCCCGGTCAAGGATTTTAATATAACTTTGTATGTGTATTAATGTTTGTATATATAATTGGCAACTAAAGTCAAATCTATGAGTTGACAATAGTTCAAAAGTTATTATCTAAAATGTTTTTAATTAACACATAGTGTTAAATATAAGGGAAAGTGGTTCCCATACTATGCATAGAGAGTATTGTCGGTGTATAACAAATACAGTAGATATTATGTGTATGTATATGTGTACTTACATGTTTAACATAAAGTTAAAGTAAGTGCTATAAAATATTAAATGTAATAAAAGGGTTGAATATTAATTGAAATAGATATTGAGTTTGTATTAGTTTTATTGTTTGCAAAATAAATGTATATCTAAATATAAAATATCAAATATATACTAAAACGAAATAATAATAAAATAAATGCATAAAATAAAAATATATTTTACATCCCCCCGTTTTAAAAACAATCGTTGGAGGGGTTTACAAGTCTTAATTTAGATATATGAAATGTGTCATTTAGTTTACCTTTTTTATCACATTCAACAATGTATGAGATATCAGATAATTTTTTAACCACTTTGAATGGACCAATCATTATAGGATCTAATTTTTTACGGGTTACGTCATTTTTATATTCAACATATACTAAATCACCTGATGATAAGGTTTGAGGTATATGCCGTTTATCATAATAAATTTTGTTCATATTATGGCTTTTAGTAGAATTATTTAATGCTTCTCTGCGAGCTATGTCTATACTAATATCAGATCCATAATAAGCGGATTCAAAGGGTTTTACACCATTAAGTAGATAATTAGGTGTGTGTTGTGTAACATCATGTATTGTGTTATTATATTCATTTGTACATTGCTCTAATAATTTAGGCCAACATATGTTATGATTATTATCATTAATTTTACATCTTAAGCGTGTACTTAGTGTTTGATTGACGCGTTCACACAATCCGTTAGATTGTGGACAGTTAACAGTAGTAAACATAATTTTAATTTTATTGTCATCTAAATAGTGTACAAATTCATTTGATTTTATGCCCGTGTATCTATCGGCTAATATTAGTTTAGGTTTGTTTGTTTGTGATACAAATTTAATTAGATTTATGAAGTCTTTAGCTGTTTGTGTTTTGGACGCTAAAGTCCACATAAATCTAGTTAAGTGATCAATGGCTACATGGATATATTGCTTTTTTGAATTATATCCACTGAAACCACCGATAGTGTCAATTGATATTATATCGAACGGTTCATTTGCTGGGCCTATTTGAGATAAAGCGCCTAATTTTTTTATTTTAGTTAATTTGCATGTTTTGCAAATTTTACAATTGTCAATATATTGTTTAATTGTTTGTGTCATATTATTAAATGTGTAAGCGCTTGAAAGCATTGCAATTGTCTTTTTCGTACCAATATGCCCAAACCTTTTATGTGATATTTCTATTAATTTAGGTACTAATGATTCGGGTATGAATATTTTAGTCATATCTGATTTTCTTTTTATTAACAAATCATTTTGCTTAAAGCATTTGTTAGGGATATCTAATTGTTTACTTTGATGATCTATTATTTCATCTAATTTTAAAAGATTAACATATTTAATAATAGGATCTGTTTCTGTTCCTTCCAATACAGGATTTCGACTCAATAGATCGGCTTCTTTATTACTTTTGCCTGGAATATAGTTAATGTCATGATTATATTGATTTAGTCTTATTGACCAATTAAATAAACGCGTTTTAGGATTTTTAATTGATTTAAGCCATCGTAAGGGGTGATGGTCTGAATAGATTGTAATTTTTTTCCCGAACACATAATGATGCCAATAGTCTAAAGATTGCACTATGGCTAGTGTTTCGAGTTCGGGTATATCATAATTTCATTGATATGATAATAATTTTCGAGAAAAATATGCAATCGGATGGGCTATGCCATCGCTTTGGACCTGTTTGAGGACCGCACCAATACCTATTTTTGAGGCATCGACATAGATAATAACATCTATGTTTGGATTATAAATCGAGAGAATAGGTTTAGATATGAGATATTTTTTTATTTCATTGAATGCTTGTTTGCATTTGTCATCCCATTTAAATGCTACATTTTATGTAATAATCCATATAATGGTTCAAGTATTTTATATGCGCGAGGAATAAATTTATAGTAAAAATTGATTTTACCTAAAAACTCTTGTACTTGCTTCACAGTAACAGGGACTGGAAACTTATCGATAGATATGAGATTATCATTAATAGGAGTGTATTTATTTTTTGTAATTATATGTCCTAAATAGGCTATTTGCTTTTTTGCAAACTCACATTTTGTCAATTTTAATTTAATATTTTCAGACATTAGCGCATTGAGAGTTAATTTTATATGATTCATGTGTTTCTCTAATGTGTCTGAATAGATGATTATGTCATCTAAGTAATTAGTTGCAAATAGAGTTAGATTATGCTTTTTAAGTATATTTGAGATTATTCGCTGAAATATCATAGGCGCATTGCGCAATCCGAAAGGCATGACTAACCATTCATAATGATCATTGGTTGTGACAAAAGCAGTTTTAGAAATGTCTTTAGTGGCCACTTTGACATTCCAGAAACCACTTGTGATGTCTAACCTAGTGAAGTATTCACTGTCATGTAATTTATCTATAATATCATTGAATAAAGGAAATGGGTAGTTTTCAGGAACTACTACTTGATTGAGTTTGCGATAATCAATACATAATCTAGTTTTACCTTCACCTTTTTTATTTGCGAGGGTTATTGGGAATGAGTATGGAGATATACTCTTCCGTATGAGATTACGTTTTAGTAACTCATGTATTTGGGTATCAATTAATTTTTGATCAGAGGGTGAACACCGATATGGCCTTAAATTAATGGGCACATTATTTGTTAATTGGATGGTGCAGTACTCTGTGTTAATTGATCCGACATCATATCTGTCCCTTGAGAAGATATGTGTATATTCATTTAATACATTTTGTATTTTTTGTTCATTAGACTTATCTAATTGATTAGGACTATTAGTTATAAGTACATTATTTTTATTGCATTTAGTTGTGTAATTTGTTATAACCTCGTCATCATATGTTTTATTATTTTTTATAATTGTTTGATATATTTTGAAATTGTGATTCATTTTAAGTTTGAATTGTTTTATAAGATCTAAACCTATTAAAAGGTCTTGATTGCAATTTTTAATTACATATAAATAGCATAAATGAGATAACTCACCGATAGTAATTTTAGTTTTTATGAGACCTAAACAAGAGTTTACTGTAGTTAAAGTTTGAAATTGATCGGTGACCGGGAAAACAGTTAATTTTAATTTTAAAGCTAAATTATAGTTAATTATAGAGATGTTAGCTCCCGGGTCATAGATAGATGAGAGAATTTGATTATTAATAATTATATAAAGTTTAATTAATGGATAGGGCTTAGGTCTCGATATTAGTTTAAATCAATATTTCTAATATCATTTTCTGTGTTTGATACCGTTTCGATATTGTTAACAGTTTTAGGAACTGTTGTGATTGATTGAGGATTAGTTTTAGTTTGATTTGCTTTATTGTTAAAGCAATCTCTTATCCAGTGATACCTGTTATTGAATCCTAGTTTAGCGCATATAGCACAAGGAAACTTTGGTAATATTTTGGATTTTTGATTAATTTTATTTGGTTTAGAACCAAATTTGTTTGGCATATACGGCTTTTGGACATTTGCATTGCTTTTAACAAAGTTATGCGAGCGCTTGAAATTGTTTTCGGCGGTTTGAGCTATAGTGTAAAACTCAGCGAAAGTTTTAGGTTTTACAGCAGTAAACGCATTAATTAGTTGTGGGTGTAAATGATGTATCATTACAGGTATTATTTGTGTTTCATTTAACTTAGCAGCAATACCGAACCGTCTTTTGGTCTCAAAGTAGTCTTTGATACCGACTTTAACATCATACTTATGGTCAATGAAATCTACAATGGGTTCAACGGTTGTCAAACCAAATCTATTGCTTAGTTTGGCTTTAATACTAGAATAACTATCGCTATCATAATTTTCGATGTACCAGTTTAAGGCATCATCTTCTAAAAAATTACCTAACATTACGGCTCTTTGTTTGTCTGACCATTTGTTAAAGTCTGAGATCATATCAAATCTCTTGAGCCAATTATCAATTGTTATTTTATCATTAAGACCCTTATAAATTTGTATCTTTGGCTTACTACTTTTGCTGTGGATGTCGGTGTCCTCCTTTTCGGTATCAGTTGACTCGGAGTCGCTGACAACTTGAAGATTGGGTTGAGTTGGTGTGATGTTAATATTAGTTGAATTGGTTGGGAGTGTTGGTTCGATTTCGGTTGTTTCGCTGTCCTGATCTACGGCACGTCTACGTGTTGCCCGTAGTGGTCTCCGAGTTTGAACTCGTCGAGTTGCTGAACTCTTTGCCATTGAAGTAATGTTGAGTTTTCGAAAAAGTTAATCACAAATGTTATTTTGTTGGCACTTTTGATGAGATTTGTTGCAGTTGCACTAATCCTGCCGACTTGTAAAATAAATGATGGGTTGCAGTCGTTTTATAAATTTTTTAAAAGTTATTTATTTAAAAAAACAAATTAATGTATAAGTTTTACACAAGTTTTATAAAAAGTAAGTTTAAAGTATTTATGTGCTGATCCAGTGATGATTTGACTTGAGTTGTATTATTGAAGGGCACACACTATCTTATTTAATGTCAATTTGTAACAATATTATTGCTGGATGTCTTGGGATCCGTTTGAGGTGATGTGGAGTTGGCTCCAGATGTGTGGCACATATGTGATGTGTTATGTTTGGCTCTCAGTCACTGAATGGCGGGTAAAGTGGAACACCAGCTTATATATGAACTAATGGTAATAAATGTTTTAATTGTGTTTAAGCGGTGTTCCCGGTCAAGGATTTTAATATAACTTTGTATGTGTATTAATGTTTGTATATATAATTGGCAACTAAAGTCAAATCTATGAGTTGACAATAGTTCAAAAGTTATTATCTAAAATGTTTTTAATTAACACATAGTGTTGAATATAAGGGAAAGTGGTTCCCATACTATGCATAGAGAGTATTGTCGGTGTATAACAAATACAGTAGATATTATGTGTATGTATATGTGTACTTACATGTTTAACATAAAGTTAAAGTAAGTGCTATAAAATATTAAATGTAATAAAAGGGTTGAATATTAATTGAAATAGATATTGAGTTTGTATTAGTTTTATTGTTTGCAAAATAAATGTATATCTAAATATAAAATATCAAATATATACTAAAACGAAATAATAATAAAATAAATGCATAAAATAAAAATATATTTTACATATACATATTAATAAGTATTGATTAAAATTTATACAATTTATAAGTTTTACTGATGTATATTAAATATTAATTTTTTTAAACTTTTAAATAATAAAATAAAAGGTTATATTCTTATCATGAAAAATGTAAAAATTAGTTTTTATTTAATATAAGTATTAAAAACAGGTTTTAAATATTAATAATAACAAAAAACAGTCACATTTATTAAAAAAATTATTAGCTATTAAAATAATCGATTTAATACATACAGTAATTTTTAAATCAAATAATTTTTACATAAAGTTTTTACATAAATGTACAAATATAATAATTATTATAAAATATTCTTTATATTAGTTATTTTTTTAATAATTACTAAAACTAATTGTAAAAAATAATAATAAAGACAATGAATGTGAAACTAAGTTCCGAACCGTTGACAGACTTATCGGTGATTTGTTTTTATTTGGTTCGCATAACCGTCTCTTTCATATAAATAATTGACAAATAAGAGTGTTTTACAAGTAAACGATTTGTAATAATTAATTAAAATCCGATTAAAATGTTTTATTATTTTTAATAACATATGATTTTAAAGTGAAACGCCAAACATATTGCAGACAATAATCCGACAGTTTATCGGTCAATGTTTTGATCAATTGGCCAAACGTTTGTCAAATCTAGTGTTATATTCAGTGAATAAAACCAATGGTAATACATGTAAATCGCGACGAAAATCCGTTTAATTAATATCATATGGTATTTGTGGTAATTCTGGCAAAAAGGGAACCGACAGGTGTTGGGAACAATAGTTGGATGGTGTGAATGGTATTAAACTCCTAAATAATCTTAAATTGATTTTTTCAATGAGTTGCTGGTATTATAAAATAATTATAATTAATTTGTTTTTAGTATAATTATAAGTATAAGTGAGAAATTGTTTTCAAGAGTTTTATGAAAGAGTTGGTACACAAAGATGTTCCGAAAGTTCTATCAATGGATTGTTAGAGTTTTTTGACGGCTATATCACTGAAACTTTGGGATTTATGTGTACAGACCAGAGGTTGGCCAACACTGGTATATATTGGTGTGATTTACTGTGTGGAGCTATTGTATTATTATAAACAACAAATAAAATAACTACACAGCGAAAAAAATTAAACAATGAAATAAAATTCAATTATAATATTAAATGAATTAAAAATATTAATTTATATTTAAAAATACAAATAGTTATGAATAATGTCTAACTAAATATAAAATAAACCATTAATAAAAACATAAATAATTAAAATTAAAAAAAAAGTTATCATAATTGTCATGATTGTCGTCATTTATAAGATTACATGAGTCATCAGTAATGTGAGAAACAGGATCTATAAATATATAAATTAGATAAATAAATATATTTATTAAATATAATGTAATTACCTATTATAATAATTATATTGTTTGCAGTTTAAATATATTTAATTGTTATAAAATAAAATATTTTATTAGTTTTATTTACTTAAAATGTGACTAACTTAATTTATTAATTTGTTTAATTAAATTATCATTATTTTTAATTAAATTTTTAATTAACTATTAACTTTTTAATTAACTTTTTAATTAATAATTGTGTTTTTTATTTCAACTTATTTAAATGATTTTATTTTTGTTGTCATTGTTTTTTCACTGTGTAGTTTTTTTATTCATTATTTATTAAATACAATAGCTTCAGACAATAAGTCGCGCCAATATATACCAGTTATCGCCAACGTTTGGTACAGACTATACACCAGACAGCGATAAATACGATAAAATGTTACCAAAATTACCTAAAGTTAAGTCAAGTGTTAGAATTGGATCTCCAGTTTCGTTAATGATTACCATTTATAATAAATTATCGACAGATCATGTATTACCTAAATAAACAATAAATTTAAATAAATTTATTTATTTATTATAAAACATTGTTTGAGCATTTTATGTTACTTTTGAGATAATTTATTAAAAATAAAAAAATAATAAAGCAATAAAAAGTTTAAACATAAATTTATTTTAATATTAAAAATTTTAGACAATTTAGAAAAGTATTTAATGATACAAACAATTGTTTCGATAGATTGACTGTAAAATAAAGTGTTATAAATGATTCAATCTCTCAATTCAATGTATTTGTCATTATTTGAACAATTATTAAAATAGATTTATATTATAGTATCTTTTAAATAAAATTATAATATAATTAACAAATAAAAACTGATAAAAATATGATTATGTAATACAAATTAGTCGGTATTAATATTTTAACATATGCTTATTAATTAATTTTACTATAATATATAATTATTTTAGCTAATTTAAATTTATATATTCAAGTCAAATAACTAAAATAATTATATATTATAATATCTTTTATATTGTAATTTTTTCTTACTATTTTGTTGTAAAAACAAAATATTTTGCTGTATTAATAAATTAAAAGATATTAAAATTTAATTATTAAACATAAAATTTCTGTCAAACATTAAAAATAAAATAAACAAATACACAATTTACAATTAAAATACAAAATTTTAAATTATAATAATAAAATTGATGGGTTAGAGCTCCACAGATGCCACCCAAAATATTAATTCCTGGGAATTTATATAAAACGGGGAATTTACGTAATTTAAGTGACATGGTCAAAATAATAGACAATAAAAATTTAAATATTTAAAAAATAACTTTTATTTTAAGTTTGACATATAATTGGGTAGATTAATATTTGTGTAGCATATAAATGGGTTTATTAGTAAATATTTCAGTATTTTAATGAAAGATTATATAAATGGATAACGTGTTGTGTATTACAACTAGATATAGTATGTGGTAAATAAATAATTTTTAAATTAAATATTTTATTTTGGCGATACTATCTAACACTATTAACTGGTTTTTTATTAAAAAAAAATCCTCTACAGTAGGAATTAAAATCAAACAACAATTAAAAATAATTGTTACACAATAATGACGTAAATACTGTAAATATATTTCTATATACTGTAAAGTAATAATTTTACTTAAATATCAATTAGTAAATTACACGAATCTTAACAAAACTACAATTTAATTGATATAAAATCATATGATATTATAAAAATAATTACATATTAGTTAATAACATTAGTAATTTTTGAAATTTTTTTAATGAATTTGACATTGAAATTATCTTTAAAATTAACATTTTTATTAAATATTTATGAGCAACTTATATATATCATAAACACAAATGAATTAATATATTGATAGGAATATGAATAATAGTAGTATTTTTTAAAAAATTATACATTGAAATCAATACAAATATAATTTTAAACTGAGCCAAACTATATAATATTATTTATTGTTAAAAGGCTTAATTGGTAATAAATAAAACCAAACTAAAACTTTATATAAATAATAAATTTCTACATTCTATATCTATTAATATTTATATCAATAATATTTTAAATTTTTTTTTCTTATATTACAATTAAATTGTATACCATTTCAATATAACAGCACTAGAATCTAGATTTGAAAAAAACAATATTTATGCTTACTTTTTATGGTTGAAAACACTTATTTATGCACTTTATGTATACTTTATGTATAAGTACTTTATATAAACACTTATATTAAAAAAAATAAAAGATAAAAACCGAACCGAAAGCCACATAATCGACAACAAATCCAAAACCTATTATAAAAATTATATTTAGTAATTTCATAATATTAGTTAAAAATTTATTTATAAGTATTTGTTTAAAAGTTATTATGAATTAAAGTTTGATATCAACTGTTATATAACTATTTTAACAATTATTTTTATAAATATTTCAAATAATATGATAAAATAAATAAAAATATCAACTTATTTATTAAGTGTTATACTTAATTAAAATAATAAAGTTTATAATACAATATACAGATATTAAAATTTGTGTTTATTATATAAACTTTATATAATAAACACAAATTATTAATATTTGTATATTGTATTGGCATTTATCATTGCTTATTTTTATTAATATACATCAATTATTGATTTTTAAATAATTAAGTTAAAAGAAAAAATAATTTTTTATATTAGTTAATAACTATAAAGTCAGTATACAATTAAATATTTATATATATGTACATGTACATTATTAACATGATTTTAATTTATAAATTTGATACTGATGCTCTAATACTATAGAGTAGTACAGTATCTTAATTATACTAAATTATAGTTATAGTTGTATAATAATTTTATTATGGAAAAATACTTTTATATGACGATCAATGTCATTGAGGATAACCGCCTAACTTTGATAGTAAATAACATAGAGTTGAGTCTGGATCATTTTAATCTAACAATTCACTTATATTATAATTAAATACATATTAAACTTAACTAAACTAATAATATATTTCAGACAAATTATGCTAAATATTACGTTGAGCTTAATTTCAAATTCAAGGTTATAAAAATAGTCAAAACTTAGCAATAAGAAAAAAACATAATTATGATATAAATATTGAAGTAATATTAACTATTTTCAAATATTGTTATTTTAATACTTTTTAATAAAATCTTTATTAAAATAGTTTATAGGTTTACGATAGAAAGTAAAATTTTGGTTTAGTTATCAAAATATTTTATTTGCAAAAATGTTGACCAACTATATTATATTACTTAATTGTGTATTATATTTATCGGTGAATAAAGCAGTGTCACAAAAGTATGATTGCAAACGGGGTCGGGATATATCAGACATTGCCACCAAAGATATGTTTTTATTTGCCGCCGAAAATCGCAAATTTCCTATCAATGCACAAGAAATGAAACAATTTTGCAAGTACAGGGTGGTTTTTCCCTTAGTCCTTTTAAAAACATATCAATAACTTTAAAACTACTAAATATATTTTATTCAAATAAAAATTAATATAAAATTGAGTAAATGGAGCTTTTAAATTTTAATGAATTAAATTTTCAAAATGGCCGCCACTAATTGCAATTAAATGACGAATCCGGCCTTCAAAATTAGCAGCAACTCTTTGAAGCATATCCATTGGAATCGCCCTTTTTTCGCGTTCAATGTTTTGTTTAAGTTGATCAATGGTTTCTGGTTGAGAAACTTAAACCCTATCTTTCAAATATCCCAAAAAAAAGTAATCACATGGGTTGAGATCAGGTGAATATGATGGCCAATCAATGCCGCCTCCTGTTTTTTTGGCGCATCAAAACTAATGATATGCACTCCAAAACATTCTTTAAGAGTATTGAACACATCCTGTGTTCTGTGCTGTCTTGCTCCGTCAAGTTAAAACCAATGATTGTTTGCCAAACGTTTTCTTGGTATAGTAGCGCTGAACGTTTCAGTGATTTGTGTCTTGTAAACTTCTAATGTTACACTTTAAGTTAGAAATATTGACGCAATAACTTCTTCGTCTTTGATAGCACACCAAACACTGACTCTTTTTGGATCAAGTTGCCGAGCAATCGTCAAAAATGTTTTTTTTGTGCCAAAATGTTGCATATTTTGTAATGCGTGCCGACGCCATTTTTAAACTGTTTTGATTTTCAAAACAACAATAACTAAAACTCCAACTACCCCTAACCCCATCTATGTAAAAATAAATTTACAAATATTTATAGTTTTTAATTTAGCAGGGTAATTTCAAAAGGACTAAGGGAAAAACCGCCCTGTAATTTGATATTTTAAAATATTTAATAAAACTATTTTGGTTTTATTTGTGATTATTGTTTAATTGTTAATATATAATAAAAATTGATAAAATGATGGATTAGTTACTAATTAAATGATAATAATAATTGTTTTGCAGAGAATCTCCTGAACTCGATATAAAAGTTAAGACATTTAATGACAATTGTCTGAAAGGAATTACAAAACAAATATCAAATTTATACGTTTATTCTGTAAACAAGTTTGCGTCCGGAGTCTGCAAATCCAAGCGCCGGACCATTGAATTTCTGTCAATAGGTCAGTGCGGGAATGCGGCCAATAAAAGCAATAAAAAATGTTGGGATAACTGGTTGTTTACTACGGATTCTATCGGAGATATTAAAGATGATAAGCTAAAGATACCCTTAAGTTGCTGGTATTTTACATTATATTATATCAATTTTCATTATATCATCAAATTATTTATTTATATTTATTTATTTATTAATAGTTTAGTGGCGCGGATGAGGTCGTGTTTGGAACAGTCGTTTGAAAAGAAACCAAAACAATGCAAAAAACAACACATAGAGGTATTGGATAACATGTTTAACACATTTTTAGTCGATTCTATGGCTATGCTTTGCGGTGACTATACAGAGGATGGAGACAAATGTGATAAAATTGTTAACAAAATACCTAATCGACCGTTTGATCCAAAAAAGAAATTGTCGCCAATAATCATTATGACTAAAATATTGTCTTCATTTCCAGAATAATGATTAAATAATAATTAAATTATATTTAAATAAGTGATATTTTTTTTAATTAAAAACAATAATTTTAATTGATGTACTATTCAATACTATATATATATATATGTGTGTATATTATAATTTATACTTCTATTTTATAAATAAATATTTTTGTAATTTAAATTATCAATATATATATATAAACTAATAATACTTTTTTTGTACAATTACTGTATTGAGAATCAAAAAAAATATGAAAATCAAAAACCATCTATAAATTCATGACTTAAAAAATTATAATTTATAGACTAAGTCTATAAAACTTTATTAATCTCTATCACTTGACTTTACATGTTTTCAAACATATTTTCATTCATATTTAAAAAATAAATAAATTATAATTCTAATTGATTACAAAATTAAATAAAAAATTATAAATTTTTGTTTTATTACATTATTAATGTTTATTCTTAATTTGAGTCAATTATATTAAATATTCTAATTAAAAATATATAACTTTGGGTAAAATTATTGACAATAAAAAAATAATCAAAAATAATATAACAAATATTTTATAGATAAAATACATAATTTTAAAATAAAATAAAATTTTATTCATTTTTATTTGATTTAAAACTTTGATTTTTTTATATTAAGTGTAAAGAGAGGTAAGCAAATGTTTATTTGTGTTTTATAATATTTTTCAACATTAATATAAACTATGTAAAATATTGATTTTAAAAAAGTATCATGATAAATGTTTCTGTTAACAAATGTATTAGACTTTCTTTTATTAAAAAAAATATTATTTGACATTTAATAAAAATGTTTAGATTCATATTGCTTAATTAGACAATGGTAATGTCGAGGACAATTTAGTAATCGTCAATTTTAACGGGATTTTCTTGTATTTATAAAAGTAATACAAAAGTTTGTTTAAACTAAACAATATTTTACTGAAAATCCTAATATACACAGTATTACACACAGTCTACCAAATATGATATTAAAATAACAATTATTATACATTCATAAAATATATTAATTTTTATATTTAATTTTTTAAAATTGTTTTTTGTTACATCTAATTTGTATGATTATTAATTTTAATAATTGATTAATTTTTTAATTAGTTGTATTAAACAATTGTCAAACTATTTAACATATAACTAACTTTTAATAATAACATAAATAAAAATTAATTAAATTAAAAACTGGTATATTTTATTTATTACAAGTGTTATATTCTATCAATTATATATCAATATTACCTGTATATTGATAATCTGATTATAGTTTAAAATATTTATTTAGTCATTAATGTATTTGTTAATTAAAAGAAACATTTTGTTAGTGAATTTTCTATTTTACTTTTTCTACTAATAAAATGTATGGATAACAGGGTTGGAAAATACAAGGTTTTGAATTTTGGATTTGTACAGTATAATACAGTATAATACAATGTAATGCATGTATTATACATTTATAAATACTAATATATATTATGCTAAAATAATTTAAAATAAAAAAAATAGAAAATTAATAAAAAAAATTAATATTAAATCTATATTTATTATAAAACATTATTTACTTTGCTTTTACCACTAACTGGTATTAAATCTTGTTTGTAAGCATACATTGTATTATACTGTATAATACGATTTGTATTAAACAACATTATGTCTCTGCCAACACTGATTGATAAGTTTTGTTAGAGTCTATAAAGTTGTATACTGTAACTCTCTTAAAAGCTATCATGATAGATTTTTGAATTCAACTTGATTACGTATTTTATGATAATGTAAATTATATACCTTACTCATTTATAAATAAACTATTACTATCAAAATTATTTTTTACCCTATTATATTAATTAATTGTTTTTGTCAATATAGTTAATATTATGCATTGTATGTTTAACTATTATTTTTCATTGATATATATTGATATATAACATGTTTAATATATTTGTTTTTATAAAATTTTTTATTCCCTAATAAATTATGTTATGTTATATTTGTTTTATTAATTTAGTTTTAATATTTTTTGTATAATTAACGTTCAGGGACCGATTAATAATAAACCTATGAGAGAGTCTATGGTATAGTATAAACTATAACTTATAGTTTAAAACAAATATCAATGTCATTAAATAATATCAATAAAAAATATTTTTGGGTCCTTTTTAATAGTGAGATAAAAACGTGTCGCACAATAATATTGATTATAAATATATTTACTTAAATGTTGTTTTAACATTCATATAAACCGGTCATGGGCATATAATGCATATATTTAAATATTATTATAGTATTAATATAAATATAAATATACATTAATAATTTTATTGATAGTTGTCAATATTAATTTTTTAATAATATATTTTTTTATCAATTAAATATAAAAAGTTATTAATGTTATTACAATTTAATTTTATTGTTTTAAAATTTAATTGTATTTTATAAAGTAAGCATATTACATTTTTAGATAAATAAACAACTAACAATTTTTAAATGTCAGGGACAACTATGTGGAACACATGCAATCTTATTTTTATATTAAATAATAATAATATTAATATTAATAATAATTAAATAACACTTCTGGTGTTATTATTTTTGTTGATTTAATATTAAGATTTTATTTTTAATTTTTTTTTTAATACAATATAAACATATAGTATTAATATGACATTTGAGTCTCACAACAAAACAACAAAATATTAATTAATACAAACATTTGATATCCCACTGGATATATAAAATGTGTGATAAAACAAACAAACGGTTTCTTTTCAAAAAATTATCGTTAAATTACTATTGTATTAAATAAATTTTAAATTACATGATGTCTTAAACTTATAAATTGGTTTAATTATTATGTAATATATAAATTTAATAGTTTTATTAACAATGTAAATAATTAATTTGATAAATTTAAATTAAAATCACTTTTTTGTCACCGATTTTTTCAAATATTTAAAAACCTGTTACTAAATATTTTAATGGGTTTTTGCTTATATTTTGAAATAATCTTAAGTAATCTTAACATTTTAATAAATTAAATGTGTATATTTATAAATAACTTTTTAAAAGTGAAAGTAAAAGCTTTTTAAGTGTTGATAAACTTTTTTATTGTGAAAAATATATAAAAAAATTATTTATATATATTTTTTTTAATTTTACAAAAATATTTTTGATAATATTCTATATTTAGTTGTCTTTGTCTAAATAAATCCTATTTATTTCGTTAATAAGTTTAGTATTTTTCTATATTTTATTTATTTGCTATTTTCAAATAGATTTCATATTTATGATAGAAAAATGAAATCATTATTAAATTTCTTAAGCAAAATGTTTTTAAGTTTTATAATTTTAATAACAATAAGTATGCAATTGATATCATGTCAAACATCACCGGAGTGTCAAAGAGAGGCCAAGAAAATAGACATAATTATTGAAGACATGTATTTGTTTGGTTCGGCTCAACGCCTGTTCCCCACAAGTAATCGCGAGATGAAGACATTTTGCAAGTATAACACCAATTGTTTATTCAAAATATATTAATATATTTTCTTGAATTTAAAATATTTTTAAAAAATTATTTACAAACAATTGATTACAATTTAAATATTTTTAAGTCTTATTTTATATTATTTTATTAATATATACTAATAAAAGTATATAATCTTATTAAAGCATTAATAATAAATGACATTTAAATTTTGATTTTATATTATTTCTAAGTTATAATTGTTTAAATACAGAGATAATGTTGAATATCACAATCAAGTCAAGAATTATTCGGACAAATGTTTGGCAACTCTAAGCAAACGATTGATTAGTTTAATGATGTATTCAATATCGCGAAACAATGTTAACACTTGTAAATCAAAGCGCCGGTCGCAGGAATTTTTCAGTAATGGTAAGTGTGGTAATACAGCTCAGACAGACAATAGGAAGTGCTGGCATCGGTGGTTACATGAATTGGATGGCATCAAGACTATGAATGACTACAAACTCAAAATACCGCTGTCGTGTTGGTTAGAGAGACACTTTATATTACAAACTTTACATTTATTACTTATTATTAAAGATCTTTAACTATATTATTAAGTATATAAACAAATATTACTAATTTAATTATGAATATACAATACAGTTAAAGCAAAAATTTTAATATTTAGTTAACATTTGATTAAATTTATATAATTTTTATTGAATTTATAGCACTTTTTACAAAATGAGATCATGTTTTCAGCGGACATACGAACAAAAGCAAAAGGATTGCTCCAAGAAGTCAGCGGACAGTCTCGAGAAACTGCTCGACGTTTACGCCACCGAAACCCTGTCCTTCTTGTGTGGCGACTATAGWGATGATAGCGATAAATGTGACAAAATTGTGCCACAAATACCTAAGACTACGACAAGTGATAAAACTAATTCACCGATAACTATATTAATCAATATATTAAACAGTATACCTGACGGCGCTTATTAGGTGCCGACACAACAACAGCATTATATAGAGTTTATACTATAGTATAGACCCATTACTCTCAATGTTATCTTGTTTTTTAATCATTATTTTTGTTTATGTATAGCATTTTTTTGTATACTCAAAAATATGTGTTTATTATTAATTATTTACAAAAAAATATAAACTTGATTTTTAATAAATAATTTAACAAAAAATGGTAACTTAAAGATAAATTGAAACTCATTAATAAAATAAATTTTCTAATGTATTGATTACAGTATTACAATAAATGTATGTAAGTTTTAAAAGTCATTTATAAATAAAAAATATATATACAATTTACTAAAATAATTAAACTTCAAATTGTAGTGTTTATACATATAATTTTAATATTATATAAATCCATTAAATATGAATAATTATCAATAATTACTGACATAAATAATCAGAGATTCATTTTAATAAAAAATATTTTGTTTAGAAAAACTTAAGTAAAAATGCATCATTTAGTATAAACAATAAAAAACTATTTTGTCTCTAATCTTACTCTTAACAAACATTTTTATTAAATTATACACAATCTATTGTATTATAAAATATATGTTGAAAACAGGTTTTACTTAAAGACAAAATTCAATAGTAAATCAGTAAAAAGTAAATATTTCTAATAATTCGTAACATTAAAAAATTTAAATAGTTTAAAAATTATTTTATATTAAAAAATACTTTTTTTAATAAATTAAATTGTTTATAATGATATATTACAATCAAATGTTATGCAAAAAACTATTTAATTATTAATAACAACATTATATTTCACTTAAATAGAATATTTAATGTGTAAAAGAGTTTTTTTATAAAATAACTATTTATTGTATTAATTAAATCATTGTGAAAATAATCACTTTACGCACATTTGAGATTAAAAAATTATTTTAAAAATGCCAAACAATTAGTATATATTTTAGTGAATACAACAGTTATGTATAGACTCTATGGTTAGGGTTCACCTAACAAATGACAGTGCAATAGGATTTTGATGTTTATGGGACTATGAGTTTCTTAAATATATATATATATTAAAAGTTGATGAATGACTTATATCAATAGTATTTTGTATAGTAGTATCCTTTTTCAAAATGTAATTTACAATTATTATAATAAAAGACATTATTAATAAAACACAAAACACATGAAAATGTAAATTATTTTCACTGAGTATCTCATCAGAGAATGACTTATGAAAGAAATTTATTCATGAAAGTGCAATATATATATATATATATAAAGTAATAAATATAAGTTTTTAAAAACTTTTGAATTATTAATAATTTAAAGTTATATATAAAATTTTTCAATATATTTAACAATAATTTATATAAAATATTTGAAGTATTATAATAATTATGTTTAAATTATTAATTATTGTAATAACAAGTGAATTGTTTCGGTATATCAATGGTCAATGGGTTCCATATATAACTAATCCCAATAATGTTGCCCCATATCCTGCACATCCATTAACTGATGACTTAGTTTTGCCATCAAATAGACAATCAAATAATATGCCGATTATTGTTTTGTTAAAATCAAGACAATCCAAAGATCTAACCACAGAAGATATCGGTTCCGTCGATACAATGCCCGAGAAGTTGTTGGATCAGTCGATGCACGTCAACGAATGGGTTGCAGTACAAGACGTTAAAGAAAGTCCAATTATTTCTTCATCTTTACATTTGCCAGTAATGGACAGTATATACGAACCGTTGCCAGAGGCCAGTCAAGAGTCTGAGGTGTCAATCAAAGGGAGATCAAGTAGTGAAAAGATTCAATGGCCAAACCTTAAGGACAAGGGGTCGGTAACTGCGGAACAATTAGCCTCTATTAGACACCTTTTGCCAAAGTTTGCGGCGCTTACTGATGCCAAAGGACAGGATGTAAAACAATTAATCAAAAACAATGCAATGAATGGACTGAATATTGAGGAAACTTTGAAAAAATTTGCTGGAAATCTGACAGATCTCGAGTATAGAAAACCATCGGTAATGTCATCAACTCCTACTACCAGTGCTTCTGATAATAATAATAATAATAACAATAATAATAATAATAATAATAATAATAGTGATGAAAGCAAAGATGGCAATAATGGAGACGAAACAACAGATGAAGAAGATAACGAATCCGTAAGAAATCTAATTTCTATTAAATTAGTGTAAAAAATGCTCAATAAGTCTTTAAATATAAATATATAATTTTCTTAATTTTTGCTTAAATTTTATATATAATACATGTATTTACCAAAAATTATATAAAATCTATATTTAAAATATTTAAATTAAAATTGATATAATATATATTATAAATTATATATTAAAGGCCGACAATAAAGCTAATATCAGCAGTGATGTCAAGTCAGACACCAGTGATACCGATATTAATGAATATCAAAATTCTGAACAAAGAGAAGGAGATTATCGACAAAATTATCAAAATATTGAAAAATCAGATCCAATAGTAAGTGATAGAAAACAGATTAAAATCCCCATTACTTCTGGTGAAACACATAAGGGGTTTCAACCGATTAAATTGACGCCACATAAGGGATGGCTTCCGATTAAAAATAAATTAAATCCCAAACGTAAATCTCAAACAAATACTAGCAAACCATCCAAAAAGCATTTATATTTTAGTGAGAAAGTTAAGAGATATCCCGGTGCTGATGATGGTATCTATCCATTTGATATAAGTGACACACAGTCTATGTTTGGTATGCCTCAGACGTATCCCAGTATACATAACAGTGAACTTTTAGGTGCCTTTAAAAGTCGGCCGTTTGGGTCACGAAATTATCCACAAATGTTTGGTCCTTCGAGACACAGTATGAGACATATTATGCCCTATCAAATGTCCGGTCGTTTTTCACCGTTCAACGAACCGGACTTTTCATCGACACTGTTATCGCTAGATATGAACGGAAACGAGAATAAACCAACACATGTAGATCCGGTCAAAGCTGGACTCGAAGTGGTAGCTACTGTTGCTGGTGTTGCTGGTGCTGGTATTGGTGGTGGTAATGATGGTAAGGTAACCGATGCTCAAAAAGAAAGAATAGCAACAACTGAGAAAAAGAGTGACGAAGAGAAACATATGGGTGACGACAATGAAGCAAAAGTACCAATTCATGGATTTAATGGCGGAGACGAACAGTTAGGTATTAGTTCAAAGGCATAGTTGTAAACAAATATTTCAATAATTTAAATTAATATTTTGATAATTAGGAAATCCTATTACATGTTGTGATATATTAAATGGTGGTCAACAACCTCATGGGTTTGGCCACAATCAGATGGGGTTCGGCCATAATCAGGTCATTCATGAAGAAGTCATTCATGTGCCCGAATCACACGCCATGGCTATCGGTGATCATAAAGAGCACACTCCGCCGTTTATGGGTCACGGCTGTCATTCGGAACTGGGCGGTCACTATCCGTTTCATTGGTCACCCCCTCTATATAGACCCCGTCCCGTATATAAACCAAAATTATTTTATAAACCATTATTTTTTGGATAAAATGTGTACACATAACATATCAAACATATGACACATCTATTACTGTATGATAATTGAATAGTCAAATAACGGTTGGGTTATATATAAAAAGCTAACTATTTCTAAATTGGATTTTTCATTAATATAGAAAATTTACTCAAAAATTAAATATATATATAAAATTACACTTAATATTATAGTTTTACAAACCTGCTGATACTAATTGGTTTTTTATCTGAATAATGTTTTATGAATTACTTTATTAGGGTCATACATATTATATATTAGTAATATAATTTTTTTAGTTTAATCTAAATTATTGTCATAATTAATTTATAATGTTACTAATGAGTTTAAATTAATTTAATTAAGTATTTGTATAACATTATGCTATTTACATTATTATTATTATTATTACTATAACATTAATTTTATGCTCAATTTATCTAGATTAAATATAAAAATAAGTTTGAGGTTATTTAAATATTTTTATTAGATTAAAAACAAATATCGCTAACTTTTACTATAAATCATTGTTGACATTAGTCTATAAGATTATTAGAAAAAATATAAATATAAACACAAAAATTTTACATATTCTAATGTAATTTAAATCATTATTAGTATTATTATTATTATACAAAATATTACAGCAATTAAAGTTAAAAGCAAATCAATGTCAAAAAAAATCGAAAGGTATCTAAAATTTTTATCACTAGAAAAACATTTAAAAACAAATGGCTATATTTTTATGTTTGTAAAGTACTCACAAAGTTTGCATTAAAACTAATGTTCATAAATAATATTTTCTGGCTATCAATTTGCCTAAATATTTACAATATTTTTTCTCGTTTTAAAATCGCATAAAAATAAGTTTCAGATTTTTTTRTTCGCTATAAAAGTTTATTGACTGTTATACAAGTGGTGTATATTTACGGCACTCAAAAATTGTTAAAAATTAGGTCTAAAAAAAGTTTTTTTTTATTTTAAATCATTTTATATGTTTCATGTAATTATTTAATAAAACCTTTTAACTAAATAATACTTTTACATCCAAAATTTGTTGTTAACGATTGCACATATAATTGATAGCCAACTAACTGTGAATTTAAATTAACTATTACTCAAAGTTTTTCTAATCGTTTGGTTGCAATGAGCTCATCGATTAAGAGCCTAATAGTCGGGCAACTGGTGCTCATCGCACAGGTCTACACTTTCCTGAGTCCCGAGCAATCGATTCAGACGTGTTTTACAAGTGGTAACAGACCTGCCGTTTGTGTTGACCAGAGTCTGTGCCGCGTTTCTAACAATCAAAATATTTACACTCAATCCAACTGTTCCGAAATCAATCAGGTATGCTGTCCGGTGGCCAATGAGGACGAGCACACGGATGCGTTTATAGTGCCGCGTTGGGATTGGGCTGAATGGTTGGCCAATTGGACGAATCCAAACCCAAAGCCAAGTACACAAAAACCGGTCGTACATTTACCACCGTATCCATCGGGAGCTATGCCTAGTCAGGTGGGCGTAGGTCAAGGCAACAATGCTACAACTGGTGCGCCACCATCTACAGATAGTTCCAGTGCTGGACAGACCCCATCAACGGGACCAACTAGTAATTAAATAATTAAGTATAAAAATACATATTTGTAGTCAATTTTGCACTTGTATTTAGGTTGTGGTGTTCGACACAATGTTAATATTAAGGACATTGAAGATCTCGATAAATTAGGTTATATTGTGGGTGGAAATGTGGCTCCGGCTAACTCATGGCCGTGGATGGGAGCCGTCTACTCAAACGGCAGGTTTATATGTGGTGCCGCTGTCATTGATCAGCGATACGTATTGTGTGCCGCGCATTGCGTATCACATAGCGGGCGTATAACGCGTGCTGAAAACATACAGGTGCAGATCGGTGCACATGACCGTCGAGGTAGTGGTCAGTACTTTAAAGTCGAGAAGATAATAGTGCATTCAGGTTATAATGAACGTATTATGCAAAACGATATTTCCATGTTTAAATTGGCTAACCCTATATCATACAACAAAAATATGGGACCGGTATGTCTACCGCCCACTCCCAACAGCTGTCCGGATAGTACAAAAATGATGGCTCATTTGGCAGGTTGGGGGACAATGTCAGCGGGAGGTATGACCAGTAATGAGTTAAGAGAAGTGTCTGTCCCCACCATTCCGATGAAAGATTGCCAGCGGGCATATGACTCAAATATGGTTACCAGTAAACAGATATGTGCCGGATATCTAGGACAGGGAGGCAAAGATACTTGTCAGGTTGATTTTACATTTAATTAAAAATATTAAGTAATAAGAAATATTAATAAATTATAATATATTATAATTAGGGCGATTCTGGTGGACCAATGGTTGTTAGACTTGATAACAAAGCAAATCAATATTTCCAGTGCGGTATTGTTTCGTGGGGTCGGGGATGTGCTGAGGCCAGTATGTATCGGATATATTTATTAAAGTAATTAAAGTAATTTTGATTTTTTTTGATTAAATTATTTTCAGAATATCCCGGTGTCTATACAAGAGTATCTGAATATCTTGAATGGATTAAAGCTAATAAAGTGTGATTTAATAACATAAATAAAATCAATAGATAGTCTATAAAAATATTATTTGAAATTTAGGGTTTATTGTTTTTTTTTTGTTTTAATAAAATTATTATTAAAACTTTTATATGAGCATTTGTTTATAATATGTAATTTTTATATTTGGTAAATATTTATCTACACTGCATAATAACTGATAAAATTATACTAACAAATTATTAATAAATATTATATTTTTAATATCATATATTTGTTTGAAATTTTTAAAACTATCAAAATCACAGATCCGTTACTATTTAATAATTATGAATAAATGAGTTAAAGTTGAAATCAAATAAAACAATATATTGAATAATAGCTGTTAAGCCGAAATAAGCCCACAAACTTTATATTCAATTATATTATTAAATCAAAATTACATAAAAAATATTTAAATACTCGTGTAATTTTTATTATCAATTATAATTAAAAAACTATTTATGATATTATTTTATATTATCTATTATTATTTTTTTAATGGTCTCATTATCTAAAGCGATAAGATAGTTGCCTAACACTATTGTTATTACTAACATTAAAATGCTCCGGATCTATGATCAAAATTCAATGTGAAACTATATATAGTTATCTAATAAATAAAATCAATTATTTTTCAAAATAAACAAAAAATTTTATAAATTAAAATATACAAAATATACTGTATTATTTTTATATTATAATTTTAGTTAATTTATTATAAAAAAAACAATAATTGTAAATTATGAAAATATGTTTATAGCTAATTAAAAAATAAGATTATTAACACAATGTGTTGAAATTGTGAAATCAGCTGACGTGTTATATATTAAAATAATTTGTCTGGATTAAATTATCACATAAATACTACTTTTGTTTTTCATCAAAATATTATAACCCAGATAGCTTTTACTAAAAGTTATTATCGGTATAATGTATTTGTATTGTCTGTTATACACTTAATTATGAAATTTTTTTTAAAAACTTTTCATTTAGTTTTATTATATGTTAGTTATATTATATGTATTCTAAAAAGTGATGATTCAGCTGATAATGATTATCGATTGCCTAGTGGTTAGTATTAAACTATAAATTTATATATTTTATATTATTAATACATTTACAATTAAAATTATTTTATGTTTCAAAATAAACTAATATGGACAGAGTGTTAATATGGGATTAAATAGTTTAAATAAATAAATATTTTTTAATTTTTTTGTACTGTACACTACAGATTGTGGTAGAAATAGTGTCAAACGTATAGTTGGTGGTAATGAGTCTAAACCACATACCTGGCCGTGGACTGTGGCTGTATATGTGCGCAACGTTAGGGCTAAAGCCGATGACGACGTGTCGTTTATATGCGGCGCTTCAATCATTCATCAGCGGTATGTATTGTGTGCGGCCCATTGTGTTAAGTCATTTGGTGTGATCACACCGGCCGATCAGTACAAACTGCTGTTGGGTGCACACGACCGGACTAACAGTGGCCAGTGGTATAATGTATCTAAAATTATTGTACATCGCAAATACAATGAAACAACCATGCAGTACGACATTGCATTGTTTAAATTGAAGGAACCGATCAATTTTATAGCATCCAATCATACAATGGCACCGTTATGTTTGGCCGATGACAGCATGAATACTGAAACATTTAAAAATGATCTCTCAGTTTGCGTTGGTTGGGGTGCGACACTACCAATGGGTGATATAAGCAATAAACTGATGCAAGTGTCGATTCCCATTGCATCCAAAAGGGAGTGCATTAAAGCTTATGATAAGGAAAGTATAACCGATATGAATGTATGCGCCGGTTATAAGGAGGGAAAAAAGGACTCATGTCAGGTATGAATCGACTAATTTATAACATTAAATAATATATTATATCATTATATATATTAATCAATGACTTTTGATAAATAGGGTGATTCCGGTGGTCCTCTAATGATAAGACGAAAGAACCATTGGTTACAAATTGGTATTGTTTCGTGGGGTCGGGGATGTGCTGATAAAGGTATGTATAAGTTGGATATAATTGACTTTTTTAAAATTAAATTTAATAAATTGTAAAATCACTCATCAGATGCCTATGGAGTATATACACGCGTTTCAAGTCATAGAAAATGGGTTCAAAATATGATCGCAAAAGAAAAGTAGATTAATAGACAAACAAATCCATATAAATTTTTTTAGTGATATTTAGTATTATTTATTATGTTTAAGAAATTACTTTAATAATTTAAGTAAATATTTAAAATTTTTATTCAATTGATTAAATTATTATTATAATGTAATTTATTTATTTTAAAAATGAACTTTATTTTTTTATTAATCTATAATATATTGATAAATCAATAACTAAATAAATACAGTATGTTTATAGCAAAATAATATTTATCTTTTATAATAAATTATAAATATCACACATTTTAATATATTATTAGGCAAAAAACTGCAATTTAAAAATATTTATATAATTATATTGGATTAAAATATTTAGCAGTAAACCTAAAGAGTTTAACATTAGCATTTTACAACATACCGTGTATACTAGTATATGTATGAGTTTAGTTTTATTTTTAAAAAATTAATCTAGTTTAAATTTAATATTTTTCTTATTAATATTTCAAAATTTTAGACAACTATAGTTAATATTACGGACTGTGTTGTAAAATAATAAAAAGTAAAATAACAATTATATTTATAAGTTTACATCTATACATAAAATTAATAACCAATAATATAAATATATTTAAAAATAATTTAATGTTTAAAATAAATTACAATTAAATAATAATTTAATATTTATTACTAAACCATTATTGGCTCACATTGTGTGTGTTTGGTATAAATATATTTATTTAAATAAATCAAATATGAATAAAACGACATTAATATCGCGTTAAAACCGGAGTATATGTAATACAAACTGAGTGGTAGATCAAAGCCATACAAAGTCATTGACAAAAGCAAACCAAACGCCATACCAATGGATATACCGATGTTTTTTCGGAGACTTTCCTTAATAACGGCGTATAAGATATACCCCGAAAATATTAAAATGACTGTAAATAATATGATATATTTTGACACTAATTAGGAAAAAACATTTAAATGATATATAAATTTATTAATTTTAGTATTATTATTAAATTAACAAATTCCATACACTTTTGTTGGTTATTATTATCAAAATATGAAATTAATCCAAATATAAATCTTGCCGACGATAACAACAAATTAATGACAATTAATCCAATTATCAGATATTTAATTGCAATAATTAAATGGTTAATTATAAGTCTGTTTTTTGATATTTCAGATTCTGTGGTCATACACTAAACTTTTTTGCTTTTCAACATAATATATATATACATATTTTTAACATACAGTAAAATATAAATATTTTATTGACAATACTGTAATGGCAAACAAAATTCACTATTTTTTCCCACAAAATAGTCGACTTTCTGGCGACACTTTAGACACTTTATATTAGGGCTGCCAAATGAAAATTGACAAAAAAGAGTATTATAGTACAATAGATTATAGAAGTATCTAATGAGTGTATATTAGATTTTTTAATTTGTAAAAATCAATAAGTTATTAATGTTTAACAAGAAATACTAATTATTTTATTTCAAATTACTATTATCTAAATAATAATTATTATATAATTAATTAATAAATATTAAGTATTATTATTACTATTAATTGATATTTGAAAAAATTAACACTACTAACTTAATATTGCATTATTCACTTTTAATAAATTATTTTTAAAAAATTGAAGTACAAATGTATTGTACTCCTTGACCACTAAGAAGTACTGTCACACATTTATCTCAAAAGAGTACAAATACTGCCGGTATGAGTACATTTGGCAACTCTACTTTATATTGATGTTTACAAACTATGCGTTAATATTTAGGATGCTGTGATGCGGTTATAGACCGACTCAATGATTGCAATCCAATCTATCGATTTTGTAATGTAATGATGCAAATGTTGTATTCAAGACAAAAATTTTATTATAATTGTAAATATAAATTATATTAAAAAACAATAAATAAAATAATAATATATATCAAAAATTTTCAAGTTTAAAAAAATAAATTTGTTTGATATTTAATATACCGATATATTTTTAAAGAAATAGTTTACATTTATTATAAATAGACAATAAATAAGCTCATTAAGTAAATAGCATAATATTTTTAAATACAGTATATAATTATATATTAAAAAAATATTATGCTATTTAAGTTAACTTTAATTTTAAGTTTATTATACTATAAACTATAATTTATATGTTTATTAGACATGTATTTACAGTACTTCACATTTGTATATATTATGTTTATTTAGTTATTTTAATATTTTACAATTACATTTAATATTTCATTTTATACTGTACATATATTATATGGTAATACAGGCTGTATTAAAATTATACTAAATAATTATTACTAATATTCATATTAACTATTTTATAATATTATTTAAAGTAGTTATAAAAAATAATTGTAATAAACTATGTGTATAATGAAAGATAATGTAAGATTAACACCAAAATTAAGGACTATATCAGCGGCCACTCAGTTATACAGAATTGGCTTATGTTTGAATAACCCAACCGTCACTTATAAGCGGAACTGGACATCACATCCTATAACAAGACATTTAATATTTTCGTATATTTTAATCATTAATGTAATACTTATAGTAAATAATAAACAATATGATATTTTAATTACACTGTTTGGTGATTTTACCGCATATTTTATACAATTTGAGCTCATCCTAAAATTAGGACTAATAATTGGCTCAATATATTGCATTGCCATTCAATATACATATTTTTATAAACACCTCTCTGGTATTGAACCCACATTTATGAAAGTATTTGATATGTTATCCGGTTTAAAAACACCTCATAATCTTGGCTTATCATATACTCCACAATTAATGAAGTTTATTAAATTAACAAATTATTTATTTAAAATTTCTAATATTTTTCACAAAATGATTAGTCCAATATTTGGTTTGATAACATTAATAACATTTAATTATCATTATAATATTTATTTATCTGGTATAATAGTTTTTATAAACACAATTATATATAGTTTATTTAGTTATCACATTTTTGGTACAATTATCTGGACAATGGTCTACTTTTACTTATTATGCTATTATCTTAAAATCAAGATTAAAGCACTCATTTGTGCCGTCAATACTAATAAAATACTTCATTTTTTGATAAAAATTAATCTAATAGTTAATGAAATTTTTGATTACAATATAACTTATTGGTCCTATTATTTAATGTTTGTTTGGTTTACATTTGCTTTATTAATTGTATTAGCTGTCTATTTGTTAATATTTATAAAAGTACCCTGGATCATTTATATGCTTTTGGGCTATCAATGTATTTCATTAATAACAATATTTTCAACTCTTCTATACTCTGCATCGTCTGTTAATTATAAATCAAATAAATTACATAAAACTTTATATAAATTAAACATAAATGTAAAATAATATTTCCATATGTTATTTATATAGTTTAAAGATTATATTGCATAGCTTTAAATAATCAATTAATAAGATAATGATGTAATATTTTCAATGTCTTAATATAATAATAATTTATGAATTTATGAAAACTTTAATAAACTATTTTACTTTAATTAATATTTTGATTGTCATTGTGTTGAAGGTTGACTTATATGTCTTTACTAAGGTTAACAAAATATTAATTATTATTTAAAGTATTTTTAGCAAACAATATAATTTACTGTATTATTATAATATTCATTTTTTTGAATTATTATACTAATAAATATTACATAACATTCAATAAAATAAATTTAAAAAAATAATTTATAAATATCATGCATTATTGATTTACTATATATTTTTGTAAATATTTTTATTTTAAAATAAAAAATTGCAAATTATTGCTTGCTTACATATACTAATTATTGCACATTTGTGTATATGAATTTTGACATATAATTAAAATTATATTTCTTAATAATTATCATTACTGACAAATTATACAAAATATTTAAAATTATATTATAAAAAACAATACAAATATCAGTATATATTTTTTATACATAATTGATGTGATCCATAGATATATATTATTTTATATATAACTTATTATTGTATCAATGATTATATATAATAATGGTTAATATTAAGTGGTGTTATAATATACAAAAAATACCAAAAATTTACACTAAAACACAAACTATTACTTTGTATATAAATATTTGATTTTTAAAATCTCAGTTTAAATCTACTAATTTCTTCCTCATTAATAGTATCTGCGGTTACGTCCACATGAAATACTCGGTTCTCAAATATATCATTCATATCTTCGTTGTCATCGATTGTCAGCTGATCCTCGTTATCATCCATTGCTACTGAATTTGCATCAAAATGACTGTCAGGTCGTGTATTAGACTTTTTATCATAAATAAGAAAACAATAATAATATTGAATAACGATTTCAATGAAACTAGTGATACGTGAATGACGTTCGGCTTTGAGGACAAACATCGATACAATCAAACATATGGTTGATATGATTGCCACACAAATGTTGAACCGAACAAACTCTTTATAAGCGGAATAAATAAAAAATACAAATATTATGAAAGCTATGGAACAGCAGATTATTATGACATTGGGTTCTGTAATCAAATGAAAATTTAATTAATTATTTATAAAAAAAATAAAAACTAAAAGTTTTTTTTTATAATAATTTATTATAATTACCTAATTTATTATCGACAATATTTTGTTCATAAATATTGGTTATTTTATTTTTAATGTCAAGTTTCAAATAGATACTAACAATTATCAAAATAATTTGAACACATGAGTCATAAAAGTAAAATGCAATTATCAAATATTTAATCAAATAAAATATCACATTATTAATACTACAATTACTATAGTGGACAATATTATTGTCATACATATCATATGTTAGTAAAAAATATATTGTTTTTATCTATTTATTTATTATTTTTATTTAGTCTAATCAATCAACAATTGATATCGACCTTGAAATTCTATGTGCCATTTTTGGCATTACTGTATTTCACTATATGTTTGTACCGTATAAGTAGATATTATACAGTAAAACTACTTGTTGTGTGCTTGCGCAATTTAATAATTTTTTTGGTCAGTTATTTTTAAGCAAATAGTATTCATCTATAATATAGATGCTATAATACTGAATATATTTATTGATTTGAATAATATATTCAGCAGTAATAAGCTATTAGGCACTATAAATATAATATTTAATATATAGCATAATTTATTAGTTAAACTTTAAAAATAAAAAAATACATAATTTATAATTAATTTCAAATCTTACTCATTTTATTATCACATTTTAAAATTTAAAAAAATAGTAATTATAATATATTATTTTATCATATTACACTTTAGTTTCAAACAAAATTTATCAAATATATTAATATTAATAATATTACAATAAAATATATTGCACATTAAAAGTTTAGGATAATTGATTGTACTAGGTTGAAAAAGAATTAAATTTTTTTATTGCCAGATATTTTATTTATATTTAAATCTATATCACATAAAATATTATTTTTTATTCACAATAACTTTAATTATTTTGTAAAAATTAGTTCTTATAATATAAAAGTTATTGTATTTTATATTTATTACATTTTAAAACATTAATAGTTTATATATAGTAATTAAAATAGTTAATTGAAGAATCTTAGTAATTTTTATCTAAAATCATAATATTTTAATAACAAGTTTTTTTTGTATTTTAACAATTAATAATTTTTTATATGTATTATTGTCATAATTAAAATTTTTCAAAATTCACCCATAAATAAACAAAAGTATTATTAAAATAATTGTGTTAATTATAAAAATAAGTTTATTTAAAAATATGTACCGTAATATGTATAGTAAATTAGCTTTATATTGATTAGAAAACATATTATCATAAAAATAAATATATTGTATTTTTAAAAATACTGATTTACACATTAATTAAAATTATTTAATTTTTGATAAAATTTTAATTGATTGTCTGTACTGTTAAAGACTTTTACACATTAAATAAGTAATCGCTTGAATCGATGGCAATAGTCATCCGTTTTTTATTTAATTGTTGAATCCTCTGATTTTTATCGATCAAAAACGCATAAAATGTGGCCAATAGTGCCATAAATATCATTGTTATCTTTGTGTCGATAGTAGTTTGAGACACCTTTTCCGATGACAACACTGTTATGATGGCTAACATTATGAGAAAAGTGGAAACGGCTATACATTGTCGGAGACATTCCCAGTAAGTCACATATATTATGTAACTCATCATAATTGTCAACAATATACCCAATACTATCTGAAATACAACAGCTAAAAGTAAAAATACAAATATAATTTATATTAATAAAAAATACTTTAATATTTTTAATTAATAACAATTAATATATCATACAATTGCGTTCATCGATTCCATCATAAGAGTGGGAAAAATCTTTGACACTTTCGCGAAATATCTGAGTATTTTTGTCGACATTTCCATAGTTAATAAAACCCATTGTAATGAACATTACTGACCACAACCAGTCAAAAGCATACAATACTATTAGCAGATATTTAATAATTATAAAACCAAACTTTCTATTGTTATCCATAAAAATTTATTTATTAGTTGTTTTACAATGACATTGATTAATTTAATAAAAATATAATAATAATTCCGAAAATAATTAAAAACTACATTTTTATGAATCAATAGATACAAATATTTTTTGTTGTTTACTATATTATTATTATAAGAATAATTGACAGAATCTCTCAGTAGATTCTGCGCTAAACATATATCTGTTTATAACAGTATATAAATATTGTATATATTAATAGCAAGAATATTATTGTTACATTAAGTACGTTAAAATAGTAAATTATATATATATATATATATTTATATTATGTTTAAAGTTTAAACATTTCACACAATAAATGCTATATTTAGCAAAATAATCTTTTTTAAAAAAATAATATGTAAAAATTCTTTTAAAAATTGTATATAAAGCAGACAATGGCATAAAGTAATGTAATATTATTATATAAATATTATAAGATTTTAATAAACAGAGTATCCATAAAATTACAGATCATTATTTAGACTATTATTGAACTGTCTGTTAACAGTTATATTTAATTTGATAGCATAAACATAAAACATGGCTAATGCTGTACGGAATACTAGACGTATAATTGAATCAATTTTAAATTCAATAATAGATAAATTGACCAAGTACAATAGTATATAAACCATTGATAACAATGTTTGTCCGATCAAAGCAATTAAATTATGCCGAAAATTACGTGTATATGCAACACATATAAAATATAGTATCAAGGTCAAGTATAGTATTGCCAGTATGTATGTTGGGATAATACCTGAAAAAAATGTTAGTCGTATTATTAATTTTATCAATTAATATGTTAATCATTCATATACTGTATACAATATACTATAATATAGAAAACATAAACTTAATAATTTACCTAGATTATTAAATACAGTATCTATTTGTTTATTGATATTATCAAAAGTATCATCATCATTTATACTGTAAAATTGATCATGGTCATTTTGAGTAGAGTTGTTTGTTAATTCATAATATCTCTTATATGAATACAGTATATCAACTAACGATGAAAGCCAATCAAAAACATACAAAAATATTAATTGACATTTAATTACAAGAAAACAACAATTGTTTGTTAATAACATTTTGATAAAAATATTATTATTTTTAAAAAATTTCAAACATTTTTATAATTTATTTTTGTAATTTAAATTAATTTGTTTGATCAGTTTACTAAAAATAACAGTCAAATTGTCATTTTTCTAGACGTATAATACGTATTATATTTACTTAATACTTAAATACTGCAAATGAGTTACATTTATATAGTTTATAATAATATTTATATAATAAAACTAAATTTTTTTTGCTATTTTCGGGTCGCAGTGTGTTATTGAAGTCAACTTATTTTATTGCACTGACAGATATACAATGTTATTGCATTGAAAATCATAAATATTGTATTTAATGAATTAAAAAAACAAAACTATACACTAAATAAACAAATAAAAAAATTATGTATTAAAATCAAGTTCACAAATTATATTGTAATTATAATATAAAATATATATTTTTTAAAACTTAAGTAAATTAACTTCGCATTTATTAATATATAAAAAACTAACTAAAAAATTATAGTTATGTATATAATTTGTTAATACTAGATATAATACAAACATTATAATTAATTAAAATTAATTATTTAATTAAAATTAATTATTTAATTAAAAATTATATTTATTAAGTAAATTACGTCATTTAATAAAGTTTCACTGATTAATTTTTAAAAAATTTTGTTTAATTGAAAGTTTAAAATTCAGTAAATAATTAATTATTTTGAAATTAGCGTACAATAAAAATTGAAATCAATAGTGTATATCATATACAATACTTATTTTGCATAAATAATTACATTATTTTATCATTGCTTAGAGTAGTAAATGGATAAAATATTTTACAAAAATTTAATCACAATTATAATTACAGTCAATCAGTTTGATCGCACAAAACACGATATATTATCAAATGATATAACAATTATTGATCATTATTTGTCCGATTAGGTCGGAAACCTTTACTTTTCATATAACCGGTCAACTGTTCGGGTATTTCATAGAGCACTTCACGCGCCAGATCTGCCTTAGACCTGATCGAAGGACCCGATCGGGTGAGAAACCGATTGATTGGCACAAACTGTACGATATCTCTTTCGGCGTAACGGCCGTCCACATTGACCCGTACGTCGTCACCATCTAACTCGTCCATAGCGTCAAAGTCGGCATTACCGACTCCGATAATAATAATGGACAGCGGCAACGATGCGGCCGCTATTATTGCCGATTTGGTTGCATGTATATCGCTGATGATGCCGTCGGTGATTATCAATAGTACGAAATAGTTGTGTCCCGATTGATACTGACGGGCAATGGCAGCCGTGTTGTTGATGACGGGCGCAAAATTAGTTGGTCCGTACAAAGTGACCGCCGATAGTGTTGTCCGATAGTGTCGGAGTATCTCATCGATTCCCGAACAGTACGGTTGTGTGAGATTTCCGTTGATCGGGAATTGATGAGAAACTGTGTTAATCGGCGGGATTTTAGCACCAAAACCATAGGCAGGATATACACCTGTTCTTGAAATTAAAAATAGTGTTAATTATTATTTTTTAAAATATTAAAGTTTGACTATTTTAATGCAAACCATTTCTATTATAAACAGCAATAATATCTCCGACAGCTTTTAATGCCATTTCATAGCAATTGGGTTTTCCGTGAATGTCAAAGTAATGCAATGAATTGGGATCCCGTGGGTCACCGTTAGAAGCTGTGAAGTCTACGGCCACTGCAAAGTGCAGTTGAGTACCACTACGGATATAGTCGAGGAAAGAGTACTCTTCTTCCACTGCAATACTGGTTAATACAATGCGACCCGAATTACGATAGGAACTGGACTTTTGTGATCTTTTCCTATTGATTACCTGATCGGTGTAACAGATAATATAAATAATTTAAATTGAATTCAATTATAATTGAAAAATAATTTAAAATAATTACATCATATACGTTATTTGGTCCAGGTCCTTTTACTATATTAGACAGTGATGTAAAGCAATCGCCAATCAACTTATGTTGACCACTGAACCGATCGTCAAACACCTGTATCCGAATGGCCCGATCATAGTCACCATTACATAGAGTTCTGGACTTTAAAACAATTGGTTGCCATTCCTTATTATTTCTAAAATTTTTATGCAAACACTCTGTTTTATGTACGACTGTCCACGTGCTGTCTTCATTGGCCCGACTAAACACCAAAAACGGGTCGAGTCGTGACCAAAATCTGGTTCTCTTTAGACTACTCGCCCGATACGACATACGGATTAAGTGTTTGCATTCGGCTACCTCTTCGACCAACAAAACTATTTGACCGCAATTTTTGCGACCCTTTACACCAGTTAACGGTGCGATCAGTTGTCTGCCCTGATGTGCCACTATCTCAGCCAATGTGGTCTCGTATTGACCTAAAAAGTCATTTTTTGTGTCGTAAATCTCTAAACTACCTAATAATAAATCATTTTATTTAATAATAATAAATTTATGTTTTATATATTTATAATTTTTTATATTTTTTATAAGTATAAACTTTAAAATTGCAATTATTTTATTAAACAATTTTGCAAAAATCATACCTATTTTAATTTTTGGATCGATATCCCAGACCTCAAATTTTAATCGTTGAACGCATTCAAAACTGTAGGACAGTTGAAATCTTTTGACAAAATCTGGATTCAGATTGTCGGCAATCATCTCTGTGCGACCCAATTCATAATACCTTTCCTGCCAGTCGTTCCGTATAAATACAATTACTTGTGGATCTGATTTGCTTAGTATATCTGCGTTGATTAAATTACGACAAGCGATGGATAACTCAACGAGCGATGTTGGCATCTCGGCCTGACCTACCATTCCCATTGGTGACGGTGCAGATGGATATGTATATGTTGTTGATGTTGAGTCGGGTAGTATTGGATAATGAGCTGGTGTTGACTTTGATGTCGAAGATTGTGATATAGGAGATGAAAAGGGTTTTATGTCACTACTTTCACACATTTAAATGATTTTTATAATATAAAAATAACAAATTTATTGAGACATTAATGAAAAAGTGTATAATTTTTATTATTTTTTAAATAGCATTTTTTATTAGATTTGTTTCGATATAGCGACTGATATTTAGAGATATTTTTATGATAATTATTTTGTTTTGCAATAACAATAAATTTTTGTTTAACAAATGCATAATTTTGATGATAAAAATAGCTATATTTTTAGCACTGTGTATATGTGTATAGATAATATATCACATAAAGTTCAAAGGTCAAGTAATTTTGGTAGCAATATTACATTTTAGATTTATAAAAATTGTTTCTTAATCTATGAATAATACACTAATTATAATGCATTGTTTAAGACAACCAGTTTAATGTAATTAAATTTTTTATTTATCAATATTTATATAATATTTATACAATAATACAGAATATTCTTGCTTTAAATGAAGCTCTCCTTCATGTTTAGTATAAAGTGTTTATTGTAATGTAATATAAAGAGTTGTATTATTATTATTATATTTAAGAATATTTGGATTCTGCTCCGGGATTCTGGATGTAAGTGCTGTTGTCGCTATGGTAACTAACATTGTAGTACTTTATGTATAGTTATTTGAGAAATTCAGTTTGAGCTTTAGATAATAAATAATTATAATATCAAAATGTAATATAAAACTATCAATAATTACAAAATTTTATTTTAAAAATACATTTTTTATGTTTTTGTTTCTTAATCAGCAAATTTCAGTTTATATTATATTTTATTGCCATTCATTTTCTGACTCTCATTGTGTCATTAATTTTGTGGCTAAAGTTTGGTTTTTATTAATTGATAAATATTACAAATATGTTATACAAAAATTAAATTCATTTTAACTTAAAGATTTAAATTTAAATATTTTAAATAGTAATAAATAAACATAATAACTAATTTATCAGATAAACTGTATGTCAGTAAATTTGTTTGGTATATGTACTGTATTTGTTTGATTTAATTAATTAATTAATATTATGTTAACACTACAACATTACAACTTACAAGTTAGCGTTATGTTTTACACTGTATAAAGTTTTATACAGTTTATATAAATAGCACAAAATATTAAAATTATTGATAACAAACTAAAACTGGTATATTTTATTGTTTTTGAATAACTGTATAATATATTAATAATATAATATCATTTTATGTATACTTGAAGCAATATTAATAATATGAATTTTATAAGATAAATGTTGTTTATTTTTATAAAATAAATAAATTTTAGCCACAGCAACATTATTGATTATTTTAAGAAACAATTTTATTATATAGTAAGAACTTATTTAAATATTTACACTTTATATACATTTAATTATAATAATGTTTTTGAATGAATTAATTATTATTAATAAATAGCAGAAATTTATCTAAATTCGATATTTTTCATAGAAGTTAACCCAAATTTATATTAAATTGATTCTATAAAATTAAATTTAATATATAAAAATTGTTGCTTTTAAAAAATGAAACTAAATAATATGCCTATTACTAAATTAACAAATGTAAACATAAGTTTGAATAGAGTTTGGTTTAAAGTAGTTATAGTGTATTATCGTTTATTTGGCATAACCTTTGGTGGCGTAGAAATAACAGACTATTGTATTACACGAAACAGTTTTTGGCATATTATGGGTTATGTATTTTTTGCAATACATGTCATACTTAACATTATAGCTGTAATATTGGTATATCACCATGATACAGTTAGACAATTGAAACAGTCGGGTCATAATTTAGCTTATTATTCATTTTTGTTGTTTACATCATTGATATCAATACATGTGTTACAAAATTTGTGGTTTATTCAGAAACATGGCTATCAAATGATTATCAGCGAACAGTTTTATCATATGAAAGGTTTGTATGTATTAAATAAAATATTATCACTTTGTCAGTACGTATTACAGTATATTTATTAATTTTTAATAACAGTATATGTTTTACATATTAAATAATATATATTCAAATTCTAAATGTTACTAAATTTTAGATAAATTTTACAATAACTCCATCAGATTTATATGGTTAGTGCATAGTATTAGTCCAATTATTTGGTCTGTCTATGAGATATATTTAATGCCCGGTATAACTATTGTGGGATTATTTTCAGTCATAATTAATATTATGTTACGAATGCCGCACTTTTGGGTCACACATTTCATGTCAACCCTCATTGTATACAATGTTGGGTCAAAATTAAAAGAGTTGAGGCGTCTGTTGAAAAAGGACTGTAAGGCCAGCACTTTATATTATGTGCGCAAATGTTTTGTTAATAGTAGACAATTGATTTCAAAATTTGATAGACGACTATCCTTGGTATATATATATATATAATAATAATAATAATATAAATATGACTTATATTTTTTGTAAATTATTTTATTTTAATTTAATTTATAATAAGATTCATATAACGACAACATTTTTTGGAATGATATCAGTTATGTTGGAAATCTATATACTATTTAAACGATACGATTATCCAGAATTGAATTACTTTAAGAGTATATTCATTGTGTTTATGATTCAGACGCTCATCCTATTGCACGTCAATTGTTTTATCAATGGCTATCTGTTTGATGAATCTGACAAACTGTTAGCTATTATGGATTCAGTCGATCTAACAAATGGTAGTCAACTTAGAGATCAGGATTTTGTGGAAACACTGACTTTTTTGTGTATGAGTCGCAATAAAATTAGGTGTGGGTTCACTATAGGAGGTTTTATGCCATTGAAAAAGTCTACATTGTTATCGGTAATTGTTTTAGTTTAAAATTATTTCTAAAATCTAAAACATATTATTTGTTTTGTAAAAACTTATTTATCAGATTTATGGATTTATATTAACATATTCAGTAATATTGTTTCAAACCGGTGCTATTGATCAAACTGATGGTAACCAACACTAGTGAAAACACAACAAATGTTTTAAATAAATTACATTAAAACAAATATTTTTATTAATACATTCGAGAATATAGAATAATAATTATTATTATTAAACTCTATAGTATATAAATTTATTTACATTTTATTTTCATTAATATTGTATATTTTATATTTAAAGGTATATATTATTTTATATTAATTGACAATATATACAGTAAATATTGTATGTTTATTTTGTTTCTATCACATAAATATAGTAAATAGTGAATAAAAATTAAATGTTTTAACAAATAGACTTTTATTAATCTAAAGTATATTTTATTATTGAAAATTACTATTAAAATGTCAAACATGATTGAGTCAAATAAGCCATTGTTGTATTATTCAAAATTTAAATGTATTGTTTGGTTTTATCGGTTATATTTAGGTATAACATTTGGTGGTGTTACCATAACTGACCATGGTCAAATCAAATATAGCAAATTGTGGAACATCTATGGCTATTGTTATGCCGTTTTCCATACAGTTGACCATTCAATTTCTTTTTATTTTGCATACCTGTTCATACAAAATAGTGAAATTGTCAAAAACTCATTTGTTTACAATACATTAACAGTGTGTTATGTGGTCACTACTGTACAGGTAATACATAATATCTGGTATTTACAATTCAATGGTTTTTCTATATTCAATATTATCCATAAATATAGAATCAAAGGTATCTATTGATAGATAATTAAATTAATTTTTTGCAAAAAGTTTTTATTTCATAATTATTTAAATAATATTTAGATAAAACTATTTTAAAAATTGGTTTCTGTTTATGGATGATGGATCACTTTATGTCATTGATAGCTATGTCATATTTGATATATTGTCTTAATGATTGGTCATTTTTAAACATTACGGTGGTAATCATTGAGACTATGTTTAAAGTGCCGATTATTTGGGTATACTTTTTGTTGCAATGGGTGATAATTGGATCAGTAGCCATACGTATAAGCGAGTGGCGACAACAATTAGTAAAAGATACCAGTGCTCAGACCATATCTAAGATCCGATTTTATTATGTTAAGACTAGAAGTCTAATTGAAGACATTGATAATAGGGCTAAATGGGTAATGATTTAGTTTTTTTTTAATTATTCAAAATAATAATTTCCTAATAAAAAATTCAAATTTTTAACCCCAGAATCAAATGATGTTAACATTATCAGCAATGCTATTTTCAATGAGTTTGCTTTATATACTATTTTTTAGTGCAGTAGTAGCCAATAATAAATTTATCCAGGCTATATTTATTTATTTTATGGCAAACTCGTTGATACAATTGACTGGCAATTGTTTAATTAGTAACTGGACTTATGATGAATCCGATAAATTGCTTAAAGTTATGGATAGTATAGACTTTAGTCAATCACAACATGAGAGTCACGACAACAGATATAAAGAGGTTATGATGTTTATGGCTCTTCGGTCCGAACATAGGATAGGCTTTACTATCGGTGGACTCATGGCTTTGAATAAAACAACTTTATTATCCGTATTATTCAATATTTAAATTTTATTTTTTAATATTTCATATAAACTAATTGTTATTTTAAAATTATATTCAATAGATTTATGGATTCATATTAACATATTTTGTAATATTGTTGCAAATCGTAAAACAGTAATATAAAAGCATTAATACAAAACAATTAATGTCTGCAAAACTAATTTTTTGATTTATTGATTTTATGATATAATTTTTAGCCTATAAATTCATATAAATATGTAAAACATTTGCCAAAAGTTTTACTGTATTAACTTTTTTTTGGCGCACCAATGAATTAAAACTTATTTTATTAAAAAAATAATCATTTTATTTAATTATTAAATTTTGATACAATAGTAGTTTAATAGTTGCAGTCATGAAGTACAGGCATATCAAGGCATGAAATGAATGATCAGTGATATGACTTATATAGAGATTTAAACAAAGGGTTGATATCTGCAGGTATTTGA